AACCATAGAGCAAGCTCAGCCTTTCTATGATGCAAAATTTGATGGAACAACTCTCTCAAAGATTGTGTACGAACTCGAAAAAGCTCAACAAAATGGGAATGAACTCTCTGCAAATGATATCGTGAAACAAATTTTTGAAAACCAGATTGATTTATCCACTTGCACAACTGTCGTGAATTGGATAAAAGACAAATTGATAGAGAAAAATAAGATACAATTACCATTATTGAAAATCGTTTCTAAACGTAAGTAATTTGGATAACTGTACACTAATCTTGCTCATGAAAATCTCACACGTGAAATTTGTGCAACTGTTTTACATTTTATTGGGATGAACGGAAATTGGTAGACTCAAAACCGAAATACATTCCAGACAAATATATAGAGATAATTCCAAATTTTTCTGATGAAGAATTGTATTTATTGCAAGAGATCAGTGAGCTAAAATTGAGAGATTTATCACATGTTCACCATGGCTTAGATCGCCTCATTTTCAATGACATGCTGAATAGAGAACAAGCAAAACAAGCAATTTTAGATTTAAGTGCAAGACAATACGAAGCAAGTCAACAAGAAAAAATTAACAAACAAGACTTAACTTTTTTGATTGCCAAAGGTGGAAGTGGGAGTGGGAAGACTCGTATTATGTCTGAGGTTGTCAAAATTCTTTCGAAGGCCGAACCACAATATATTTTTAAGAATTCTTCAATCATTTACTTTAACTTTACAAATGGATTTGTTTTGCAAAATGATGTTGAAAGAGACAGTAGTATTATTTCTTTAATCTCATCGAGAATCATTTACGCTGCTTTTGAACAAGGAGAAGAAATTGCAAAACGAATACCAAAAATAACTAATGATTATTTTTTATATGAACTTCTCCGAATTATAAGCTCAAAATTGCACGAACAATTGAAAGTCGAGCAATCGATGCCAATACCTCTTATTCTCGCATTTGATGAATATCAAAGAGTAACCAGACTGAATCAAAATCTGAATACACAATTACAACATAAAATTGGATGGTATATGAGACACTTTCAGAAAAAACAGGGATTAATTTTATTTCCATCATTCTCAGGAACGTTAATGGAATCCGATGCCAAATTTGAACCAACTGACTACCAAATAAGAACTGTCCCATTACCATCATTGCGACAAGAGGATGTCGAAATTATTATGAAAGAGCAAGATTTAATAGAATTTTATACACCAAAGTATCAGATTTTTTGGAGTATCATTGGTGTTGTCCCTAGACATTTAGAATGGGCAGTTAGATTTGCCAAAGAAATTAAAAACAATACAACTATGCCACTAGAAACAAAAATAAGCAATATTTACGGTAATGTTGTGAAAGAGGTGTATAAGATATATCAACCAAACGATGAAGTAGATGTTTATCAATATCTATCCATACTTACTCTTTCAGGATTTCCATATAGTACTCACAAAGCTCTCAAATATGATAGTAGAGTTGAAGAATTAACTAGCCAAGGTAGAATTTACAAAACTAATGACCATATTGGATTACCACTTCCTGCTATTGATATACTTTCAGAATCAAATGAGAAAATTCCAAAAAGCTTATTCAACGACTTTGTTTATACTTCAACAAAACCGGATTGGGAAAAATTCGAAGAGCTATGTTTGAAAACAATTACCTGCAAACTGAACTATATTCTCAAACTGAAACCAATTGAGCCTGTAAATACTTTTACTGTCGGTGAACTTTTTCAAGGAGCACATATGACAGATAAGCTTGCTCATATGACTTTGACCACCAATATTGGCACAAAAGCCTACTACCGTTATGTTGAAGTTGTAGAAACAATTTCTAAATCACTTGTTCAGAACGAAAACATGCATAATGTAATCACAAAGGCAAAACCGAATCAACAAGGTATTGATGGATTTTTGCCTGTATTTGTTTCTGGTGGGAGGAAAGTGTTATTTGTAGTTCAAAATAAGTTTATGAATGATGATTCACAAATAAGGACACTCGAACCCAAACAATTATGTGATTATTATAACAAGGCACTATTGGATATTGAAGGTTATGATATTTACCCAGTAATTTTTTCGAGAAAAAAAGTCTCTGATAACACAGCGAAAAGTGTTAGAACAGGAATAATTCCAACTTCAAAAGAGACACCATGTCCTAAATTAATTTTGGTTTCTGGAGATTGTTTTGATGCCTTTTTCCATCCATTCATTGCCAACATTCTCAAACTTAGGGAAAAATCTTATGAGGAGTAAAATTTAAACATCTACCATTCAAGCACAGCTAATTATTAGGTGATCAATTGTTATTAAAATGTCAATGTGTAACGTATTGATTGATCGGGACTAAGAGAATTCTTGTGTTTTGTTGTTGACAACCATTGTAATTGTTACCGATCTTCTTTATGTGTATTGGTTTTGATAACCTGATGTTTGATAAGGCTTTTGGTTGTTAATGAATTTGATATGTTTCGAAGACATAAACAACAAGAATCGTTTGGTTAATTTAAAGGAACAAATGAGTTTGTGGTCTTTCCAAACACCCGACCTTGTGTTTGTGGGATTTTCTGCATATTTTGTCAAAAGACAGAAGAGCTAATTGGGGAGATAAAGAAGCCGCGTTCATCAGTGTATTAGGTCTATTTTCCAGCAACGCGAAAGCTCGTAGCCGATTGTCATCGCTACTTAACAATCGAGGCTCTACCAGTACCAACACTTCAATCAGTACACAGAATTTCCAAGAAGAAAGCGAAAGCGATGACGAATCTGTATTCCCAACAATACTTGTAAATGGAGACCAAATGATGTCATCTCAAATTACTTCTTCACAACTGATTTCTCCTCAAAGACTAAGCACACTCAAAAACAAAATTGGGTTAAGAGGAGTAAATTTTTTTCGAAAATCGAGATTGTTCATTAAATTTCGATGGTTTTCGAATTTTTTTATTTTTGAAAATACCACCTGAATGAAAGTCGTTCGTATATCCCATGAAACGATCAATTTTATCACTTTCAATAAGCTTCAGTTCTACCACCCATTCAAATAATTCAGTTAAATGTTGAAACCGTATCATTTAGTTGAAGGGAGAAGTTCTCGAAAAATAACAAAGGTCTCTTAGAAATTTAGTGATTCAAAGACAATTTGTGAACTAATGATTTGTTTCCAAACAAACATGGTTGCAGAATTGAATTGAGAACATCCATATTCACCTTGTGTGGGATTGTACGAGAGAGTTGGTGTGAACGCCTTGAAACAACACAAGTAAGCGTCATTGACGATCAAATGATTGTTGCCTAGAGTGGAGGAAGTTTGAACTTGTAGAAATGATTCCATTGGTGTCTACTTTTCTTATAGCATTAACATCATGATCAAAATAAGAGATGTAAACGTTTCCAGATGGTGCAACTCTTACACTTGTTGGATCACATAATGAAGCAAGGGTTGCCAGTCCACCATCACCTATTGTTGAACATTGTGAAAAGTTGAACGATATCGTTTGCTGGTAAAAGCGTTTCTTTGATGTAAAATATTCACCTACCTGTTGAATTAACTTGACCATTTCCAGCAATAGTTTGTATGTAACCATTGGATATCATTCGAATTCTTTGATTACCATAGTCAGCAATATAAACCTTGGAATTAAAAACATAAATACCCGTGGATTTGATAATAGTGCATTTGTAGCGAGGCCTCCATCACCAGAGAATCCAGGCACTCCTGTTCCAGCAATGGTTGCAATATTATTATTTGGATAGATCACTCTAATCTAATGATTACCATTGTCTGCAATGTACACAGCTCCATTTCTGAGCCAATCACGCCAGCGACGGTTGAAATGTAACCATGGACTACTTTTCGAATAACATGATTCTTGTAGTCAGCAAAATAAAGCGTTCCACCATCTAATGTGAGAGCCATACCACATAGGCCATTGAGTTGTGTACTTGTGGATGGTCCGTTGGCCACATTGTAACCTCCAGTGCAGCTTGAACCTGAACATACACCAGCAAAGAGATTAACTTTGTATTTAGGGATGGCAACAACTAATGACGATATGAGAAGAAGAAGAAGAATGCAAGTTTGGTGGAATTGATTGGATAATGATGCTGTCATTTTTTGAAGCGTCTTCAATTTTGTTCATTGCATCAGTTCAATTTGCTGTGACATTTAGAGCAATCATGGAAAAAAACGACGGTGCTGTTGTTGTTTTCATGTTCAAAATGAGTAGTAGTGTGATCTTCCTATGGCAAACCATGTGGGTTTGCCTTATTGTAATTTGCACTAAAGTGTGAAATTTTTTTTCGATCGTTTTGGGTCATTTTTAGCTTCGGTTGTTGTTTGTTGTTTTTCGTTGTTGCGCGTTGTTGTGCGTTTATGCATTGGTTTATTTGTTGTTTGCTGCTTTTTAATGTTATCAGAAATAATTGTTGGTCATTATTGTTTGAATCAAGAAGCTCGAAAAGTTCATTCCAAACATTGTTCGCATGTTTTAATTGCATCGCTCGTTTTGTCCACTCATTCTGCTTCATTTAACTGCTGGATAGTTGGTGAACTTGCACTTGGTTGGCTTGTTGAACAAACTACGGACATGCTTGTCTTCTCTTCTGAAGAATTATATCCAATAATAGCTGTAGGTGGAGTTTTTGTGTGGGCTACAGTAGTACTAGGTGAAGGTTTGACAGGTTCTGTGGCTTTTTGTTCTTGTTCTGTGATTGCAGGAGAACTTATTTCAATTTCCAACCGCAGGCCTTAATTGAATAACATAATCATTTCCATCTTCTTCATCTTGTTCAGAATATTCTCCAAGGTAATCATTGTCATCTTGTACTTTCTCTTCTTCAATTTTCTCCATTTGTTGCTTCAACGTTTGCAATATGTGTCTTTTTTTCCTTTTTTCAGGTTTTAGGATACTCTTTCTAAAAGACTCTAATAATTCTCTTTTGTACATTTTCATCCTGAGTTCCCAAAGGCTTCGATCGTGTTGATTCTCTCTTTCTTCTTTTTGTTCTTCTTTGGCAGTTTCGCAATCGCTTCTTCTTCCGCTTTACATCATCTCCAACAACATTAATAGCCAAAGAAAAATCAATTTCGAACATCCAAACTCTCATCAAGTACTCAATCAATCAAAAGAAATGTAGAATTGAACAAATGTGCCTAACATTCAATCCACAAGAACCCTTGTACAAACTTAAAATTAACTTTGATTCCAAGAATCCCAACACTGAATTGATTGTACAAGGATTTGAAATTATCAAAAGAAAGCAAGAAACACATATAGCAAATTGTATACTTCCTGAATCAACAAGTGAACCCGCAATTACCAAAGCTATTAAAACACTATGCAAGAACACAACCATCAAATTCGAAAAAGAGAGACTCCGTATTAAGAAAAAGGTAAAAGATACCTACTCATACCTAATTGTTGAATACAAGCTTAATGACATCAATGAATTGAATAGACTAACCTCAACAAGATTTATTTGCTCCACAGAATTGAAACCAATTTCAAGACAATTCAAGCCAAAGTCAACCGCTTGAACATGCGTTTAATAGTTTTACCAGCAGCAATGGTGCTAACAATAAACTAATTAGATTTTTTAAAACGACGAAAAAAATTTCACACTTTAATGCAAATTACAATAATCAAAAAAATCCACCAAATGTCAGAGCAACAAGGTGGATATTCCAAAGCTGAAAGAATGAAAGAATGAAAGAAACATTAGAAAACTATTATGCATCCTGACAACTCTATTCTTTGATTAAATTCCACTACTAATTATGTTGGACGTTCTGTTGAGTTATTAACGCTTTTGGAATGGAACTACAATCACACTCTACGCTTGGTAATGCAATTCTTATCCAATCAGGAATGTTAAAGAGCAGCAAATTTTTGCAACTTTGTGAAATTGATATCAAGCCGAAGCACACGGGTTTCGCTCGAGATGACGAACATTACAACCACGCAAGCAAAAAAAAATTATCGAAAATTTCTATCATCAGGCCTCTTCCGAAGAGAAATTAAACTATTTGCTCATTGATTGTTCTTTTGAACACATCGAACACAACAAATAATAATGGACAACGGTGTACAACAACAACAACATTTCCCACTACAAAAACTCGTGTTGGGTGAAGTGAATGCTCTTATTTTGGGCATGCGGAATGTACATTCTATGAGATTTTCCAATCGATATAGATTTGTAAGTGTGATTATGATGCAATTTGATCTTTTACATTGTCGATTACATTTGTCAATTAATTAATTCAATTAATTTTATTTATGGTCATATAACACTCCCAATCAAACATTCAAATCTATTATTCAATCAATCATCAAACAACAATAGCAATACGAAAATATACCAAGACAACAAGGATCTGTAGGAAATGAAAGTTCAATTCTCATCGGAATGCGAAACTTGAGAGAAAGGATTAGCAGCAACTTAACATGGCAAACATTATCAACCATGGACATACTCCAACCGTTCTTTGCCATCATAAAATCCGAAGACACAGAAGGCAGGCTTACATCAATGGCTTTGAGATCACTCCAAAAATTCTTGGAGTTCCCTGATTTTATTGGTAAGTTGAAAGATTTCAACTTTGAGTTTTATTCATTGGTTTTGTCATGAAATATACAGGAGTATCTCAATCGACACATCATAATAACTCGGAGGACGCAAAGATAATAATTGAAGAAATAGTAACAAGTGTTCAACAATGTCAATTTGAATTCAATGCAACAGACTCTGGATCAATTTCTGAAGCAGGAGGACCAATTATTTTGGATCATTCATTGGGAAGTGGTTTAGGATCAATTGCATCTGTTTCTTCGGAAACATCTCTTCTCGAATCTGTTCTTACTCAAATTATTAATACGTTTTTATGTTGTGTGAAAAGTGAGGCAGGAAAACTATTGGACGAATCAACAATCTTGGAGATTATAAAAAGTATTTTAAGGATTGGCAGAGAAACACGTCCATCTACAGGTAAGTCAGCCAAAATCATTACAGTATTTTTATGAAAATTGTCATATTTACCATAATTAAAGATTCCCTCAGAAAAACTGCTGAATTAGCCATTTATGATATAGTAACAATTATATTTTCGAGAAGACTCAATGAAAAATCCAACGAATCATCTACAACAGGAGAATTAATTTTTGAATTTATTTGTGACATGTGTGATATTTATAGTACTTCATCTGCGGTGCCGGACACATCTTCACAGCCCTCCATGAAATTAGGATCAAGTACAAATACCATGTCAACAACAGTCAATAGTATTGGAACGAGATATCTGGGTATTAACTTGGCTTGTCATGTGATTGAACTATTGGGTGATAGATTAACTTTATCAAGTTATCAGAACATATTAAGAATGGTTTGTAACCAGTTATGTCGAGCCTTGCTACGAAATGTGAACATTTCTTATCAAACAATTCTTTTCTTAGCAAATGGTGAAATGATGTTTAGCGGAAGTACTCAATCTGGACTTGGATCAAATTCTACAATTACTTCAAGCGTTCTTGCTACCGCAAATGGAGGCAATCTTCAACCCACTCACTCTAATTATGGAAATAATCTCATGCTTCTTTCAGCAGCTTTGAAATGTTCAATTACCTATTTATTCAGTTTAGCCAACATTAGAATTTTTTTACATGAACAAATTTCAGCTATTCTCCTTTCATTACTTCAACATCTTTCTCCATCACAGCAACAATATGGATCAAGTTCAAAAAAGAGTCAATTTTCTAACTCACCGATTTTAGGAAACACTTCATTATTTCTACCATTCGAACTACAAGAATTAATTTTAGAGTATCTTGTTGAAGTGTGTAGAGACTCCAATTTTATTGCATTTCTATATCGTCATTATGATTGCTATGGATGTTTTGACAAGAAGAATCAAGTCAATGTAAATAGCATTCCCAATCTTTTTGAACACATTTATTTATATCTGAACAGCTATATCGGCTTGAATAGCTCTGTAAGCGGAACCATGTTGGGAAATCCATCAATTCAAAACAACATAATAGGAAATACCATTCAGATAGGTCAGAGTGGTTCATCCAATTTTAATAACTTTACGAGTAATAGTAGTAGTAGTACATCACTTTCTTCATCTTCTCTCGGCAGTTCCAATTTACATACATTACATGTTTTAGCATGGCAAGGCCTATTAAGTGTTGTAAGATGCTTGGCAGAGAGATGTCAGGAACAACAAGAACAAAATGTTAGACAATCTCTAGATATGAATGTAGTCAATAACATGACATCTGAAATCAAATTACACAAAAAACAAAAACATAGAATGATGGAAATTGTCTCTCTATTTAATAGCAGCCCTTTGGAAGGAGTGACACAATTACTACAAATTTACAATATCACAATTCCAAAAGATCTTACCTCTTTCATAAGAAATGAAAACAGTGTGGATGAAAATTCCATAACAGTAGATTGGAATGAGGCTGTCAGTTTATTGCAACGTGCTTCTGAAAAAATTTCAAACTTTCTTCTCGAATATAATGTTTGGCTAGACAAGCAAAAGATTGTTGATTATTTCAATAGTTTTTCATCACCTGCCAATACAATAGTTGATATTAAGATTAAGGAAAGTGCTTTCACAGAAACTAACAGAACACTTACAGAAAATACCTACTTAATTCCAATTCTTAGCAAATCGAAAAAAGATCCGCTTAGAAATGTATTACCACTGGAAGTTATGAGACAGTTTATGGATGGTTTTGATTTTTATGGGATGAGAATTGATGAAGCAATGAGATATTTCATTAATAGATGCAAAATTTCTGGCGAAGGTCAACAGGTAGAAAGGATTGTTAAACTTCTTGGAGAGTGCTATTATAGAGATAATAACACAAATTTTGCAAAAGAAAGACACATCTCATGTAATGCTCGTATAGTTCCTGCCGTTCCTTATTTAGCGAACGGAGAACAAGCATGGATTTTGGCTGTTGCTATCATGATGTTGCACACTGATTTACACCATCATCACAATAGAAACAATAGAATGAATCTTGAAGGATTTATAAGAACTGTTGGTTATCATGAAGAGCTTCAAGATATGCCAAAAGAGGAGCTTCAAAAGATTTTTCATTATGTTTTAACAAATGAATTTGAAGTAGTGACAGGTTTAATTGATTCTTACAAAAGTGAAACAGTATGGAACGAGCTTATTATCAGAGGATCCATGGAATATTACGAACGAAACTTTAACCAAAAATCTTCTTCAATTTCCAACGAAAATGACAATCTACTACCCTTCATTTATGACATGGAAATGTTCCAGAGCATGTGGGGACATGTAATATTGGCTACAACCATCATTTTAGAAAACTCAGACGATATTCATTTATTAGAATTGGCAATCAGAGGATTTCTTGATAGCGCCAGAGTCGCTGCAACTTATCACCTCCATCATGTTTTTGATAATTTGGTAATTACTCTATGCAAATTTACTACTCTATTGGACGGGGTTACTCCTCCTTCTATTTCAGTTGTGAACTGTTCAAACAATTCCAGTCAACAAACTTTAGACAGTACTGGATTAACTTGGCCAACCAATACATCTATTTCAACTACAATAGTTTCTCATGATGGTGTGGTAATCTCAACAATTAATGGAGGTGTAGATGGTGTTGTGACATCCCCAGCTTCACCATCAGCTAATAATCAAATCATCAATTCCTCTTCTTCATCTTTCAACTCAAATATTGGCAGTAAGGTTGCATCTTCATCAAGAACTGATAAGAATAGATCCATAGTTATGTTTGGCCATAATGAAAAAGCAAAACTTGCTTGCAGAACTGTGTTTGCAATTACTAGAAAATATGGAGATAATTTACGCGAAGGATGGAAAAATATTCTTGATCTTATTTGCAGAATGAGAGAACTCGAATTATTGCCAGAGTCACTTGTAGAGTCTCGACTTGTGAGACAACTCAGAGAATTTCAATTTTCATCATCACACGAGTCAAAGATTTCTTCTCCAAGAAAAGAAAGTGGATCAGATCAGTCCTTATCAAATCAAGCCTCGTCACAACTATTAACCTCAGGATCTTCTCTTTATGGACATATCATTTCAAGCATTTCTAAGAGTGCTACCAAAAAGTTAAAACCCAAGTCTCAAAATCAAACACAAACACAAGTTAAAAGTGCAACATTCTCTCTCTTGTCAAGCGTTTTTGGGGGTTTCTATGGTAGCAGTAGCAGCGAAGAATCTAATGTAAAAAAGAAAAATAACTGGGATGACTCCGATGACTCGGACGATGATAGTGAGTCTCAAGCACTTGGAGGACAAGACACAGAATTTGAACACTTTTCAATTGAGATTAAGCATGCTTTGGACGAAGCGAGAAAATGCATTGAACAATGTCGTATTGTTGAACTATTGATGATGGATGCCAAAGAGTTGAGCGGTCATTCGTTAGAATATTTACTTAGTGCATTGATTAGAAATGGCAAACCAAGTGGTGTTTTAATGTCTATGCATATACCTGCTCCACACCTCTTTGCTCTAAAGACAAGTACAACACCACAAAAACAATCACCAACATCTAATTCTACTGTTACGTATTATTATTACGAACGTGACATTGAAACCTCACTATTTTGTTTGGATTTACTCTGTGATGTGCTAATTAGCAACAATCTAAATAGAAATACCATCACAGATCGATTGAAACTCATTTGGAATTATGCATATGGTCATGTATATAAGCTCATGATATCAATTTTACAAATATATGAGCCTATCAACGTTATACAATCCATTTATCAAGTCTCTTCAAGTGCACAAAGTGCACCTTCTTCTCTTGGCTCGTCATCAAAAGTTAGTGGTAGTACTAATTCACTTCCTTCAGAAAGGGCTAGCCCAATCTCTACTTCAACAACAACTTTACGTACACGAATGACCAAACAACATTATCATATTCTTCAAAGATGTATTACATGTATTTGGAGATTATGCATGGAATTGTCTACTCCTTCAACATCACTTAACCAAGTTACCGACAAATCCTCTTCCGAGCAACAAGAATGGTCCTTTATTCAAAAAGAAATGTTATCTGTTCTTATTGATCACCTTGGAAAGCAGTGGAATGAGGGTCTTCTTGGAGTATTTCACATGAGCCTACTTCCAATGATTCACATGTTTTTATCAAGGCATGGTGAAAATCTTTTATCACCAATGGGGAAAAAATTCATTCATGAGAGAACCAACATGACAAACAATACTAGTGGAAATACTTTGGTGCTTTCCTCAATATCCCAAGTAATTGTTGAATTTTGGGATCATTTAGTTTTTAAGATGTTAAAAAGTATTTCAACTGCCTCAACTAGTTGGATCAACAACAATCCAAGTAGTACTTTATTCACTTCACTAAAACCTTCTCAACAATTACAACTAATATCAAGATCATTGGACGTATTAACATTAAGCTTACAACAAAATACCACCCACTCTCAAGACAGTAGTAATTTCAATATTTGGTTCGTGGTTCCAGACAATATTCCAACCTTTGTACAAACGTTAATTTCCATTCTCAGTGCCTCCATAACTACCAATGTCAATGTACAAAGCTCAAACTCAAACCATACTCAGTTTATTGGAACACTTAAAAAACTCATGACACTCGCACAAGACATTTTATCAATATTAGAAAATTTAGTTCCTGAAATTTTGAAAAGAATTGTCTCAACAGCATTTTCATCTGTTAATGGCTCCCAAAACGTAATACGATTAGACAACAAATGGATCAATGCTTGGCTTTCAATTTTAGAGGGAATTTCAGTTTTTTGTTGTACGGGAGGAATTAACAATTCGTCGAGCTCAGGAAATGCTTTGCATTTACTCATGTCACAACTTAATAATAATCAAATTCAAATGCTGTCTCAGCTTCAAAGAGATATTAGAACACAAGCCCTCTCTGCACTTCAAAGATCTCTCATTGTCAGTTGTGACTTTAAATACGCTTCATCCTTGAACCAGCAATTAATGAATGATTCTCCAAATGAGAATCTTAAGTATTTACTTAATGACCAATTATTGATGCTCTGTATGGAAAAGGTATTAATCAAATCTTTCCTTCAAACTCTTTTAGGCTTGAAACCAAAAACAACAGAATACCAATCTAATCACAATACTGAAATGGATATCTCATCTCTGGAAGAACTTCGTGTCCGTGCTAACAATTTATTGGCCAGGATATTCCTCCACTTTCTGCCTAGAATGTTCACAATTTCAGAGAACCAACAGGAGAGTGGTTTTCACTCGTTGTGGCTTTTGATTCTCCAAATCATGTATAGCTTTTTGTTGGTAAAACCAAAGAGTGACCACTTAAGGGAAGCTTTACCTGAATTACTTAAGAATATGATTCTTGTTATGAATAATATTGAGGTGTTCAAATTGAATCCTCAATTATGGACTCTTACAGAGAATGAGCTTTCCCAAACTATGCCTTCACTTGTTGAGGATGTGAAACCACGAATTATTGCTTCAATGAATAGTAATCAATCCGACAATAACCTTTCCAATGAGAGTGAGACCAATGCTTCTCCTGCTGCAACAAGCTCTGTTCTACCAACTCCGAACGAACAAGAGGTAACTCAGCCAAGGCAACAATGAAAATGAGTTTGCAAAATTCATTCCAAAAATAAAAAAAAATTCAGCCATTCAATTTTCATCATCACCCAAGACCAGAAGTAGAGTGGCCACTCTCGTTCATGATTTCAAAAATTTAAAAATCGCTATTCGTACTAAACTCCATAACACAGAAGAGTTGATTATCATAATTTCTTTTTGATGTAAGTAGATTATATGATGTACGGACGGAAGAATTCTTATGAATATTTGCAAAATTGTGAATTTACCGTGTTTGAATCCTGATTCTAATGCCTTCAACAACAACAAACAATATCATACCTTTTTTCTAAATAATCAAAAACAAAAATTTGAATCCACACTACCTCTGGAATTCATTGAAACAACTATTCTGCTCTTCGGTGTGCTTTTCCATCGGTGTTTTGTTGGCCACATTTTGTATCTTACAATAACACTGCTGATGATATTATTATCATTGCAATTAATCATTTGTTAATAATTGATAGATATCTACAAACACTTGTTGTGGAAGTGTTGGACTACTGATTGACTATTTATCATTATCATCATTTATTTATTGTTGCTTGCTTGTGAATATTTAGTCATTTACGTTGTTGTTCTCTACTATCATCCATTCAGTGTTTAGCATTGCAAGCACCATATTATATTCATACAACAATAGTGTAGTATAACTTGATATATTTGAAAATTGTAATCGATTAACTCAATCATCTTCTCCAATAACACACGATTGTATTCTCCTTCTTTCCATTATCAAAATGCTAGACAATAATGAAACCACTTCAAATTCATCCGGCGTTTTAACTCTCTCTAATCCTTCCACTACCTCTTCATACATTCACGGAGTTAATAATGATTATTACCTACCACCCTCCGGAGAAAGAGAAGACATGAATAATAGCAACATGTCATCATCGGAGGATGCTGAGCCAATGTCCACAGCTGATCAAATGGACTTTTCAGAGTCGGGATTGGATGTCCATGAGTATGGCTCTTTTGCCTCTAGAATGCATGACTTTTCTTCTCCCATCACAACAAAGGCTCCGCCCTTTCCAGAAAAGAATTTACAACAAGTCGGTAGCGCAAAGAAGGGTGTTGTTCAAGCACCACCACGACCTCCTAATCCTTTTACATCCATTCCACCTGCACTGAATCATCATTCCACTCCCATTTCCAATAATGTAATTAATTCCATCACCACGACTACCACCATTCCCACCACAAATATGCAACCCGAACCATCAAGCCCTTCCAACACCTTTAGAGAATTTCTAGAGGGTGAAGTGTATAAGAGACCAGCCCGTCTCTCTCCGCTATCTGTTGATAACATTGTTGAGGAACAGCAGACCATCAACAAGACAAAACAGTCATCAACTAAAGTCTCATCATCATCGGCCACAACGACTGGCCCTAAACAACCTACAAATCCTTCCGTAAATATCAATTCTTCCAAACAATCCGTAACATCATCATCAACAACAACAGCAACCAATGGAAATACTGTTACTGAACAAAAAGTTGAACCTCCTCAAAGACCAACAATTTCAAATAAGACACTTTTATTGGCAAATCGATTGACTGCTCAACCTTCCAAACCACAACAGCAAGAAGAAGAATCTAATAACGAATCAAGCGATCATGAAATGTCAACAAAAAAAACTCTTGCCAGCAAGAAAGAATCAAAGAAAAGATCAAGTCATGAATCCGATTCTGAAAATAATATGGAAGACATTTCTTATGAATCATCAGAGGAGAGTGATAAAAAGAGTAAAAAGAAGAAATCTACAACACAACCAGAACAAAAGAAAAAGGCTGAAAAAGAAACAAAGATCAAGGGTGTCAAATCGCGAAAAACAAAAAGCGAAGGTGGAGAAAGCAGTCAATCTAAAAAATCATCGTCAGATTCTAAAAAGACCACTTCCCCTAAGCGACCTTTAGAAGATGTTGTTGAGTCTAAAGTTAGTGTCAATGAGGAACCAAAAACAAAGAGAAATAAGCAGCCTACTCCAGTTGAGAGCAAAAATGTCAGCATCAAAACGGAGAATAGTAATGCAAGTAGCAGCACTAGTACACATACTAATACCACAAGCACAAAGTCATCATCAGCGAACAAAGACGTCAAAACCCTTCAACAAAAGCTAGACAGTAAGAGACAAATTGCCACTACCCTAAAGCATAAGGCTGATGACCTTAAGAAAGACCATCAAATTTCTGAAGCAATCTCAACTTATTTGGCTTCGGGTATGAAGTATAGCGAGGCTGCCATGTATTCCAAACAAATTTTTGAAAATACTCCCAAAGAAAAGAATCCTTCAACAAGCGGAACAGCTATACTGCTCAAACAAAATATTGACTTTTTGAAATATGTTTCCTCGCTAGCACTAAAGTATGCGTATTATGACAAGGCAGTGCTAGCCAACATTCTCATATTTACAAATACCAAGGCTCTCTTTAATTTCAAGACACAATCAATTCAAAGATACCGTAGATATTTGCTTGGAAAGTTTGGTGAAACCAATTCAACATCAGTAGGATCTTCAAGCATTACATCTCCTGCAGCTGTGGCATCTCCTTCCTCGCAGTCTATCTCTACGCCTTCTCCCGTTCACAATGGTGGTGCAATGATTAGCTCTGTTGGCTCTGCAGAGTTGACAAATACAATCATGCGCTTGTGTGAAGAGTTAGAAATTGTTTCCATGGTTGTTGAAAATGAAGTAACATTATATCATCAACTGAAACAACATGAAACCTATCGAGAAAATTATGAACTTATGCATGAGGCTCAAAGAGGAAATATTGACTTTGTTGTGAAGTTTTTGGACGATGAACTGGCTCGGCTTGATTCAAGTGAATAAATATTTATTGAGAACAGTGTATTTATTCAAAGTCGAACACATTATTAAGGTCATCCGAGGAAAGTAAATTTGCGGATACCATGTCCTCGAAGAGCAAGAAATTGGTTTCTTGCCGATCCAAATTCTCTTCTTGTTGTTGCGTTCCATTTAAGATTGGCCTTTGCAAATCCCCAACTGTGCTCTCGTTTGGATCAGACAAGATGACATCTCGTTGTAATGTCGACAATGCAACTTTCGCCTTAATCATTGCTGCACACTCTTCCACTTCTCTAATCACATGATTAAATTTTGAAAGAATTTTGTATCTTTTGCGCAAAATGTCAATAGCTCTCAAATCCTTTTGTAAAATTTCGAAATAATTCGTATTATTGTACACAAAATCAGTAGAATCTTGTTGCAAGAGCATCTTGACAATTTGAACGTGAATTTGGCCAGCAACTAATATGCAAGCCACAATCTCCACTGGAAATAGGGAAATGCCTCATGGTCTGTTAGTTGTGTGATTTCCAAAGCACACTTCTCAATTATTCCCTTCACTAATGGTGACGATGATTTGGCAAGAATCGAAATTTTGACGCTGTGTGAAAATAATGTAAACACTGGCTCAATCATGCAACTATATTCTTTGCTATAACCATAACATGCCATTGCTTGTTTCGTTGATGGACGTTGTACACTATTGATCACCACTTGTTTTAAGTCGTCGATAATCACTTGTATGACATTCCATATTTCAAAACAGTTCTCTGATGTAATTTCTTGTTGGAGTAATTTCAGCCAATTAACTGGGCATTGTTTGCCAGTGAAAAATGAGAAAATTTCAGGGATTCGTTGTATCACTAAAAGTTAATAAATTTAAAAATTGATACATTACAACTTGTCTAGAAAGGTTTCAACTTTACACTTACCTTGTTGAATACCCATCTTTTCAAAATGATCTCCAATAATGTTTGTAAAATAGAATACTATTGATTGTAAATTTTTTTCATAAACATTCATATTTTCTCTCTTTGTTTCATCTGAAAATAAGCTGTTGAGGCAGTAACTAAGAATTTGAATATAGAATTTGGCATTTTCAATTCGTCCACTCCAGGCTTCATAAATTGCTAAATTCCCATAAACTACAGCAACATTATAATTATTGAACTGGTCAAACATTTTGGAGAGAACGTTTTTAGCTTTCTGAGCACTTTTTTCAGCCAACTCGGAAAGTCCATATCGACATTCACACAATGCCCGAACTGACAAAAAGATGGCAAACCATTCTTCATGATATCGACTCGGAGTATTTTCTGTATTGGTGTTTTGTTCAAAATTGATTTCTTTGCCACTTGAGCTGATTTTAGATGATGAATTAGCAGTGAAGGATTCATTACTCGATAATGGTGACGTGTAAAGAAACTTTTCAAATTCTTCTCTTGGAAAACATGGACATCCGTCACACGCAAACTCATAATAAAACTCAAGGACATCTCTCTTATTTAAATGTCCAGTTTCTTCGTCGAATTCTGTGAATGCAGAAACAACGTGATGACTTTCATGATCCTCTCGTCGTTTTTCGATATAATCTCCAGATACTTTTTCATAGGGTTTGTATTTCACGTTCTTGTCCTTATTAGCATGATTCGTCGAGGAAGAAGAAGATTCTTTTTGTTTGTTGCTATTTCGAGAGTGTTGTTTTTCTTCTCCTGTTGATGATGATTTGACTCGTTTAGATTCTCGATAGACACACTCTACTCCCCGTTGTCTACATTCCACACAGCTCGGAAGATGTTTTGAACATTTTCGGTGTTGCTTCCTACAGTTGATGCAGGATATAGCGAAATATTGAGGAATTTCCAAAAAGGAAGAAGCAGGTTGAATGAAAGAGGTATCAAGATGGTTAAGATGGTTGTTGGTTAATGTTGTTGTTGTTGTTGTTGGTAGGGTCAATGTTGTTGGGAAAGTAGTTGCTCCTGTGGTTAATGTTGTTGGTGGTAGTGTTGGCGATGAAAGGACATGAATGTTGTTCGCTTCATGACCACCACTGCCATCACCACTTTCTCGTCGGAAGGATGAGACAACCAAGAGGGAGGAAGGAAATTGTAGAGGATGCTGGCTTGTTGGGTTGGCATCGCCATTCATGAAGTAATAATCATTGTTGTTGTTGTTGTTGGACCCAAACGGTAAGGATGAACAATGTTGTGCATTGGCATGGGTTTCATGTTGAAGGAATGGTGATGACGATGAATGGGTAGCTTGATTTTCCGAATCATTCGTTAGGGAAATTTGCTCTTGGATGGAATTCGGAGAGCCCATCGACGATGAAGATGACCACCACCACCTTATACTATTCGATGCATCTGCAAATTCTCTACCAAAGGATGAAGAGAACGGGTTGAAATTCACTGTTGTTGAACGATGATGATTGCCATCACCAGGTTGCATTTTTATTTGCCGCTCTTGGAAAGGTATTAGAAATCAAGAGAGTATTATACCATCCAAATATTTGATTACATGAACTGATTCAATTCACCTTCTTCGAAATCTCCATAGGTGGATGGTGAAAATATTTGTTGTAAATCTTCGTGAGTGAAAAAGGGATCGACAAAATACAATTCTTGTTGAGAGGGTGATTTAGTGGAGAAAAGAGGGGACTGTGAGGAGGAGCTTGCATTGTCTGTGACGTGGCCACCACCCAATAGCTGTGAAAATTGAACTCTGTTTTCTGCTGTTGGAGGTTTTAAAACATTGAGATTATTAGCTGCTGTTTCATTGACGTATCCAATTAGGAATGAAAGAGGTGGCAATCCAGCATCAAAAGTGCTCGGTTGCATCATTTCACCAATTGGTGCTCGAGGTTTTGATGAAGATTGGGTAGAAGATAGAACGTTCAACACGGCATTATCTTCGGCGTTGTTTTCGGCAGTGGCGTTACCACTGGGTAGTATTGAACGCTTCTTTAACATTTGGCCAATTTCATCCATCAATGATCCATAACAGAGTGAGACGCGTTTGAATCTTTTGCTTAATACATTTAGGGCTCGATAATCTTTGGTGAGAATTTCAAAGTAGTCAACAGGTCCATAACTATGTCCATCCGATAATAAACCCTTTTGATTATTTTGTCTGGTCCCATTCTCGATCTTTTTACAAATCTGTAAGTGAATTCTTGATGCCAAAGCGACATGAGGTATCACAATAACAGGCAAGAATGGGAAAAATTCGCTTTCAGATGAGTACGAAATTCGAAGAGAGCTCTCTTCTATCAGTTGTTTTCCGTATCCTGCCTTCGTCAAAACACCAACTCTGAGTCCGTTAAGAAGTACTGACTGACACAAGTTCGAACCACGGTCATAGATCTCCATCTCTCTTTCAGTTCTGTTCTTGGCAGCCAATGAACGGAAATATTTGTTGAGATAAGATGCAACCATTTCGATAATTTTCAAATAGTCCAGACAATTAGAGGGGCTAACCTCTTGTTGCGTCGCTTTTACAATTTCTTGAGGCAGAGGATGACCAGTGGTATACTCGAATACTTTTGGAAAATTGTGAATGAAGGTATTAATACCCAGTTCACTGTCAGCGTTAACAATATCAATAGACGATAGGTATTTTTGTAGAGCCTTTTCATACTCGTTGAGCTTCTGCTTTTCAGTTTCGTCCATCTCCTCAAAGTAAAATTTTGCGTTTCTCAAATAAAATTTGGAAAGCTTTACCCTTCCACTTCCAATTTCATAAGCACCTAGTGAAGCATAAGCACACGCAACAACATAATTCGACACTTCGTCAAACAATTTAGATAACATGTCACGTGCTTTTCTAGCGGTTTTTTCGGCTTGGTCTCCCATACCTAAACGTTGTTCCACGAGAGCTTGAATTACAAAATAAAAACATTGCATCTCCTTCTTGTATGGAAGATCTGATTCAACTTCGTCATCAGAGCTCTTGTGTAAGATGTGTTTTTCCAGAAGGGCTCTATCTATGATAATAAAGTGATCACAAATCATTCGAAAATAAATGTCAATGACATGTTTCTTGGTAAGAGTTTGTGGGATTTTTGATGTCCACGTCGTATCGGCCGGCGTACTAAGAGAATCCTCCGATGATTGAGCTTGAGGTTGTGACACTGTATTGTTTTCTTCAAGACTTTTCTTCTTTTTCTTTTTAGGTTGATCGTTTTCTTCCTTCTGTTGCTTGAGTTGCGGATTTGGATATCTCATTCTTCTTGGCGTTTTGTACTCGCAAACAATTCCCTTAGATTCGCATCTATTGCAACTTGGGAGTTTCTGAACACCAAAATAATTGAAACATGGTTCCAAGTCATCGAGCCAAATAATTGAAATAGTAATGATGAGTATTATTAAAGTTAGGATGTTAGTATTTCCGAAAATGTCATTGTCAAAAACGAAGACATGGATAAAAAATAATATACATTAATAGGAGTGAGAAAATATAACATGCATATTCACTAACCTTATCGCATTGCTTTTGTAAAAAAATAAATGTTAACAGGTGTTAGAAAGAAATTCTAACATGCACATGAACAAACTTACCTTATGCATTTTCCTACAATTAATGCAGGCAATAGGATGAAATTCAGAGGAGAGGGATTGTTGGATTGTTGATGGTTGCATTTCATTATTTTGAGGAGAATGCAGTGGAGTGGTTTGGAATGAGGTCATCATTGAATTTTGAGAATATTGTTTTTGTGATGGCGGAGTTCCGATCTGATTATGGTGTGTGAAGTTTCCATTATTATTATTTGCAGGTGAAGGATAAATATTACTAGCAGTCATATTATTTTGTTGGGAATAGACATTGTTGTTGTATTGGGGGCTCTGTGACGAGTAATTTCCAGTACCATAGTTCACCATTTGTGGAGAGGTGTTTTGGGAAATGTAACCTTGTGGTGAATGTTGTGGCACTGAAAATTGTGAATAGTTGGTTGGAGGAACAGAAGCACCGTCCGTACTATTATTGTAGTAATTATTTCCTTGATGAAACGTGTTTGGATATGGTTTTTGTTGAAAGGAAGGATGCGATTGATGTTGTACGGGAAAATTATTTGCATTTAATAAATTAGATGCTGAAGGGGAAAGTGATGATGGTGGTGATGGTTGTGTCGGATGATGATAGTTGAGCTGCTGCTGTTGCTGTGGAGGTTGTGGAGGTGGATGAGAAGTACTCATCCGTTGTCCATAGGTTTGTTGTGGTGGATGATGCTGTTGTTGGTGCTGTTGTGGAGAAAACCCATTCATGTTAGAGGCTGTATGACCCTGCGAGGCCAACCCCGATCCATTAATGCCAACAGTCGGAAAGTGTCCATTCATCTCTCAGCTATGGTAGTGATAGGAATGAGGATGATGAGTAATTACTACTACTACTATTATTATTCGGTGGTGATTACTACTCTTCGGATTTTGCTCTTCTCTATGGTAACAACAAAAGTGTGATAAGAACGTTCCAACTATTTGATTGCTGCTGAAGAACAACAACAACAACGATATATAAAATCCAACTCTGAGTCGCGACAAAATTTGCTGTTGTTCCGTACGAAATTCAATCTTCTTTCACAATAGATACCGACAAGGCGAGAGAGAGAGGTGCGAGAGGTGCTGGCGCAACACGAGGAGATACTTTGGTGCGAAGGAGGAGGTCACAGGAGGGTTCACGCGAAAACACACCAAAAGAACACGCACTTATTTTTTGTTTGGTGGATGCAAGAAGTGCGAGATCCGCACCTCCTCCTCTTCCTCCTTTAATTATTAAACAAGGTTTGCGGAGAAGAAGGGTGAAAGGATAAATAGTGTTGGGAAGAGATACTTCCAATCCAGCTGGTACGCAATGAATGTATTTATATAATGAGACCACTTTTTCATTTTGAGATTTACTTTAAGGAGTTGGGAATTCTCAAGTCAAGAAGACAAGTTAAAAAGACCCTTTCAAAGATGCGTCTTCTTGTTTTCCAATATTCAAAAAAAACAAAATGTACCTCTCAATGCCAAACATTTCCACTTTTGTAACTGCCTCCACTGCCACCATCATGGCCTCTAAAGCCGCCATCAACCTTGCAGGTTTTACAAAAACTGGAATAGCTGCAAAATCATTGGCCTCTGCTTGGATGTCCTCTTCAGCCATTGCAAATGGAGGAGGAATTGCAGCAGGTTCCACTTTTTCTCTCTTGCAATCTGCTGGAATGACTGGATCACTGATGACTGGTCCTGTGGGAGCTGTCGTTAGTGTTGCTGCTCTCATTGTAGGGTTGATATTCACTTCCTCATTAGTTCCTAAATAGAGATAATCCATGGCCAGTGAATGAGGGATTGGATTCTCAAACAAACAAACAAACAAACACTTGTAAATAAACAGGGAGTACCTAAAGGTTGTAGAACTTGATCTCTTTACTTAAAGGGTTTACAAAAAAATTGCCCATTCTCTCCCTTCGAAGAATCATGGACATTTGCAAACCTCTGAATTTACGATCCATCTCGGGTGATGAAAGACTCCTCGTGTTTTTCAGTAATGAAACCTCGGAGACTGTCAAGTTGTATTGGATTAATTATGAAGGTACAGAGATTGAAGTTGCAACTCTCTTTCCGAAGGATGCAGTCGGACAACAGAGCTATTGGACTCATTGTTTCATCATGAGAAGTATGAACACACCTGACAAAATTGTTGGACTCTATGTATTGGATTCCTCCTTAGAGAATGGCTGCATTTTGAAATCGGGTCAGGTCCATAACCAATCGTCGTTGAAACCGAATTCCACTTCACCAATGGTAAAGAATTTTCAAAAGGTTTGCTATGAATGTTCAAAAAACGGTGAATTGCCTAGTTATACTCCTGAATTGAAATCCGAGGCGAGTTACAAACAAGCAACCATTTCAGTACGAAATGCCACTCAAAAAACCTTAGATGTATTTTGGATTGATTTTGAAGGAAAATTATTGCCATATGGTCAAGTGCAACCGAATGAAACCTTTGCATCATTGAGTGCTGTTAACCATGTCTTTGTGTTCAAAACTCAGGACGGATCCTATGAAAAGGTTGTGAAAGTATCACTTAACAAACCTTTAGTAATTTTGGAAGAACAAACAATTTCGATCTGTGCGCAAACCTTAGATGAACCAACCGAGACCAGCTGTCACCCCATCATTGCTGCACAAATATCAGAGAGAACCGGAGCAAGAAATATGGCCTTCTCATATCCTGCAAGCGATTCTCTCGTTCGAGATATTGAGTCTCATCTTCGCAAAGAAGGAAAACGATTTATCGATGAAGATTTCCCTCCCCAACCTGATTGGGTGCGTGCCTATGACTTCTTTAATGGAGATGTCGCTATTGTAAAGAAAGGATTTTGTGCTACTTCGCCACGACAAGGAGGAGTTGGAGATTGTTGGCTCATTCAATCCTTGTCTGGAGCTGCTATTCGACCTCAAGAGGTCAAGAAGGCTTTTTGCTTGTGTGAATCTATTGACCCTCAGTTAGGTCTGTATGCAGTCACGTTTCACTCTGAAGATCCAGGAAAGAAGTACACCATTCTTTTGGACGATTATTTTCCCATGAATAGTGATTTTATCTTTGCAAAATCTGCTGCAAGAGGAGAGTTATGGGTACCGCTCATTGAGAAGGCCTTTGCTAAAATGATTGGAGGATTTTTGGATTTGGCTGCATCGAAACATTCATTCAATCCCTGTCACGTGTTGGTTGCGCTGTTGGGAGGCAAAGCAAAACATTTTGAGTGGTATTCTGGAGAGAACTCTGTTGGAAAAAAGCTAATGAAGGAGAATCAATTTTGGCCTCTCCTCGAACGGCTACTTGACAGCGAAAAGAGTGCACCTGTGTGTACCAGTAAAGCAATAAGCGGAGGAGACGGTACTGTCGATTCGTTTGGCATTGTTCATTACCATGGCTACAGTATTTTAGGATATAGAAAATTCCCTCAATACAATCTCAATTTGATTCAGATCAGGAATACATGGGCCAATACAGAATGGGGAGGCAGCTTTGGTGACAATTCTAAAGAATGGCAGAAATATCCCCAGCTAGCAAAAGAATTGAATCATGAAGTGAAAGATAATGGTTGTTTCTGGATGACTTATGAAGATTTTATCAAGCATTATTGTGTTCTTTGGTGGAATGAGCATGAATAGATTTATGGAAAGCAAAAAAATTGATGTTTAAAAATCAAAATATAAAGTATAATTCTAACCACTTGATTCTTACTCCTTTCTTAATGAAATTTTGACAGTGTCTTCATAAAATTTGATCGCCAGTTCATCAATCACAAATTCAAATTTGTTATTAAAACGAGAAATAATTTGTTTTAAATCCTCCACATGAGATTCATCGGTGTAAATTAATGATACATGTGCTTCATTTTCATTATAAACAATTTTTCCTCCAGTGAGGTCAGCACACATTCTTCGAGCTTGAACAAATGACATTTGATCTTGCCTCAATGTTTCAATTTTCAAAGCAGCAAACAAACAATACACCTTTTTGTTTTTAATTCTCTCCACAGGAGATACTAAAAAATCCTCAATAATTGCTTTGAATGGATACAATTTCTTTTCTTCGACAACTCCGTGATGAACAAATTCCTGTAACGCTTGAATGGCTTCCTCTTTCTTTTTATTCGGAATTTTTCCAACAAAGGTAGAATGAAAATTCTGTTGTGGTCTTGCCTGCTGTGTGCCATTGTTGTTGAGAAATTCCTTTCCGTGATTATCCAATTTCCAATCATCATTAAAGGCATCAAATATTTCTTGAAATTTAGAAAAGGCCTCTGATGCCATCACCAAAAACGAATAACCATAACCTGGTTGTACTGACATTTTTTTATTATATGTTTGTTGACGTCTTTCCAGAAATGCATCATCACTCACTCAACTATGAAAACGCACCATCACGGATGAAGCGATTGTTGTTTATTGTTACAAAATAATGACGACCATGGTGACATACATATCTTATTGTCTATTGGATGGTTTGATTTTTGTTGAAAGGTCCCATAATTCATCATCGGTTTTTGTTTTCAACAATCGTGGCAATTCTTCTGTGAAAACAAATTGCAAATAAGGTAATTCTTGGAAATCATAATTGAGACATAATTGTTGCAATTCAGAAACTCTTCCCAATGTTTTCATTAGAATTCTCATCATTCTATAATTAATGACCTCTTTGTGTTTGGCATGTTCGAGAAGAGGTTTGTTTCCTTCCTTTGTGAAAAATACTTGACTTTGGAAACTTCCTAAATAGGGAATGCAAGGTTGTTGTTTTTCAGAGAGACGGTCATAAAGCTGATTCACTTCTTTCGAGTTGATGACTTTTTTCTGACTTTCTTCCAATTCGAGGAATAGTTTGTGTACTTCCTTATTGTCTTCATAGAGATCTTTAAGTCTAAAAACAGAAGAACTTCTTAAGCCTCCCAAAATAGACATGAATCCAAAATAATTACCAGCGTAAAAACAAGATTGAGCAATGCAAAGAATTTTGGTAAAGACCTTCTTTCGATCTCTCTCATTGGGTTGAATGAGAACGGTCTCGCTGGCCCAATGCTGCAAAGTTTTGAAATGTTCTTGCATGAACAAAATATTACTGCTGTACTTTTCTCGAATTTCCTTATCTTTGCTTTCAATATAATAAAATTCATAGGGCTTAATTTTCAAAAAGAATTTTGCTTCCAGTAAGGTCAATTGATGAGCTAATTCTGCAGAAGGCCATGAGAAAATGTCAAATTGGATCTTGAAAGGATTGGAAATTCCCAATCGAATATATAAATCCTTGTCATGATTCCATTTTGACATGGGAATTTCTGGTGTTGATACTTGTTGCAAAGTTAATCCTTTTGGAATTCTCAGAGTTTTATCCTCTGAAGATGCTGAAGAGTCACGGCCTGGGCTAGTAATACCACATCGAGTTCCAGAAGAGGCCTGAATGGAAAGCATATTGAGTACAAGAGCATTTTGGATCTTGGCAATACTTGATGTGCTACTGGAGGACATGTGTTCAATTTCTTTCATAAAGTTAATACTTTTGGCAATACTTAAATTATTGAATGCATAGAATCCATCCTTGATTAATCGCGCAGCAGTCCTTTCGAGGTTAATTTTTGTGAATAAGTCATTCTTGTCTTGCTTATCTTGATTCAAATGTCTGTATTTGGCAATCAAAATGTCAATAATTTTTTCTGGAGTGCTGAATAAATTATAGGTCAAGTAGAACATTTGGGAAAATTGTTCAGTATGTTCCTTGTCATTGGCAGGATTGTAACCAAGAATTTTGTTAATAGATGCTTGCAAAGTGGCTGCTTTGAGACAACAGGTTTCGGGGTCCACAATATATTCATCTTCTTCTGCTTCGTGAGATACAATGGTCTGTGAATCATCACCATTTGTGTATTCAGTTAATAGTATTTCTGTACAGTTTAGACAGTGCGCTCTAAAAACATCAGGATCATGATCCAAATCATTGGCATCTGGGCAGAAAATGAGTAGACTGTGTGACTTCTCCATGAAAATCAATAGAGCTATGAGTATTCTAAATTTGCTTTCCTTCTTCAAAAATTTCATAGATAAATCTCGAGCATTCTCAATCTCATGCACACTGATCAATTTTTTGCAGTGAGTCACCAAGTCAGTGACTAATGATTTCACAACCAAAAAGCAAGTGTTACCATCGTGTCTTAACAATGAGTGGATTGTAATGTGGCGAATGAGCTGAATAAGTTTGTAGAGCAATGCATCCACATAATCCCCATCGGCCGCTGTGTCAGACAATCCATGAAATAGAGAGATTAAAAGGTTCATCATGGATCCATCTTTTCCAATAAAAAGAGCATTCAAAATATAGACGACAACTTGATAGGACTTGCTGACAAAATCAATCTTCTTTGATTGTTGCTCGTGTTCTTTCGAAACCCCTCTGAACGCTAATACAATATTCTTCATAAACTTGAGCATGTAAAAAACAATGCTCAAATCGTTCAATTCATTAGAGCAGTGCAACGTTTTATCTCTCCACCATCGAATGAGCGCATCTCTGTTGTAATTTCTCATTGTCCATAACAGAAGAGTACTCAAAATAACGTTAATCTCATTGAACTGTTTGAGTTTAAGTAACAATTCTTCTCCCTTATTGAAGAAGGTGTCTACAAGACTTGTGAAAATTATGGAAGTGATACGTTCTCGATTTTCTCTTGGTTGATATCTTTCATCAAACTCTAATTTCAAAAAGATGTCCAACAAATACTTTCCAATCTTGTACATGATCTTTTCGTTCTTCATCTCAATAGATTCAAAGAACAAGGCAATAATCTTGTTAATGAAGATATTCGTAGTTGAAAGCTCCCACATTTCATGATAATCTGCCAAAATTGCAAGAGATTCACTGAGTAATCTCAAACTTGTTTCCTTTGATAAGCCAGTTGTGACTTTTCTGCAATAAAATTCAAAAATGCCTTTCACAGCCTCATATCCAATCGTTGGCAAGAGATCTCTAATAAAGAGTGAGATATTTCTATTACAATAAATAGCAAGATTGTGACTGCTGTTGTTGTTAGAAAGTAGTAGCTTTTCCATGCACGTAAATAGCTCCTGGATGAGATTTTTCGTTAGAACTAGCAAGTCACTCTCTAAATAATTTGAAATGCCCTTTGATTGCGCAATCAAGAGAGATTTGATCACCATGTCAAACACAAACCAAGAGTATCTGCAAGAGTCGGATGTTTTTTCCTCGGTAGCTTCTCTATTGGACGTCAAATATTGTATAAATACTTTCATCAATTCACAATGTAAAGATTCAAAATTGAAAATAAATTTGATATAACTCGAGAAGAATCGGTTGCCTCTTGTACTGTTACCGCAAAACTCATGGAATTTGTTCAAGCTCAACAATAGTGCCTCGAATAACTTGGTTTGAAGATCTACTCGAAGTTTTTTCATGTTAATTTCTTTTGTGAACTGTTCAGAGGATGAATAATTCAACAATTCCAGTAAAATGTCAAATAGCAAGTACATGAAAGGCATGCTGATGCTAAAGTCAATCATATTAAATTTCAAGAGCAAATGATAAACAATATACTCTAAAATGGAAGACTTTTGCAAAGAGGTACTTTTGGTAAATGCGTCGTAAGCAGCGAAGAAGAGTTGCAATCTTTCATCAGTTGGTTGTAAGGTGGTCACCAAGTTAGCATCGATTCTGAGCTTGGCTTTTTCGCTAAGTTTAAGAGAATCCAAATCCTTTTCACTGATTGATATGTATCCAGGGGGTAGCTTTGTATAAATTGGTATCGTTTCATTTGAAACAGATTGTCGAAGTGGCATGTACCCAGACAAAATATCTCCAAAGAGTTCCTTATCTCCCTCATAGACACTATTGTTCGCATAGAGAGGTAAAAAGCTATATCCAACAATATTTCTGTGAACACCTTGACCAAAGTGGCCACTTCTTAAATCCATTTCTAAAATTTTCTGGCCTTTTTTCTTCAAGTCTACTATGTCAATGTTGTAAAATGTGAAAAGTAAATGATGCCCATTGTGAATATTCTCTGGAGTCAAACCAAGTAGATCAATCTTAATTTCGTCAATGAAATGCACATTCTTTTTGGTGTTGCAAGAAAGACTTGAAAATTGATATCGTTGTAACTTGTTGCTAAACTTTCCAATAAATCGCTTCAACATTTTTGTACTGCTATTTGAGTTCAGGATATAGTCTTCAGGACTTGGAGTGGTCTGATCACAATCTCTCACTGACACCTCAATAAGGACGTTTTTACAATGTTTCAATCCGGATAGTCTTGCAAGTTTTAAATTCAAAAATAGCATGTTCTTAAAAGCAAGATGTGGATATCTAGATTTCATCCATGGAATCTCTTCCACCACATCTTCAATATCTTCATCGACAATGGTATTTCTAACGAATCTTCTTCGCGTGTGAGGTGATTCTGTGCGTAATGGGTCTGCCTCTTCATCCAAATAAATTGAATTCTCATATTCATCGACAAAACTTGGCCTGGTCACGCTCGTTCTTGAGAATGATTGCGATTTCCAGTCACGTATGATTTTACATTCCACGGTCATTTTCCCCCTAATATGATATGCTTGCATACTGGAATGAGTCGCTGTCTGAGGGTCTAAATGCTTTAACAATGTAATGATATTGAAATTTTCAATATTACTGTCTACAATAATTGGGTAAAACTTTTCAATTGTCGTGGAAGAGAATGCCAAGTCCACTTTTGGATCATCACCAAAATCAAGAACACTAGACGAGCTAGAAATATTGGCGTGACCATGGGGTCTCTTGGTACTGAACACTTTGCAATAGCCCAAGAGGAAGGACTGCTCAAAGTGATACAACGCCTTGCGTGATTCTTCTAATTCTGTTTGTGAAGATGACTTCTTTTGTGAAATACTTCCCATCTCTTCTGCAGCTTCTTGAACAGTTGTGTGAGGAGCCAATCTACGAATGATCACCACACAATATATTTGATCATGAGGATAGCTAACGTTAAATACTTTTTCTTTGGTGGCACTTGGCATCATTCTTAATATGTCTTGAGCACTTGTTGGCAATGCTTGTAATTGCAGCTCAGATAAAAAGTTAAAGCACCAATCTTCAGTGATCTTCTTTTCGCTTTTACAATCGTAAAGAGCAACAGAAAAAGTAAAAAGCTCTTTCTTGTATGACTCGCCTACAAGCGAGAAATCAGAAAAACTTAGGTTAATGCTAATTTTGTTTTTTGTAGGATACTCGAGAGCATGTAGAGTCCTATGACAAAGAACCAAGTCCATAGGTTTGTATTCATAGAATGATTTGAGAAGCATGAGTAAACGCTCTTCCAAAATTTCATTCTTAATAGACATGTCGGCAACAGTTGGAGCACTGTTCAATATTGCATTACCAAACTTTGCCGAAAGTCTTTTGCTTCCATTCACTGAATATGTTAACTCATTGATAAATGTGACTAACTGCTCATTCAAATGCTCTTTTGTGATATCTTCGAGTTTTCTCTCTTCTGTATTGATATCAATCTCATCATAAAGATCTGTTGCTTTTATGTCGTTTGCTGTCGTCATACTTAAATTGATACTACTCGTGTCTGAAAGACCAGAATTATCATTATTATTAGCTGTAAGATCATTTTGGCTATTTCTCCAAAGCCCTGTAATTCGCATAGAGAGAGTTTTTAACCTTCTCTCTTGCTTGTCAACTTTTGGTACATCCAACTTTAGACTTTGTTTCAAATTTTCTGAGCTTTTGTTCAGGTCAGACGAGGCGGTAAGATCGCTCTCAGATTTCTTTTTTTTCATGCCCATAAAACCCTTGAGTGTTTTTCCAAGAGAACCATTTCTAGATCGAGACGATGACATTTCCATGAAACTTTGTGGAATAGGGCTAGAATCTGAGTTAATGGCCTCCATAGATCTTTCATCCTCCAATTCACGAATGGCAGAAACATGTTTTAAAATATCAGAGTTATGTGAAGATTTTTGAGGAGTATTCATTCCAGCAATAGCAGAAAGACCATGGTTTGGAGGTGACGTTTGTTTCGAGTCTGAGGGGTGGGTATTGTAACTAAATGAAGAAAAATTGACATTGTTCTCCATATTTAAATCCAAAGATCCAGACAAATTCAACGTGTTACCCACTCGGCTCTGACTTCCAGATACAGCAAGGAAAGGAGGTGTTGCCTTTCGATACATTAAATTTTCATTTACATCCCAAACGTTACAAAAGTATGTGTTGTTGTTGCTTGAAATATTTGTGGTTACATTTCCAATCGTGCCATTTGATGATTTAAAATCGCTTGAATGATTATTAGTGAATGGCGAAGTGATTTGAGAAGGAGAAGCAACACTTGTTGTGTCACCGCTACGGAATGGATGTAAATTTTGAGAACTCGTCACCCTCACAGAATTAGTAGAAGTTGCATCCGTATCAGAATCATTTCCTACAAGTCCACTCAATGATTGATTAGATGATGTATTTTTCATTACTAATTGTTCAAGAGCTGATGTTGACGATTGCATGGTGTGACCATACAAAGAGATACCTGTCACTATTGAAGAATTGTTATCGGTTGGAGATGTGAGAGAACATAAATCCTCTTCACTGCTTCTACTTCCAAAACTTGTCAACTGAAGACCGTTCACTGCATGGTCAAGATCTGAGCTCCCATTATTGACCATAGACTGGCTGATTGTTGAGCTAAGTACCGATTGGGTTTGCATCAAGGAGTTTAGAGGAAATGAAGAATTTGATGTAAATGATGGTGGTGGTACTCCCCGATGGTGATGATAACGAGGAAGTTCAGAGACAACATTTTCAGTGGTTGAAGCTTTCGAGACAACACTTGCTGTCATGCCATGTTGATGTTGTGAAGCTGCTACTGAACTCGTAGATACGAGAGGAGTACCATAGGGTGTGGTTGGCACATGATTGGACTGTTGCGATTGATGTTGATTTGGAAGAACATATATCTTTTCAAAATGAGGCAAGAGACCCTGAGGAACAGCATTCAAAAGTCGAGACTGAAAAGAGTCATCGTCATAGGGCGCATTTTCACAATTATAAAGAGACGATCCAGAATTTGCACTGCTGCTACTGGCAGCATTATAATTTTCAACCTGTTGATTGAGAATGGTGATGGTTGATGTGGTAGTCGTTGTAATGTTATGGTTGTTATGGTTGTTATGGTTGATGACTTGGACAGGAACGGAATTATTTGAATGAAAATGGTGATGAAAGAGTGCGGTCGCTGTTGTTGATGATGACTCTGAGCCATTCGTTAGAGTAGTAGTGGTCGACGTAGCGTTAGTACTATGGTACGCCACCACTGTTGGTGAGTAGGCAGTCGAATGGGCATGTTTTGTATTCGTGTTGATGGTGAGTGGTGTCAATGACCCTCCTGTGGGTGATGTGGGTTGATTCTGCCACAATTGATGATATAAATTAATGTTAGCTCCTCCTCTCAAATTCGTGTTTGAGGATGAGGTTGAAAGTGAGGCATATCGTGCTGCTGCTGATGTTGTGAGTAGTTGTGAATAAAAAGAAGGATACGCGATGGATGGTTTCGGTCGGGCGTCAATAATGTAGAAAGAAGAAGGAGTGATACTGGTCTGGAGAGGTTCTTGCTGAGGTGGTGATAAATTCGAGGAGGAAGAGGACAACAAAGAGGAGGCATAGCCATGACCTCCTCCACGCGTATTCTGTTGCTGATGTTGTTGTGGAGCATAGGGATCCGAAGTGATGGTGGCGGTAGGAGAAGTAACTTTTGGCAGATGATTGCTTGCTGACATTTGTTTTATAAAAGAGATGATGGGAGATGTTTTGGTTCAGCAACGAAAATCATCATTGGGACCATGAAAATGCTTTCTTCAAAACTTGCTGTTTAAATACACGTCAGTTGTCACTTGAAGAGGAAATGCTATCAAAAGATGAACATGGAACACCAACCTTTGCTTTCGAGTTATTAATTCACCTTTTTGCTGCAACCACACATTTCTAAAACAACAAAAAACAACTCGACAACCAATCTCATATTGCAATTAAACCACAACAAAACAGCTCATCAAAATGTCATTTCGACCCATGAACTCCAACAATCCTAATCTCACAAACATCATCCGTGATGAAACCTCTCTTCCCAAAATCAACATCATGACCTACAATGTAAATTTTGGAGGTGTTTCATGGAACGGAGAGACAAATCTCGGAGGATACCGAGCCCTTCAAATCATTCATGAACACTCTCACGAATTGGACATTGTCTGTTTGCAAGAAACTCATCAAGGCTGGGAATTTGCATTGAATCATTTCAAACCCTCGGAAAACATGTATCATGAAGGACTTCATTCAAAGAACAAAGCCTCCTCTCTCCGAGCCAACTTTCCCCATCAATTCTGGGACCACTCCAAAACCGATCAGTATTTAGCAAGTGGAAGTGCAGTGTTAGCGACCAAAGATTTTGATCTTCAGGTTCAAATGCTGGAGAGTGGAGTCAAAGGCTCTTTTTTTGATGCCATGCATATTGTTGTAACGGATTTACGTTCATCGACGACCAAGACAAAGACCAGATATGAATCATCTCTCTCTATTATTATTGATGAAGAGAAAAATCAGAAGAAGAAAAAGAAGGAATAAGAACAACCAATTCTGACGCATATGAAGACATACCAATGACAAACTCCACCTCTACGACCAGATCCTCCTCCTCAAAACCAACACTCCAACTTTTGAATTTACATTTAAGGCCTCCCTTATCCTTTGAAAGCAGTACACTTCTCGATAATGCAGCTGCCTACCTGTGGAAAACAACCACTGTGAGAAGAGATGAAGTGAAAAGTTATGTCGAACAAGCTCTCAAAATCCATCCCGATATTCCATTAATTTTGTTGGGAGATTTCAATGAAAAGAGTAGTGTTGGAGTGTTTACTTCAAATTCGACCTTTTCTAACTATTTGAGAGAGAATGACTATGTCGATGCCTTACAAGATGCTACCACGTGGTATTGGCCTCTGAAGGGTCCATTCAGCTTGTGGGGTTCCTATGATCATGTGTTTTATCGCAAGCAAGAGTGGAAAGTGGAAGCTCAACAGGTGTTAGACAAGTATAAGGAGCGTGCTTCCGATCATTTACCTTGTATTGTTTCATTAAGGAGAGCCCATGTCAGTAGTCAATAATATTGGGGATGGGACCAAACCGTTGTGAACGGTATCAGATCAACCCACACGTTCGGACAAGTGTGTGGTGTCGTTTGATATCATCATCATCACTTTATAAATGTCGAACAGTTGTTGAGAATTGTTGAACACAAGTCTGGAGTGCTGTTGCATTTTGTTTGAACACATATTCATAAAAAATATCAATGCCAAAAAGAAAGCAAAGCAAGAGGATAGTAAAGAAGGGGAAGCTAATTTCTCTCGTATGACAGAAAGTGATGTTGAAGCATTGTTGCAATATGTTGATGCAAAGAAGAAAGTCAGAATGAAAGTTACTCCTGCCATTAAAACGTTTGCAGATGAACATAATTTCAATCCAAATCAAGCTAGAAGCCGATTTTATGAAAGGATGAGGTTAATCAAATTATTGAAAGAACAATCGGAATCAACATCATCATCAACAACATCATCAACAACAGCAACAACAACCCACAACTCAAAGGAAATGAATGTTTTACCCGATGTTGTGTCAAGATTGATCAAGGAAGAACAACAGAAGCAAGAACAAAAGAAAAGAAAACAACAGCAAGTTGATGATGAGAATGATGATGTTGAGAATGATGAGAACGAGGATGAATACGACTTTGACAAGTTGTTGGTATCAACTCCAGGCAAGGTTACCACTGTCGAAAAAAACATCGAACATTTATTGTCTGCCATCAGATTTGAAAACGAAACAACCAGAATAATCATTTACAGACTTTGTTCACACATGGACTATGCTATCTCAAAAGGCACACCAAGAAACAGAATAGTTTCATTAACTTTCACTGTTGCGTCTCAGCCTAACATCAACAAGATGGTCAAGAAACTGAGTAACATAAAATGTCGGAAGTAGTGCATTCACTTTATTGAATGAGAGACATTATAATCCGATTGTTGTGTCTGAGTATATTGAGGAGAGTATTGATATCACCAGTATGAAAGTTGCAGTTGTTAGCGGTGCTGATGTTGGAGAGAGTGGTAAAGAAGTGTCTCAAAAATATATCATGTTGATATCCAAGAAAAACATTGAGAAAGTGGCTATCAATGGTGTCGCAACAAATCATGAGAATATCGACACGCAACAAATCATTACTGCCCATTGGTTTGAACAGGTTTTGCAAGTGAGGACAAATTCCATTGATGTACAACTTCCTTAATGTCTCGATCTTGTCGTTTCAATCTCTCGAAAATGTCTGTCATGTCATTCAAACAATGCAGCTGAATATTCTTAAATAAATCCGATGGAATAATGGTACCATTGTCGGAACAACGATGAATCACTGCCATGCATTCATGGAACGCTTCATTCACTTTTGGATAATTCAATTGGAGAGGAGAATTTTGTTTGAGATAGGTGTTGGCAATGTGAGGTGCTAATTTTCGACGATTTTTCGAGTTCGTCGTTTTTGTAAATCGTTCAATATCTCTGTAACATAGAACTGGTTCTGGACAAAATGATTTTCTAGCAAATTCCAAAATAGTGTTGAACGTTTTTTTCTGTTTCAAACATTGTTCCAATCCAGATTCTTCAGATGGATTGAAAGAAGCATGCTCGGGAGAGTTTCCTCGTTTTTGTCTCGCATCCATTACGATTGAATACAGAACTGGAAGTAAAACACTCACAATAATTTCACAACATGAGTACACAAGCAACACATAGCCATACGGTATGAAAAAGTCCAACAGTTTTGAAAATATTGGAACAAATCCAAAAACAACAAACAAAATGATGGCACACAATTTGAGTCCAATGAGTGTTGCTGTTTCTTTCCAAATAAACCAAGTGTCTCGTGCAAATATTAGACACAATACAAACAATATAGTCTCCACAAGAATGTAGAAGAATGTGACCACTCCAACCATGAAGAGAGTTGAACTTGAAATTCCACATCCTGATACTTGAAATACTCCTCTGGTTGTGAAAATCCCAGTGTTTGTCGAGTGGACCTGAGTAAATTCAATTCCTCCCAAAACAAGATAAATTATTGCATGAAAAACGAAGAGAACAACGTAGGATCCAATCACAAACTTGTCACTCACAAAGAATGACAAAATTTTCACCTTCTTCAAGTCTTGATCTGAAGGAGTCACAATGGTCAAAACATCGTTTCGCATGTCATCATCAATGGTTCCCACTGAAGTGACATCTGAAACTTCAAAATCTACCTTTTTCTCTTGATTCGTCTGTTGTTGCTGCTGAGGTGTCACAAACTCGTGTTTCAAATTCTTTCTTGGATCCGACTGAAACTCAACTGACGAATGTGTGCAAAGTTGAAGATTTGCATTCACCGCTCCAGCATCAAAATTCATGGACCGATCGTAATCTTTCACAAAAACCAAATTCGTCTTGTTCAAATTCAACACATGCATCAAATACAATCGAAAACATCGAAAAATCGATGGTAAAATCAATGCAGGTGGTAACACAAAATACGAAATGGCATAAATAAAACATGGATAATTCTTTCTTCCAATAATGTATCTCAAACAAGACAAAATGACAATAAAAGAACTCGCGACAAGTGTCAGGACCATATAGACCATTCCTCTCGATTGGACATGTCTCGACTTTCGTTTCCAAATTAATCCCAAACAACACAATACCAATAACATCAAATAACACAACAAGAAGAACAGCGAGAAGGAAAATGAAAGCCAAGTTTCTGGACATCCCGATGCTGTTAAAACAGCTCCATCTCGACTAAAGTTTCCTAATTGAAATAATATTGGATTGCAACCTTGTAATTGAGAGGCATTGGAGATGTTGACTGGAGTTTCGAGAATTACAAAATCGGAAACGAGTGAATTGAATTTTTCGAAAAACAATTTGTTGTGGAGAGAATATTGTTGAATTTCATAGACATTGAAAATCGTAGAAAACTTGTCATCATTGGTTGTTGTTGTTGTTGTTGTTGGGGGCAACATTGATAAGCCACCTTCATCTGAGTGATGCATTTTTCTATGACGTTCTGAAATTTCACCAATGATGTCAGTTGCCACTGACAGGTCGTCATCAGCATTGATTTCGGGTATTATTCTCATGCTCAAAACAAGAAGGAGAATTAGTAAAAAAGTGAGTGTTTCAAAACGAATGGAGATGAAATGCTTTTCGACAACGACCAATGACAGGTTGACAACCCATGACATTCCATAATGAACTCCCCGCCGAAATTTTGAATCTTGTCTTGATCAAAATTTGTAGTCTTGCCATTCGGATCTTTGTTCATAACACCCAGAGCATCATTTGATCCATTTCTTCTCTCGTTGTTGTTGTTGTTGTTGTTGTTTGAATTGTGTGATTGTGTTGTTAACGTGTTCATTACTCGCAACATTGTGTATGTGGAACAAGTGACAGCGCTTGATGTGAGGGCATTAGTGTGTTGGTGAGATGGAAGTGATGGAAGTGGATGCATTTTGTTGTTTGGAAACATGGATCAAGGCTTTTCAGACAAGGCCCGTGGTGTTTTAAATTGCCCAAAAGCACAGATATATTTGGAAATAGTTTCATCATTTCTATGCGGGAGCACAAACACTTTTGAAGAAGAAAACAGATTCACGATTCGCTAATTTTTGGCAAAAGTGTGATTCTCAAATTCCAACATGTCAAGACCCTAAGGAAGTGAACAAGACGACAAATATTTCAGAATCACACAGACTGTTTACACTACAAGATCACCTTTCGATCTTTTATTATAAAACATACACATCAATGAAGAATAATCCTTCGTGTAAAATTAATCACTTGCTGTGATCAAGATTCGAGTCGCTTTAGAAAATGTGGAATTGTGTCGAGTGATCAATGATTGTTGCTTCTTTTTCAAAAATCTCAACATAGTCACTCACATTCTTTCCCACACTCACACAAGCAATACAAATCATGATGACAAGTAATTAAGGCTCAGACAAGTAGACGATTCATCCTGAGCAAATTTTCATCTTTGGAATTGAGAATATACACAAATTACTTCTTAGCAGCAATTTCCTTCTTCTCAACCTTCTTGATGATACCGACAGCAACAGTTTGTCTCATGTCTCTGACAGCAAATCTTCCCAAAGGTGGATAATCAGTGTAAGCTTCAACGCACATTGGCTTGGTTGGAACACACTTAACCATAGCAGATTCACCTCTCTTAATCTTTTCTGGGTTCTCTTCAACAGTTTGGTTGGTTCTCTTATCGATCAAAGCCAACAACTTTTCGAATTTACAAGCAATGTGAGAAGTGTGACAATCCAAAACTGGAGTATAACCGTTTCTAATTTCACCAGGGTGGTTCATGATAATGACTTGTGCTTCGAATGAGGCAGTTTCCTTAGCTGGATCGTTCTTGGAATCAGAAGCAACATAACCTCTCTTGATATCAGTGGTGGAGAGACCCTTGACGTTGAAACCAACGTTGTCACCTGGCTTAGCCTCAGGAACAGATTGGTGGTGCATTTCAACAGACTTGACTTCAGAGTCAGGAGCTTGACCTGGAGCAAAGTGAACAACCATACCTGGTCTCAAGACACCAGTTTCAACTCTACCAACTGGGACAGTACCAATACCACCAATCTTGTAAACGTCTTGGAGTGGCAATCTGAGTGGCTTATCAACAGGTCTAACTGGTGGCTTCAAGTCATCCAAAGTGTCCAACAAACACTTGCCCTTGTACCATGGCATCTTGTCAGACTTTTCAATCATGTTGTCACCAGTCCAACCAGAGATTGGGACGAATGGAATATCATCGACCTTGTAACCCAACTTCTTCAAGTAGTCAGCAACTTCCTTCTTGATTTCATCGTATCTGGCTTGAGAGTAGTTGACAGTCTTATCATCGAACTTGTTCATACAGACAATCAATTGTTGAATACCCAAAGTCTTGGCCAACAAGGCGTGTTCTCTGGTTTGACCGTCCTTGGAGATACCAGCTTCGAAACCACCAGTAGTAGAGTCAATGACCAAGATGGCAACGTCAGCTTGAGAAGTACCAGTAATCATGTTCTTGATAAAGTCTCTGTGTCCTGGAGCATCAATAATGGTAAAGACAAAGTTCTTGGATTCGAATTTCCACAAAGCAATATCAATGGTGATACCTCTTTCTCTTTCGGCCTTCAACTTGTCCAAAACCCAAGCATACTTGAAGGAACCCTTACCCATTTCTTGGGCTTCCTTTTCAAACTTTTCAATGGTTCTCTTATCGATACCACCGCACTTGTAAATCAAGTGTCCAGTGGTGGTGGATTTACCAGAGTCGACGTGTCCAATGACGACCACGTTAATATGTTCCTTCTCTTTACCCATTTTTTCGATGACGATGAATCAATATTGATGATGTGATGAATATTTTTTTGTTCGAAATTCAAAAATTGTTGTGAGTTTCACGTGTGAGAGGATTTATTGGTACTGAGAGGTCAGTACTACAGAAACAGAGGTGGAGGAGTTGACTTCAAGTTACAAAATGCAGAGGCAACCATTCTGAAAATGCAAGGTTCATGAATGGAATGAAGTTTGTGTGAATGAAGTGATCATTCAGTGAGCTTGAAGGGATGAAGAGAAGGATCAATTTTCTTTGAATTTGATCTATTGGGAGTATATGTCAATATTGATTACATGTTGAAGGATTTAGGATCATTGATCCATTGAAATTTCGATGCAACCCAAGTTGTTTCGTGGTCTGATTATTATTTTCAGAAATAATTCTATACTAGTGTATTTTGAAATTGGAGCAGAAGAACGTTGGAGAAATGCCACACGTCATCCCGATTTCATATTTTAAATGTCTCTTTCATCATCAAAAAATGTCAGCACAAAAGTTGCAGGAAGCCGAAAATCTCGAGAAGGAAGCCAAGAAATTGTACGTTTTTTCTCAACCATTTCATTTCGGTTGAATGGATGGACTTATCACGTTTTTAATGAATTTTTGATTTCACGCTAACTCCGAATGATGATGATCATTTGACACAACATCATCGGACCCGTTTCATGATTTATGAATTACTGAATGATCGTATCTATATTAATTAATTATATTGAATGATGTTGTTCTTGATACAACTAAATTACAACAGATCCGAGAGAAGTGTATTCAGATGGAGTCCCGATTGGGATGGAGCAGCTTCAAAATATGAAAAAGCTGCCATTGCCTATAAGAATTTAGGAAAGGAAAACAAAGCCGTTGATTGTTATGTCAGTGCTGGTAGGTATAACTATCTTCAAGATCATCATATTCGTGATAATAATATACTTCTTCAACAAATGTTGCTACAATCACAAATTCCGATGATTGTCCTTGTTCCAACAAACCACGATGATGATGATTAAAATACATGTTCCTCATCATGATCATCCGAAATCATTGAACTATTCTGATGGATATATATATATTCATGGAACAACAAACTCCATATATAAACCACCAAACCAACTTTTTCCATAACATTACCTTTCTCAACACAACTAACCACAACATCAACTAAATCACAACCACCACAACCACCACAACCACCACAACAACCACATTGTTAACAGGTTATTGCCATGAGAAGAACAGAATTCTCTACTCGGCCGGACGATGCTACGAATCAGCAGCCAACATTTATCAAACGACCATCAAAGACTTTATCAGTGCATTAAAAAATTACAAAGACGCTGCACGATGCTACTCCGATGATGGAAAGAACGATCGTGCTGCGGAGGTGTTGGTCAAAGCTGCAAAAGCAATGGAAAAAGAACCTGCAGGTTTAGAGCAATGTTTTGAATTATTTAAGGAAGGAATTGAAATGTCTTGCCTCAATGGAAAGTATCATAATACAACGGATTTGTTGCGCCAATATAATACCATGTTGATCAAGTATAAGAGATTTGATGAGGCGATTAAGAATTGCGAAACTCAACTAGTTGCTTATCAAAGTTTGAATCAAGTCGATAATTTGAGAAAGACCATGTTATCCATCATTGTTTTGCATCTCAGAAATGATGATCCAGTAGCTGCCGAGAATGCTCTCACAAGATTTACCAATGAAAGTGGAGCTGCTAATTTTTCAAATAGTGATGAAGGTGATTTGGCAGTATCATTTGTGAGTGCATTCCAAAATAGAGATGAAAGGTTGTTGGAGGCCACTCGACAAAATTCTTTATTGAGATATCTAGAAGGTCCATTTGCCAAAATAGCAATGACATTGTCACTGAATCCTCTCTTTGACACTATACCACAAATTAAAAAAGAGAAACCTAAAAAGACCTCGACACCCAATGCTCCAGGTGAAGGAACTTCTTTGGCAAATAGTAAGAAAAATATTGCGACGAAAAAAGCCGCTCTCTTTGCTGTGGATGATGAAGATGAGGAAGAAGATGGAGGTGACAACAAGAAACGTTCAAATAGACCAACAAATACATTCTTGAGCACGGGTTCAAAGGCCTCGTCTAACAAACCAAAAACAGCATTCCAACCAATGCCTTCAAAGGAAGAAATGGAAGAGCTCAAAAGGAGACAACAGGAAGCATATGAAGAAAGACAACGCCAACGACGAAACGGAGAACTTAACGAGGAAGATGACGAAGATTTGGGAGATGATGATGACGACGATTTGGATTTAATAGGAGCTTCAAAGACTCCAAGTAGCAGCAACAATGTAAAAGCATCATCCTCCACATCAATACCTACAACTAAAACACCTACAGTACCTGAGCAACCAACTCAACCAACACGACCATCCCAAACCAATGGTGAGGACGAAGATGATATTCAATACGTGTCAACAAAACACAGCGATGCAATTGATGAATATTTCAATGATGATAATAGTTATCAAAAACCTCCTTCAAACATTAAGCCTCGTCATGACGAGGATGATGACGAGGAGGGAGGTGACGCCTTTGATCCTAACGATTTAACTTAAATCAAGAAATTGACATGTGCACACCATTCATGTGCAGCTATTATTATTACATATAATTTATTCTCAATTTATTTATGAAATAATACCACATGACTTTTTTCAATTCTATGCCAATTATTTATTGTTACATCATATGAATATGCATAATGATTGACCTCCGAACTATTATTTAGTCAAACAATCTGATTTAATCAAACAATTTGCAAACCTGAGCAAACACTTCTTCTGGTGTACCTGTAGAGTCAATAGTTCTAACTCTATCGGTCTTTTTGAAATAATCTACCACTGGTAAGCTTTGAGAAAGGAACGTTTTAAATCTCTTCTTAATGCTCTCAATATTGTCATCACTTCTGCCAGATGTTTTACCTCTCTCCAACAAACGTTTCTCTAGCACATCCTCTGGACATTCAAAGAACAGAACAAACATGCCCTTACAAATGAATTGCTCAAAATCAAATGCTGAAAGATTGGTGACATTTGAGTTTGAATAGTTTTTAAGATAATACTCCAATACTTACCTTGCTGCATTTCTCTTGGAAAACCATCGACAAGGAAGGTGGTGTTCTTGTCTTCATGCCCTAAAATGGCCTGTTTCAGCAAATGAATGGTTACTTGACCTGGAACAAGCTTTCCTTCCTTCATATAGGAGTCAATCATTCTTCCTTGTTCTGTGTCCTTTTTAGATTCTGCTCTCAACAAATCTCCAGTACTCAAGTGAACAAATTTGTACTTTTCGACGAGTTTTGCACATTGTGTTCCTATTATTCAATTGATTCAATGTTGAATTGTTCAGATAATCATCATTGATGAATCATTAATATTCAACGTTAGCGACATACATGAAACCAATAGGTTTCCAAAAAATACTTTACCTTTTCCTGAACCAGGACCTCCTACTCATGTGCAAAGAGGTCATTCGAGTTCATGGCATTGGTATTTAAACGACAAGCAAATTCTCTTAAATTCTACTTACCCAATACAAAGACCACCTTGCGCCAGTTCTTGATCGACTCTTGAGCGGCAGCCAATCTTGCAATTGGAATTCTGAAGGGCGAGCAACTGACATAATTTAATCCCAATCCATGCAAGTACTTGACTGATTCAGTCTCACCTCCATGCTCTCCACACAGACCCACAGTTAGATTATTCTTCACCTCACGTCCATTTTGGATACTCATTTGAATACATCTTCCCACTCCCTCTTGATCTAACACTTCGAAAGGATCGTTTTCGAGTAAATCATGCTCAATATAACTCTTCATGAATTTGCCACTGTCGTCTCGACTGAATCCAAAGGTCATTTGTGTGAGATCATTTGAACCAATAGAGAAGAAGTCGGCGATTCCAGCCAATTCCTTACTAATGATCACTGCTCTTGGACTTTCGATCATGGTACCCACGCGATACTGAACCAAACTCTTCTTGTGATCGTTCAAACCATAGTACTTGGCAGCAGCTTTTTCAATAATTTCCTTTTGGTGTAATAATTCCTGAACGGATGAGACAAGTGGAACCATAATGTCAACCTTGACTTCGTTGGTGTTCGCAGCTTCAAAAGCAGCCTCAAAGATGGCCTCTACCTGCATGACAGTAATTTCTGGGAATGTAATTCCTAATCGACAACCACGATGACCAAGCATTGGGTTCTTTTCTTTTAATTGTGCCACTAATTGAGAAACATCATGAACATCTTCTCCCAAAGCTTCAGCAAGCTCTGCAATGTCCTTTTCTTCTTCTGGGAGAAATTCGTGGAGTGGAGGATCGAGCAAACGAATGGTTACTTTTCGGGGACCCATCTCATGGAAAATGGCAAGGAAATCAGATCTTTGATATTCCTTTAGGGCGCTAATTGCTTGACTGCGTTTTTCTGGTGTTGATGCCACAATCATCCTTCTAATGTCAATAATTCGTGTCTTTTCAAAGAACATGTGTTCAGTTCGACACAATCCAATGCCTTCGGCTCCAAATTCGAGAGCCTTCTTTGCATCTGAAGCACTATCAGCATTTGCGTACACTCCCATTGTTCTATATTTTTTCTCAATATCCATAATTCTGAGGAAGTTGGCATTTGTTAGACCAGGTTGACTTGTTTTTAAGGCCTCTCCGTAAACAGCACCTGTGGAGCCATCAATGGTAATGACGTCTCCCTGTTTGAAAAAGACGCCATTGATGGTGCACGAGTCCTCTCCTGAAACGTAGAGCAAGCTACAACCAGAGACACAACATTTTCCATGTTGACGAGCGACAACAGCACTGTGTGAAGTCATACCACCTGTACTTGTGAGGAAGCCTTGAGAAGCATGCATTCCAGCCAAATCTTCTGTTGAGGTTTGCTCTCTCACCAAAATTACATCCCCGGCCTCTTTTCTGTCAACTGACATGGCAATGGCTTGTTCGCTTGTAAAAGCAATTCGTCCTACAACAACGCCAGGAGAGGCTGGTAGACCTGTTGCCAAGGGAACATGACGGCTCTTTTCATCAGGATCCAAATAAGGATGGAGTAATTGGTCAAGTTGAGAAGGATCAATCTTCATAATGGCCTCTCTTTCATTGAGAAGTCCTTCATCAATCATGTCACAATATATTTGAAGGGCTGCTTCAGCTGTTTTCTTTCCATTTCTACATTGCAACATGTAGAGGACACCTTGCTCAATGGTGAACTCCATGTCTTGAATATCCTTAAAATGCTTCTCTAATTTAGAGCTAATATCTGTGAGTTGTTTGTAACATTCTGGGAAATTGGTTTCCAAAGTTTCAATTTTCTCTGGTGTTCGTGTTCCAGCAACTAATTGTTCTCCCTGAGCCATGGTCATGTATTCACCATAGAACTTGTTCTCTCCAGTTGATGGATTTCTACTGAAACAAACTCCAGTACCTGATCTTTCGTCGACATTACCAAATACCATGGATTGTATGTTAACTGCAGTTCCTTTGAGTTTGGTAATGGAATGAATTTTTCTATATTGAATAGCTCTTGGATTGTGCCAACTATTGAAAACAGCAATAATTGCTCTGTAAAGTTGTTGATATACGTCTAGTTGGGTATGAATTATTTCAGAAATTAATATTTTAAATAATATATAATTAACAATCAATTTTTAACGTTTTGGAACGCTTTTTTGAAATACTCACCTTGTGGGAAATCTTCTCCAGTTTGCTCGAAAATGGTAAGCTTGTGATCCTGCACAATTTGTTGAATTTCCTCAAGAGTCAGTTCTGCATCAGAAGAAATGCCTCTCTTTTCCTTTTGTTTCTTAATATTGTCCTCAAAACATTCATTTTTCACGCCCAACACTACTTCACCGAATATCTGAATAAGGCTCTTGTACGAGTCCCATGCAAATCTTTCATTTCCGCCAAAGTTTTGAATTAATTGATGAATATTCTTGTCACAAATTCCAAGGTCAAGAACGGTATCCATCATGCCTGGCATAGAAACAGCAGCACCTGATCGAACACTCAGTAATAGAAGCTTTTCGTCACCTTGTTGAGAATTTCCAAACTTCTTACCAGTAACCGCTTCCAATTTCTTTAAATATTCATCCACCTCTGTTTTAATTTCGTCAGGAAGATTTCTCTCTTTTCCTTTCGATTCTTCTCCCTCATTAATATTGTTATGAGCAGAGAACTTTTCACAAGCTTCCGTGCTAACAGTAAATCCAGGAGGAACATTAATTCCCAAATTTAACATTTCACATAAATTAGCTCCTTTTCCTCCCAACAATTCTCTCATATCCTTATTTCCTTCAGTAAGGTTCGCCCTTGTAGCAGGATCAAGAGCAAAGAAGTAGCAATAACCCTGCTCTTTCTTTCCTTGCTTGACTGAAATTGAAGAATGCAGTTGTTGTTGTGAGGATGGATCGGAGGAAGCGACCTGTCCAGATGCATCATGTCTTGGAGTTTCTGGGACATGCCCACTATTTTCCTCAACTGCTTTGATGGTCGATTTTGAATTTCCGCAGCCCATGATGATGATGTACAAAGTATCGGATTCAGCAATAACAAGAGTATTTTGGTGAGATCTTTATGTTCACGAGAGAGAGTGATGAAAAAATCCTCCAACAAGAATCTCTCTGAAAAGATGATATTTTTTTTTAATAGTTCTCCGAAAATGAATGGTTGTAGTTGAAAAAGGCGCGATTCAACATTGACGAAACCTGTTTTGACCTAAACATAATGGTACCGTACGCAGGATACAATTATAATTTTATTGTGTTGTTGTATGATAATTAGGTTTATTCTGTAAAGGAGAAGGAATTAGTTGTCGAGAAAGAGGAGAATGGGTTTTTTTAATATATAAGGAATTGCTTGCATAGACTCTTGATCACCAAATATACTCCTCAAAAGCCTCGTTCGCCTTCAGATTCATATAACTCCTTAGATTGTTGTTTTGAAGTCCTTCAATACATTCCATTGATGGAATAGTAAGCTGTTGACTATGAAAGTCAATATACTCATGTGGACTGATCAAGGAAGTTGAAGAACTGAAATAAAACATTAGGTTTTATCATTTTTGATTATTGACACAGTGATGCTTGATAATTGGTATCAACGAGACATCCAGTAGCTCCACAAGCATCTACCGATGTACTAAACTGATCAGATCGTGAAGGGAATGCAAGTTGACTCGAGAAATATTGAACACTTTGGATTTTGACATTCACAATCATGGTAATAATATTGCTATTAGCTTTTGACAATTGACACACGATTTGTTTCATGGTGGAGGCAGGTAGGGTGTTATCCCATTTTAAATAAACTCGATAGTCTATGTGAAATGTTGTTGTTTCAATCATTAAGAACAAGATATGGAATGATTTTCTGAATAGAAATTCGATGGCAATACAAACCTTGTGATGTTTGAGGTCCAAAAGTCATGGTTACATTCACAGAAGCTACAGTACTCGTACTATATTGTAAACTCGCTTGAATGCTATTTTTCAGTATTGTTATTATTTAACAAAATAGTTTGATTCCATGAATTGATAATAATTTTTAACACATTTTGAGAGTTGACCAGAAAAGGTTAAAAAATTAAATTTCAATAATTAAAAAACATTCATGTTGTTAACAATTCTTCCACAACTACTCCTACTACTTACTTGTTGGCAGTAATATTAAAAAAATTTCCATTTGAAACTCTCAAAGTAATGTATGGCACAATATTCATATTCGTTGTTTGATACACGAAAGAACATTGATTCACGTCACAACAGGCAGAATTATTCTTTCCTTGAGCTGGACAGAAACTCAATGAAAATGCTTCAAATCCGAATCCACTTTTGTGTGAATTAAAAATGTGTATCCATCACAATATTATGAACATGAAAAACGATTCATCAAATGCAGAGAGATGTTGAAAAGTTTGTGAAATCAATGATCCAAATACGTGTAATTACATTCCAATATAACATGACACCATGTTGTCATTTGTCAAATCGGAAAGAAACCTACGCTGTTGAAATGTTAGGTGCTCGAGGAATGAAGATAGCTGCCAACACAATTGCTGCGATCACCACCAACACACAAGTTCCGAGAATACAGAGACCAACACATATCCGACATCCACTTTTTACATGAATTTGGTTCATTCAAAAAAAGAATGAGAATCGGAAAAGGAAAATTCGATCATAATGAGAATTTGAATGGTGAGACATGATGATGGAATACAAGATCCATTGATGATGCTTACACTTTTTTCTTGCTTTCTTTTTTCTCTACGGCAGACCACTACGGAGTAATGTCAAATAATTCCATAACGACGACAAGTGACACAACATTCATTGGAGACATTCGATCGTGTGAGTGAATCAAGAGATATTTCTCATTGTTACTTTGCAGAACGAATGTCAAACCTACATCGTATTCCATTTTCAAAGATGATGGGTGTGGAAATGTTTTTAAAATTTTTTTTTGAATTATTATTACTTCCAACAGTTGTCAAGTGTCATTTTACTCAAAATCACTTCATTTCCTTTTGAGTATCAGTCATCAACAACGCGCATCAATTCCCCAAAATTGCTCAACGAAAACTCCAAATCGTTCAAGTCACCTCTAATGTTGAATGATTCTTTTCTAAACACTAAGGAAATGATAAACTTACCTTAATCATTGCGATCATTCATAACACTCTACAAAACATTCGACAACTATAAACAGGGGCTATTGCGATAGAAATTTTTGTCCTTTCCAAAAAAAAATTCAAAAAAAAATAATTTTTTAAAATAATATTGAGGGAAATGAGAAATTAATTCCTTGTCTGAGAGCACTAATTGTTCTTTCTAAAGGCAAGTAATGACTCACCTCTTAGCGTGTTTTACTTTTCACTTGCTCTCGTATATGATGATCATGAGATTGTCTTGTATTAATAATCAATAATTTGAAGATAGCTTGAACATCTACTGCTTCTCTATTTCCTTGTTGAAAAGTGCATCAGAAAATATGCTCCTTTTTTATTTGCCGCAGCAACAACAAAACTGTCTCTACACCTTCATTAGTTTTTGTCAGGACGAAGGTACGAAAAAGCCTTTCGTAATATTAACAAAATTTTTTCAACAATAAAAGTTAGAGGATGTTTCACACAGGTTTCCTTACAACACCATCTTTTTTCAAATTATGGCATTATATTTTAAAGAACATGTTGTTGTTCTCAACGATCAATCACCTTCAACGAACCAGAATTTAAATAATTCCCAATGGACAATAATGGACTCAAAAGCATTAAATTGTCCGAATATGGAACCCTCAACAAGTTGAATTTTCACTGTGTCAGCAAACCTTCGAGAGAGATTAAAGGCTTCCATCGTGTCTTTCCCCAGAGAGGATGCTCTCCGGTAGATTCGACTACGACCCCTAAATATATTTCTTCCAAATGGTGTTTTTTCTTAACCTGAATATTTGATACAGAAAATGGTCTTTGAAACTTTCATCACAATCGCGGAGGCATCAGAAGAGACGAACCTTCGATGAAGAGTCGTCACGAGTGTGTGTGTGTGTGGAGAAGACGACCGTTGAGAGTGAACCTGTGCTGTGGTGGACAGTTTCCTTTCTCTCTCTCTCTCTCGTGGAGATTGTTGTTGGGGATAGAGCAGAAGAAGAACCTTCAACAACAACAAGCTTCTTCTTCTCTCGTGGAATTAATTGTTTGAAAAGAAAGCAATCACGAACTGTCCTTTCAATAGTACTATTACGAGTATTAGTAGTCGACTACCATCATCATCATCACCACCACCTATAGGTATACCTACAAACACATCCCCACACACACACACATCCAGAAATATTGTGATATCGCAAATCACCTCTTCTAACTCACACTCACCCATCTCTAAAGATGATCATTGATCGTATACTCTCTCTAATTCCTCATCCCGTGGCCTCTCAAATCTCGGACACGATCAATTCTCATGAAACTCATCCCGATTTGGTGCCTTTTCTCAGTTGGCACTATCCAGCTGTGTTTAGTGTCTTGTACGTGGCCTCTCTCTACTTATTGCCCTTATATATGAAACACGTACGTAAGAACGAGCCTATCCGTTCCACCCTTTTGGATTCCTTCATTAAATTCCATAACTTGTTTTTGAGTGGTTTGAGTTTGTTGATGGTTTTGGGTTTTGCAGGTGAAGCCTTCAATGTCATGTCTGAAGTAAAAGGAGACAATTTGAGTGAGATGATCTCTTCAGTTACATGTGATGCTCGGGATCGAATGGGACGAGGTGCCATTCCTTTCTGGCTCTATGTGTTCTATTTGAGCAAGTATTATGAATTGTTGGATACTGTCTTTTTAATGGTGAAATGTAAACCATTGACTTTTCTGCATACTTTCCATCATGTATCGACTTTGTGTTTGTGTTGGTATGTGATTTTGCAGAAATCTCAACTCATGTGGTTCCCTTCCATGTTGAATGCTGGTGTTCATGTCATTATGTATTACTACTTTTATGTGTGCACTTTGAAGGGAAGTTCCATTTTCACTCCTGGATGTTTGAATGTGGTCAAGCCATGGATTACAAGAATGCAAATTTTGCAATTTGTTGCTGATTTGTTGGTGCCTAAATTGTGGCTCTATTTCAAGTATGTCGAAGGTCATCAATGTACTGGTGATTATCATGCCTACTTGTTGGTCGATGTCATTGTTGGATCCTTCCTCTTATTGTTCTTGAATTTTTACTTTAAGAGTTATAGCAAGGGAGGAAAGGGAAAGAAGGATGTTAAGGGAGAATAAAGGAGAACACCTCTCCAGTCATCTGTGACGTCTGACGTATGTTTACAACACACAACTAATAAACCAAAACTATAAATTTCATTCAAAGTACTTTTTGATTCCAAGATGTGTCAGTTGACACTTTCACAATCCCCCATTCACACCATGAGTGGTTTGCCCAGCCAGCAGTAATAAGACTGGTGATGTGGTTAGTGGCCATGGCCAGTAACGAATAATTCTCAAATATGTTTTCTACAGAAGATTAAGATCCATATAGGTCGCACCACCACCACCCTTAATGAACTCCATGAACGATCGATGTAGCTCCCATTAAAGCAAATAACAATCCCAACGAATAGCTCTTCACCAAGTAGAAGGTATATCCACGATACAATCCTCGGATTCCCTCTTGCTTCCAAATTTGTTTGAGAGCATCCATTCCTCCTTTATAAAACACAGGTTCTTCAGTTGTGAATGAACTCATGAGTCCAGTATTGCTATTATTGAAACGGAATCCTGCTTGTGTTTGCAACCTACGGGAGATCACTAAAAATGGATAATGTACAGTTCCTGCCGTGAGTACAATCGATTGTGACAACAGCATCATTTGGAATAAATTCAATTGTTTCTCAATTCCAGCATTTCTTACATAATCAAACATGGCAAAATGTACTCCACGGTAAAGAGCTAATCCTGGAATCGCTGTCCAAAAACCACGGAATAATCCTGTAAATCCTTCGCTCCTCACTAATGATTTCATTGCTGGCCAAACTCCAGAGAAATTATCTCGATGAATAATTGGAGAGAGTGTTCCTTCAAAGCTCATGGCTGTTTCCTTAACAGGAATCAGGTTCGCTTGCATTCGTGTTGAGATGACTGCTAATGGAAAGGTCACTGCTAAGCTTGTTGCACCTGAGAGGGATCCTGAAAGAAGTGACACTGCAAAGTATTTTTGAATGGATATTTGAGGATTTTCATCTCGAGTCAAGATTGGTAATAGAAAGTGTTTGAGTTTGTCAGCCAATAAAAACTGAAAATATCTTCCGAAAATTCGTCTATTCTCAGTTCGTTTCATTCAATTCATAAAAATCATTTTCATGCAAAAATACGTAAAAATTTCCAATATTCAATTATTAATCAATCCAAACAAATGAATCATTAACAAGCCAATTAATGATACAAAGTGGCAATAGTGTATGCATTTAAATTGTTAACAAATATAATAATTATTAAAAATTCAAATGAATTCGTATATATGAATTCAAAGTACATTCCTTTTTTCATGTGATCTCTCTCACTCTTTTCACTTACCCATAAACATCGGGCATTAAGCCTCTCCACAGAGTTCGATCTTTAGGCAGTTGTTTGATGGCATCCATGGCTCCTCTAAATGGAGCCACAGAACCCCTCGCAATTTCCTCTCCCGATGCAGAAAACGTTGCTTGAGATACGAGGCTCTTGTAAGCCGATGGCAATGAATGTTGAGTTTGCAGAATTGTTAAAACACGATCGAACGGGTGAAGAAAGAGGCGAGAAGCTATTACTTCACCAGCAATCATGACTGCAAAGATGGATTGAATACTTCCGGGAGGCATTGTTTGTATGGCTTGAATTGCCTTCATCTGACTCTCTGTTAGAGTAGTGATTGATTGGTTGTTGATATTGGTTGTTGTTGTTGTTGATTTTTGAATATCATTGTGATTTTGACTATCATCATCTTGCGATGAAGAGGATGGTGGTTTTTGAGAGTCGTCCTTCGATTGAGACATTTTTTGGTGAATACCTTTTCAATTTCCCAAATATGGGTTTAAAAATTGATTGACCAAAAAATTGATGGAACTAATGAATGGGTCGACCAACTCGTTCGCATGATAGAATAAATTATAGTTTAATTTAATTCAAGAAATCATTCATTGGCTTGTGAATCCTTTGTCAAGTTCGACGTTGCTTGTAGTATCACAGATTTTCGACCATTATTAAGATTGAGAAATTTCTCGATAACAGGAACACTGTGATTGATGAATGGGTGGGATTGCAGCTCTCGAGCCCCAGGACGTTGTTTCCAATCCTTGGTCCAGCATTTGTTAATAAAATCAAGGCAAATGGGGCTCAAGTTGTTGGGTTGTGGAATGGGAGGTTTATCATCTTGAACCATGTGATACATGGCAGCAACTTGATTAAACTCATTGTATGGTCGTTTTCCAAAAAGTAATTCATGCATCACGCAACCAAGTGACCAAATATCAGCGGTAAAACTGTAGGGTTGAACTGAAATAACCTCGGGTGCAGTGTAATGAGGCGTACCAACCGTTGAGGTTCGAATAGCTTCAAGATTTAGCAATTGTGCACTCACACCAAAATCAGTGATTTTAACACAACCTTTGCTGCTAATTAAGATATTTCCTGGTTTTAAATCTCGATGTATAATTCTCTTACTGTGCAAATATTCAAGACCCATGAGCACTTGCGACACAATTGCGCTTACTGTTACCTCATCGAGCGGACCATTGTTTTTAACGTATTGTTCAAGAGTTCCTCCATCTACATATTCTAAAACAATGCTATACTCTTTCATTTTGGGATTGTATTTGCATCCTATATATTGAACCAAGTATGGATGATAGAGTTGTTTCAAAATATCCACCTCTAACTTGATAAACTTTTTCGAAAACCTTCCTGCCTTTACACTAAGTTTCTTAATAGCAACAGGATCCTTTGTGTTTGTCATGTAGTTCGGAATGAAGCCTTTGAAAACTTTTCCATGAGCTCCAATACCAAGTAATTCATCAAGTTCAATAATAAGCTTCTTGGATCCGTCAGGTGGCAGTTGAAACAATTGTTGTTGATCCGAGGTTATTGTCATGTTGGGATCTTCTTCAATAATGTCTTGGTCTTGACGAGTGTGGGTGGGAGTGTCTGGTCTTGATTCAACAGTGCCCACTGTGTCTGTTATCTTGCTGGCATGTCTCTTGTGTTTCTTCTTCTTCTTTTTAGTTTTTTCGTTGTACTCTACTTCAGAATTCAAATGCTGCAACAGTTGATTAAACTGGAACTTTTGCTTGTCAGAGTCAGCCATTGTTGTTTGTTGAGGGGAATTCAAATCATCATCAAGTGCAACTAGAGACTTCGTCATCATTTCATCCTCGTCTTCAGCTCTTTTTGTTTTTTCTTCGTCGTTCATAAGAACCATATCATCTTCATCCTTTCCCGTTTCATACACACTCGTTCTTCTCTTTTGTTGCATCATACCTGCTTCCTTTTTCCAATCAATGGTTCCGTTTTGCTCCGTACTTTCGGCGAGGGATGAAGATTCATTGAGTACATGATCGGTACAAGTCATGACCGCTGACGAACCTAAATGATCATCTTCGGTGAGATTGAATGAGGACTGCTTGAGACGGCTACTTTCGTTACTGATAGCAACCTCTCTTGATCTTCGTACAAGCTCAGAAGGAGAAGGAGCTCTTTGTAAACCAAGCTCTCGCTGAGACGGAGGTTCCAAAGATGTGAATTTTTGATTGTCAGAGACAGTAATGTTTTCCTCAATTTCCTTTCCACGATACCTAGAAAAATTATTTGCAGAAATCACTCTCGATTCTCTTACATTCACTTTCATTTCAAAAATTTCGTCGACATTGCTGCTTAATGAGGACGAAGTGGTAAAATCAAAGTTTGTTCCAGAATTATGTTTTGGTGAGAGGCGTGGCAACACTTTGTAGTTGTCGTTCTCTTTTTTTGGTACAGATATGCTTGGTGTAAGAATGAGAGGTGTTACCCCCACTTGTTGTTTGGATTGCATCAACGATGGTTTTGTAAGAGTAGTCTTGATCTCTTTTCTAGAAGCGTCAACGATTGCTTTCAACAACTTTCTGGAATCAACTTGGTTAAACATTGTCTCGTTATATGTGTCAGAAAATGTCGACGTTAAAAAGAAACCATCTTCATCTTGAAGCTCTAAATCATTAATGATCACAATTTCAAAATCGTTATCATCTTCAGTATCGTCTTTTTCACTCTCTGAAGCAGTTTCTGACTCATCCTCATCACCTTCAGAATCAGAAAATATCGAGTTATCTGAGGAAGAATTAAACTCTGTGAACGATTTTGGCGAGGAAGAAAGTTGTGTAGATCTTTTTGGAGTGTTTGCTGGAGACCATCGTTGCTTCCATCTTGTAATTTCGGCTGTGAGTTTTTCCTTCTCAACTGCCTTATCTTCCTCGGTTTTAATCTTATCAGATCGATGCGAAAGCATGTTTTCAAGAAGTGAAGAGGCCACAGATTGAGGATCCACCTTCTCAACAGCTTTGGAGAATTTTGTGGAAATTTCTGGGTTTAGACGCTGTTTGAACCTTCTATATTCATCATCGAAACGTTTAATTTCTACCTCTTCTTCCTCTTTTGATAGTTCTACGTTTGGAAAACCCTCCTCAGCAAAACTGTTTCTCCTTGATGCTACATAGGAGTCTCTTTCATTCTTATATTCTGCCCATCCAGATAATCCACTCTTTAGAATTTTCCTATAGTATTTCAGATGTTTGATTCTCTTTTCCATCTTTTCAACCTCAAACCTATTAATTTCCTCCATGGCTGGTTGATTGTTCTGGAAATTATAGAGATTTTTGAAGCTATTTTTCTTTCCATTTTCTTCCCTCTTCAACAAAGCAACCCTGCTGTTGAGTGTTTTAATCTCATTAACAACATCAGTATACGTCAATTCCTGATCAGAAGAATGTTGATACTTGATTTTCTTGTTGGAGGTATCAAAGCCATTGGGATAAACGTCGATCAATGTAATTTCTTTCAGCTTCTCCTTGGTCACGGGCTCATTGTTCTCGCCCTTCGGTTGATCTTGCTCAATTAATTGTGAACCTGTCTTCTTAGAGATAATAAGAGGGGTTTTGGTTTTTTCTGGTTGAGAGAGAACTGAGGTGGAGCTTTGTCCTGTATCAGTTGGAGTTTGAGGGGATGAAGGCAAACCGTCAGAAAAATGATGAACACTTCGAGGAACAAGACCTGCTTGGTGTGTGATCATGATATGTTGATTTGATTGCGAGACAGTTTGTTCTGCATTGTTCAGGAAAGTAGTTGCTGTTGTGATTGGGGAGGCAGGCGATGTGGTAGCACTTGAAATAACAGCATTTTCAGATTCTGTTGTGCTGTTACTCTCGGTTGGCCGCGTAAGGGGAACTTTGAGTGGCCGTTTTCCATGTAGAGGATGAAGAACAGGTTGTGGCGATTTGGTGGATGATTTCTTAACTTTGAACTGAGTTAACATGTTAATTTCTTGAACAGATAGTGGTGACGATGTTTTTTTGATTTTGGAGGGTATTCGAGAAGAAGTTGAAGAAGAGGGTGGTTGAATAGAGAGTGGAGTTGTGTTTGTGAGTTCTTGTTGTGTAGACACTTCAGAGTTTCCATAAACTGTTGATTTTTTTGAGGGAGGTTGGTCGCATGGAGGGTAGTTTATGGTCGGAAGTGGAAGAAATTGCAGGAAGGTTGCCTGTGTTTGGTGTTGAAGAGATGTTATTGGGGAGCGAGTCTTCACCTTGAGGAGAGGTAGCGATTGAGCTTCTCCTACTTTGCACATGGTTCTTTACATTCTCTCGGTTCGTTGAAACGAATCGATCGGTGGCAGTATTAAGGGGTGACGGAAAAAAAGGTCGGTCTTCCTTTTGGTGATTATCTGTTGAATGGTTGCTGCACACAGAGGCGGGGCGAGATACAGACGGCACTGTATCAATAATTTCAAATGATGTTGGAGAAGGGGTTTTAATGGCAGACGGGGAAGCAGTAGGAATAGAAGGAGTGAGAGAAGTGAATTTGTTGACCGACGTGATGGATTGCCTCATGGCAGACGAACCGTTGATGGCTGGAAATGACGTGCTGCTCGACTTTCTTGTAAGCAAGGAAGCCTTGGGAGAAAATGAATTGCTGTTGGAAGGAGTGATATTTGAACTGTTAATAAGGGATGAACTGAACTGCTTTGAGCTTCTAATAGTATTGTTTGAGTTAGTATTTTGTGATGATTGCAATTGTTGAAGAGTGGATGTTTGTGATGGAGGTTTTCTTGTGACTACCTCATCGTCCCAAACCGTTTCTTCTTCGTGAGCAAAAATGTCTCCATGAAGATTCTCTTTGACATTGTTTTTTCGCCCATCAATCAACTCAAATGTTGAGGATGAAGAGCGTAAAGTTAAATCCAAATCAACGGTTGAAATATTAAGGCTCGTTTTCTTTTGTTGACCATGCTGGGGAGTTGTCGAGCTGATGATGACGTTGCTATTACTATTATTAAAATTAATACTATTTCCAATTAAAATTGAATGACTTGTGTTCTGAAGAGGACTTGTGTCGGTAACAATATTCGTATCTCTGGTCAGTATTGAGGGTACATTATTGGGATTGTTGATCCTGAGAGGGTTTTTTCGGACAGCAGTCATTTGGTGATTTTGCCGATGACCCTTCTTGATGAGCGTTTGTCCCAGCATTTTGCTATCCGCTCTCTATTTTAAGTTTGGTGTTCTTGATAATTTAATGAAATTTGAGAAGATCCAGTTCCAGAATATAATAATTATTGCAGCATCATCCGACTAACAAAATGTAACAATTAGAGTGCAAAGTCGACAGTGATGATTGAATAAGAACACAATCACGTGCTGTTACAAAAGGACTCAGTTGCTGGCTGCTGATGGAAGAATATCTCCAAAACGACTTTGACAGCTTCTTCAAAGGCTTTTTCAGAGCCAAAATTTACAGTGTGCAAAGCAACGGCTTTTTTGAAATATTTTTTGAACTTTTTTTTTCAAAAGCGAGCGCTCGGACCACCACTCGCAGAGAGAGTTGATTTTGTTGAGAGAGATATTGTTTTTAAAAGAGTTTTTCTCCTCAATGAATATCATCATGAATAATAATAGGAAAGAGAGGACAAGATGCCAATTTTTGGCAAAGTTTGTCAGAGGTCCATGATCGGGATTACAAAAAAAATTATCCAAACGTTGTACTTTTGCATCATCACTCCCTCATGAATCGACAAACATCATCAACAGAAAATTCATCATCATCGGGCGGAGGACTCTTTTCAAGTATCAAGAGTATGGTGAGTGATTTGACTTCAAGCTCTCCACAGCCATCTCAACAACAACCGACCTCTCAAGTTAAACGTCCTTCTTCTTCTTCTTCTTCGGGTACTTCCTCTTCCAATAATTTATTCCCAAGTCTTTCCGTGCTTCAAAGTAATTTACCACAAGAAATTCAACGAGTAAAGTCCGTGTTGCAAGGCTCAAATGTGAGTCTTTCTCAAATGGAACAGGGAGAACGAGCTCTTGATGATTTGATTAGTGTCTTGTCGAGTCAATTAGCTGAGTTGTGTGAGTTGAGAAAGGAAAACTCTCAAAAACTGATTCATCGACTCAAACAAACGAATGTTTCATCAAACACTCATACCACGTCATCATCAACAACAACGAATCAATATGTACCACCCTCTGTTTCACAACAACAATCACCACAAACTGCATCAAAAGTGCCAAACAACACGCAACCACCCACATCAAAGGCTCCACAAAATACCAACAAGAGCACAACAACACCACAATCACCACAACAAGGATTCGGAGCATTGGCAAGTAGAGGACAAAAGCCAACCAATTCAACATCGACCACTAAATCTCAGCCATCTTCTACAAATAATGCACCAGGAAAAGTTGATTCAATTGACTCAATTTTGGTTTGGCAAGAGAACGAGGTGCCTGTCCAACCATTGGTCATGGGATCCGGAACCCCTCCTCCGACCAATACGGGCCGAAACACTCCTCCTACTGCACAATTATTGGATCCATTGGAAATGACTTTTGACAGTACCACCTTGTCACAACCATCAGTTCAAGCACCTTCTACTCCATTATCGGATTCAACAAATTATCATGCTCCTCCAGGATTAGATTCACTTCTTCAACCACCATCTGTTTCCGATATTTTAGGTGGTGATTCTCTTCAAGATAATTCAAAGAAACAACCATCAGAAAATGATTTCAACTTGGATCAAATTTTAGGAACTTCCAAGAAACAGGAACCAGTTGGCGAGATGTTGGACTTTTCCAATGAGGGGCAAAAGATTTTCCAATCCAATCAAATTCTTTCAATGTTTGACAAACAGGAATCACAAGATCATGTTGTCGGAGCAACTATTGATGTAGAAGTTCAGGATGACACTGGTAAATCAAACCCTTCCGATGATTTTGATTTTTAATTTTCAATTTTTGGAATTATGGAAATGAAATAACAACAGCCCCAAAGTATTCACCATTTAATAGAGAAAATTTAGTGTTTTAACGTAAACATAATTTATTTAATTATTATTAATGATGTTCTGGAACCTCTGGGAAGGGAATAGAATTATCTTTGGGCTTTTCGATCGAATCACTAATGGGACTTTCTGTACAAGGAGATTCTGTGATTGGTTGCGTATAGTGCCCCTGTGATTTCAATTTTCGCCCATTTCTTATTGAAAATAACATGCTCTTCGCATTTTCCAATCTAAGGATTGACTCCTCTCGTTCCCACCTCGTTTTCTCTGATTGTTCAAGCAGCATGTTCAGTTCAGAAATCATTCTCTCCTTTCCAGCAAGTATATTTGAGGTATTCTTTTCCTTAAGACGAGCTTGTTGCAGCGATGATTCTAGCTCTTTAATTTTATCTTCCAATTGTTGAATGGTGGATTTGTATTGTCGAATCATTTCCGATTCTTCTTGTTTTTTCCTTTTGGATTTGAAGGGAGCCATCCATTTTTCATGTTCATCCTGGAGCATTGCATTCAACAACTTTAAATGAAGAGCTGCCAGAGAGCTCTGTGACGATTGTTTGTTGCTTAAATCTGAAATTTCAGTTTGTGCACTCCCAACGATGTTCACTTTTGATTCGTCCAACAATTTTGAAAATTCATTTGAAAGATTACAAAGTTTACCCTTGCATGATTCATCTTGTTGATTCAGAAGTGTATTAAAAGAGAGAATCAATTTTGACAATGTTCTACTTCGATCATGCCATCGTTCACACCACGATTCTGCCAACTCTTTCTCCTTTTTCATTTCTTGACTTTTCTTCAGTAAAGTGATGTTTTGATTTTCTAATTGTGTCAAACGTTGTCTTAATATTTCATTTTCCATTTGGACATCTCTTGTGGAATCATTTTGAGCACATAATGCAACATGAAGCAAGTTATTTTCTCGAATCGATTCACACCATTGTTTTTGAAATTTGTGCTCTAATTGCTTCTTTTTGGATTGATATTTGTGTTTGGTAGTTTCAACTTTTCGTTTGCAAATTTCCTTATTGACACCAAGTGCATATTTCACGAGAGGATCATTGGGTAAAAGGGATTCTAATGACGTCAATGCCGATGATGATTTTTCTATTCCTTGAAGAGGTGATGAGTCTGAAGAAGAAGGGGATGACGAAAGCGATTCCATGGAGGAGATTTGTTTGAATGGTTGACTTAGTCTCCGACCCAGGCCAGAGTTGGTGGAACATATTGGCGTATAATCACTGATCCTGCACAGTGAATTGAATGTCATCATCGGAACAGCTTTGAAAGATCTAAACTCTCCATCATCAAAATGATGCATGTAATACGACATTTTTTCAAACAACTACAATTTTAACGTTTCTTTTTGGCGCCTAATCATCACACCTCAAGAAATTGACATTGTCACAAATTTGTTTGTCGATCGAAACCAAAAAGAAACGAACAATCATGATCTTCCTCGTCTTGTTGTTCTTTTAACGAACGTTGTGATCACTTAAAATCTGTTTAATGATTATTCTCGTTATTCGCAGATCGCAATTCAGCCAATCGTTGAAATTTGTAAATCACAATTCCAATCAATGTAATTCCATATCCAATAGCACCCATCACACCAATGCGATCTCCAAATACCATCACACTAATCATAATCAAAAGTAATTCCTTAAATATTGACACCACCGTGAGAGTTAAGCTTGACGTTTGTTTGATTAACAAAAATTCTGAAACATTCAAAATGACACCCAAGAAAGAACCAACAAGAATCATTCCAATAAATTTCACAATAAACATGAATCGAAGATATTGAATGGGTGCATTCACGTCAACATTGGGAGCTTGTGTAATATTTACAAAATCATACAAAATTCTCCAACTTTCTAAAATGACTGCAAATGGAAGAACTGTCAAACCAATGATTGGACTTGAATAGAAAAATACTTGCACGGAAGAAATTTCAATTTTTGAAGCTCTAAATTCTTCTCCACTATCTTTGGCATAAAAATATTCTAAATGTTGTTCTTCTTCAGTAGTAGTAGTATTGGCTGTGAGGTCAGTGGTTGGCACTTGTGTTTTTGAGCCAGCTGCTTGTGGAGTAGTGCCAGTTTCTAACAGTAAAGTGTTGCTCTCGTTGTCTTCCAACTCTTCTTCTGAGTGTGCATTCTCTTGGTTCTCGTTGTTTTGATTCTCTCGACAGCCATCATTGTTATTTCCAATCTCTTCACTACTCAACCTCGTATATAGAACTTGAGTATTATTATGGTGTAAAATATATTGTGCAAATACCAAACGGACAGCAGCAAAGATCACAGCAACAATCACCAAAATAAATCCAAAAATGTCATAATGAATAGAACCTCTCGAAGTCATTCCAATTCCAACTGAAATTAACACAATCGATATCACTAACACTATTTTCACTGTTTCCAATTTGAAAATAAAAGAAATAATCATTACAAATACTGGAATGGCTGATTTTAACATGGTATACAATGACACAGTAATATATTTTAAACTCAATGTGGAACATCCAAAGTCAAATCCTGTCAACACTCCAAAGGGTGCCAAAGTTTTAAACGTTTTCCAATTAAACAAGTGTCCAAATATTTCTCTCCAGTTGGGTGTGATCGTTTTGTTCACATGTGCATTTGTTGAATGATGATTGGAATTTCCACCTCCATAAACCACACTCTCCAATCGTTTCTTAATCAAAAACCATGAAACAACTCCACAAACAGAACAATTGACAAACATTTGTAAACTCAAAAACATTAAAGGATATCTCAATCCACTATACGAAACTGTATATTTGATAAAGAGAGTGAGTAAAATACTCGCTAAAAAGTATTGTAAGGTATATTGTACAGAAAGTAACAAGGAACGATAGGAGGAAATGAAATTGGAAATTATTTGAGAAGAGGATGATGAGTCTATGAGCGTAGTATGACGATGATTGGGATATGATGAATTCTGATGATGATTTGGAAAATTTGTTGTGGGTGTTGTCGTTAAAAGACTGAGATCAAAATCATCATGAGCCTCGGAAATGGAATCACTCATGATTTCATCATGTGAGAGTTCTGTTTCTTCTTGTTGTTGAGATTGAAATGGTTGTGTTGGAGATGATGATGCCAAGAATTCTGATCCATCATCATGATGATCGTGTTTGGAATTTAAAATTGGGACTTCTTCAGCAAGTTCTAATTGGACCTGAGGATGATCAGATGAATCACCCAAAGACGATCCCGAAGCAGACATTGGTTCGAATCAACACACAGACCACACCGAATGACACAATCACGCTAATTCGTTCAAGAATATTTTTTGATGACGCCCATCAAATTTGATTTTCCAAATCAAGACAATAATTCTTTAATTGGAAATTCGAACAAATATTTTCAAAGCATGATTGTTTAAAATTGATTCAACTTTTTGGAAGCAAATGCAGGCAAATTAAATGCAGCACGATGCAACTGTGGAGTATAATACTTCAAACTGTCACGTGTCTTTTCATCCAATTGGTTGTACCAACTCTCAATTCTACGTGGCTCACGAGAATCAAGTCCAGCTTGCATTTGACAAACCAAATATCCCAAAATTCCTCCAGGATAAGTTGGAGTACTAGACCATGCATAATTCACATTTCCGAACACTTGTTCCAAATTGACCTTCATTTGTGCAATTAAATCCAAATGGAGCCACAAAGTTTCAGATTGTTGTGAAAAAACTCCATTCTCAACAAGTGCTTCCTTACAAGTTTGGAAGAATTCCTTGGAGAAGAGAAATTCAGCGAGACCTACTGGATCGGAACAGTCATTGATGACCACATCGAAATACTTTTTGTGTTGTCTCAAATATTCAGCTCCATCGGCGTTGATAATTTTCACACGAGGATCTTCGAGACCACAACTCATGGTTGGGAGGAATTGTTTGGCAGCCTTGATGACATCGGCATCGATTTCACACAAGACGACTTCTTCGACGCTTGGATGTTTGAGGACTTCACGGACGCAGCCACCGTCGCCACCACCAATGATGCAGACACGTTTTGGTTCGTGGTCGAGAGTGACAAGTGGCAAGTGACAGGCCATTTCTTGATAGCTGTTGTGTGTGAGAGTGCCACAGAGGAACAATTCAAGTGGTGAATTATAGCATCGGAATGAATAATATATTCATAATAATATATTCATATTATATCCATATTATATTCGTAATAATATATTCAAAATACATCGTTTCAACACAATGACGACTTACCTGCATTCATCCTTTTCAGTGGCTTGAATAGCACCATCCAAAACCAACACATTTCCATAAGACTCTGATTCAAAAACCAAAATATCTTGGAATTTTGACTTTTCGTGATACAACACACGTTTTACCTTGAGATTCTTTGATTCGCCATCCCAAAGGCCGTTTGAAATTTCAGTGAACCATCCTTCCTTCCAAGCGTTCATTTAGTAATACGTTCGTAGATGAGTGTGTGGGTAAATCTCAACAGAAAATCAATCTCGAAAATTGAGTATTATTGTGTGAGGTGGTGGTGTTGTTGTTTTTTTCAACAAGGAAAACAGAGTGAGAGATGTTGTGAGTTGGTAACAAGAGGAAACTCACAACAAGGCAGACCTGGTGATGCCTTCTGCTGCTGATGTCCGAGAAATAAAATTGTCCAATAAATACACAAACAAATTCTCAATGCCCCTCCGAATTAGATTCACTGTTGAAAATTCGCCGCAAATTTCCAAGATGCACATTTTCGTTGAAGCGTGTGAATTGTGTTGTCATGTCAAATTTACAGTAAGGCAAAAACACTGAATTGAGTCATATAAAAACCCAAGATGCATCTCTTGTCTTTTTAGGAATGTAATGCAAAAGTAGATTTACAGTTTTTCGAGGACTTGTTTTCTTCTACTTATCGAGGATCACATGTGACCAGTGAGTGGAGAACAATGAACAAACATCGCGATGGTGATTGTTGGGAGGACATTGAGGAACTTGAAAAAAACATTTCACTCATGTTCCGCTAGTTCCTATCTCTGTCTCGGTTATGAAAGAAATACGGAATGTCAAACACCTGTCAAACTCAAATACACAATCACACCAAAAAAAATGTCAGCAACACTACAGTCAGCTAGGAAACAACCAGAATTTAAAATCGCCGTTGTTGGTAGGTCATTATTGTAAGATTATGTGCGGAATGATTACTCATCCGTATGAAATCGATTGCATACGATATGAATGCCACTTGTCAAACTTTTGATCGGAATCATCAAAAAGGAGGTGGAGGTGTCGGTAAGAGCGCACTCACCATCCAATTCGTTCAACACTTCTTTCAGCCACAATATGATCCCACCATTGAAGACAGTTATCAAGTAAGTGTTTGTTCTTCATTGAATTTCATAGTTTTCAATTTACCGAAAATTAATGACCTACCACATCTCTTCTTGATCAACAACAAAATATTTCAACATTTAATATAGAAACAAATGAAGGTGGATGATAAAGTTGTACAATTAGAAATTACAGATACTGCTGGACAAGATGAATTGTAAGTGTTTTTCTCTTCTTCCGATCGTTTGGAATGATTGTTTGCAATTTTCCAACAAATGTTTTTGGAAACTAAATCCTTTCAATTTTAGTATTGGTTTGTATTCATCTTTTTTCATGTAATATTCACAAAATGTTTGTTTTACACACAGCATTGCGAGACACTTACATGAGGAGAAATGATGGATTTGTTCTTGTTTTCGATCTTACTGCAAAAACCACATTAGAGGAACTTGTCAATTTTGTCGAAGGAATTAAACGTGTGAAAGAAGAAGATGAAAAATTTTCATCCATTCCATTTGTTTTGGTTGGTAATAAGGTCGACCTTGGAGATCAAAGAAAATTCACAAAGAAAGAAGTCATGTCTTTCATGGTCGATCGATTAGAGTTGCCTGAGGACACTCCTTATTTCGAATCGAGTGCTAAAAATCGAGTATTGTGTGATGAGCCATTTGAAGCCATGGTGAGACGAATGAGAAAATTACAAAAGAAAGCAAAGTCAGAATCTGAGGACGGAAATGTACAAACCTCTTCAAGCTCTGGTAAAGGTGGATTGTTTTCGAGTATGTCTGGAGCATCAGAAAAGGATCATGATTTGCAGACATTTAAGGAATTGCAATAAATCCAATAATTGTGCCGAGTATGTAATCTAATTGAATAATTTGAGTTTTTCTTTGGTTGACTCCACCTCAGTCGTTTCCCTTAATGAAAAATTTTCTCACACTGAGCCAAGTGATCTTTCTTTGACATTTTACAAACTCTATCAGTCATCTCTTGGCTTACTACAAGTACAAACAAGCTTGGCTTTTCCAACAATACCCTTCGTACTGATCACGAGTGCAGATTTTTCTGTCGTTGTTTTGTTGTCCCACTCACAAAGAACCAAATACTTGTGAATTGAAACTCCATCAATCCAATCAATAATGTTAAACGAGAAGTAACAATCCAAAATGTTTCCATCGACACTGCTGGGTTGAAAAGATTCACATGATTGTTCCTTATTGTATTTAATCACAAGTCCTATAATATGGTTAAAATTCTCCTTACAACAAAATTGTAATGTAAACTCTTCTTCGGTATCTAAAATCACAAAATTCCACAAATATTCAGTAAGTGTCTTTGCAGAATCCGCTTCAAAACTCTTGTCATATTGTTCGTAATTTAAATGACGTAATTTCCTGTGCAATGGTTCTACATTGCTCTTTTCAATTGCGTTATTATTAACGTTTTCAGAGGTGAAAAATCCAGCCTGTTCAAGAGTTTAAAAGAATCATGTTAGAACGACGTTAAACACTCATCAATACACTTACTCTACCAGTTTGATCAGACCAAACTCCATGAACAGTAATATCTAAATTGCATCCCTTTTTTCCTCGCATATTCTTAGAAAAGTTTTTCGATAAGGCCCATTTACCTTCTTTTCCTTGAAAGTCTTGTCGTTTCTTAAATGATTTATAAATCATCTTTCGCCCAAGCACATTAGTTATTAAATCACCAGATGGGTGCCAAATTTGAACTATATTGATATACAATCCCACAGAGACACCAAAGTAATAATATCTTGCTGAGTCTATATCGTCGAATTGATCCAAGCCAAAACATTTCCCTGTAAAAAATTCAATGTTTGGAAATCTTGTTTCAATGCTATGTTTGATGTTGACTTTCAGTGATGAAAAGTCTTGATCATTGAGAGAAAATATATTTTCTTCGGATGTGACATGTTGAACCGAGTTAAAACATTCTAAATCATTATCTAGAATGTAGGAATATGGTTTGGAGGCTCTTTTATCAGTTCCTGTATTAAATAGCCTCAATCCGTATAATTTTCCATCCACTTGAAATTATCATCATGATCGTTGTACATGCAATGAATCCATGTAATAATTTCATCATTCACAAAGTAATCTGATACTTTGGCAATATCCACCCACATGTTCAACCTACCAAAAACATTTCTCAGTAATTTCTTATAACTCACATCGGAGAAGGAAACTTGTTTTAGGGCAGTTTTAGTTAATTTAATTTTTCCAAACAAGCATGACTTCCAAACAGACTCAAACAATTTCAGATTTTTCAAGTATGCATCTTGGCATGGTGGAAGTAACAGATAAAACTTTTCTCTCCAACACTCATTGGCATCCACTAAATTCTTATAATACTTGTTCAAAGATAGCAACGAGAATAAATCCCGAACCGGCACAAAGGGCAACAACGAGTGCCGAAAAACTTCAATCGGAATCAAATCCAGACCACTTGTTGTTTTCTCAATAGTCCCTTTGGAAGCAGCAACATCTAGATCTGATCTTCCCATTTCTCTCTCGGTATTCCTCCCAACTGAACATTGAGCAATATTTGATCGGATCATCACTGTAGAACACTCCCTTTCATCATCCGATAAAGTACTTTCCTTCTTCTGCTTCTGTTCTGTTTCATTCGGTTGAGATCTGTTCTTTCCCATTGTTCGATTTTTTAATAACGTTGTTGCTTGTTACAAACAAGTTCAGCAGAGATGAATTCTTTTTTTTTAAAAAAATGTACATTCCTTCACCGCCACCATTGAATCAATTCATCATCAACAATCAAAAGACCTATCGAGCTCACTATTCATTACATATTCAAGAGTCACCTCCAGTATCGGGAAAAAATCATTTAGTACGAACGGGTCATAAATTGGTGAGATTTGATGATGAATCTGAATTTGTGAGTAAACGAATTCAAATCGCTGCTCATTTTCATTCAGGTGTGGATTGCGGAAAGGGATCAATGATTTTTATGGATCATGAAAATGCACTCACTCATACAAATACTTTGGTACAATTTGGAGGAGTTCCCGTGAGTGAGAATAGATCGAATATTTCTTATGCATGTGATGACATTTGGTATTTAATTTTGCCTTCTCATTATAATAACGTCACTTGTCACATTCAGTGGTGCAAATTGCAAATTCCAAATCATCCTCATAATTCAGAAAATAAGGCCGAAAAAAGCGACTCTGCATCTCTTGCATACTCTAAAAAATTGCAACGAATTTTTGTCATGACCTATTTCAACAAAATTCATACCTTGTGTTTGAAAACATTGACTTGGGATATCATTCGTATCAGTCTTCCCTGTAGCTATGCCAATTGTTTATATAACCATTTAGATCTCTATCTGCTTATATCATATTGTAGAGGGCAAGATGAGACTCATTTCGTTCAAGTCGATTTTAATCACATTGAAAAATCTTTAAATGAGAAATCCACACCAGCAATGGTCGAATTCAAAGAGTTGGACTGTACAATTCACAGAGAGGTCACAAGAGGTAAATTTCTTGCAGTACCAAACTTCTCAATTCTCTCTTCATCTGCGAAGGATATCGACACCACAAAAAATTCAACACAACAAGATTTCAATTTTTATATATGCGGAGGAATTAATAGCGCAACATCTATGGTGAGTGAAATTGAATCCATTTACCGAGTGAATGCATGCAATCAATCTGAAATCGCCAAAGATATTCATTTGGATTCAGAATTACTGTCTGATTCAAGGACGAATCATTTCATGACCGTCATTCCTCATTCCTCAACACAAGTCTTTGCTTCCAACCAAGAAGAGGAATTTTCACATGGCCATCATCACGCACTTCTCATTACGTTTTTTCACAAACCTTCAAAAAGCATATTATTTTACGAATATGACATTACTGCTAATTACAATGATGTGGAAATTGGAAATAGTATTACGTTTGGATCTCATTTGTACAATTACAAATATGGAACATTGAAGAGATTGGTTCATAACAAAATTCCAATTCAACTTGTCGTTTCGAATGCAGTCTTGCAAAGTTCATTGCGACCATTCCTTCATTGCTATGTGAATGAAAAAGAGGGAAGAAGAATTGCAGTGTTTGTAGCAAACAATCGAATGTTCTATTTTCTCAACTTGGATTATATGAATCCAATCTATTGCTTTCGTATGTCATGTCCAGACTTGATCAAGTTTTGTGATATTACTGTACGAACAAGAGTCAATTATTGTGAAAGTACTTGCAATGACCGTGTCGAGTTGAACGAAATCCCTAAACAAGCACAAGCTCCTCTTGGACATACTGAAAATGGATCACAAGGAAGAAAAAGAAAGTTTACAAATAGGAATGGTCATTGTGAGTTGCAATAATAAGGTTCTCGCTCTTTCGTATGAATTTAACATTTCTAACAATAGTTATGGATCTGATAAGGACATGATTTGTGTTGTAAATATGAAATTTCTCACCCATTCATACATTCGTACATTCACTCGTTGATACGCATGGAATTGTATACACTCAGATTATGAACTTGAGATGGTCTTAAAAGGTTCATGGATAAGGAGTGAAACAATGCACTTCATGCACTCCAATCTTATGGCATCATGAAGAGGAGAAAGGCTGAACAATGGTCGATTGCAACACATATGTGTCATGCTTTCTCACAGTATTGTGACAAGGAAGTCATGACTTTGAGAGCACGTCCTCTTCTCATAATATCCAAATTCAACAGGGATGTTTCTGTCCATTCTCCATTCTTCAATCAAATTCCTCCTATCCATGTTCTAATTTGAGTGTGCGAGTCGAGAAATTTATTATCTTCGCAATAATCCGAAATACAACAAAAAGAAGAAGAAGAATGAGTTTGTTGGTGACCCTTGGACTGGCTCAACCGGCATCATCATCACCATCACCACCCACTCTACTACTACCAAGTACGTTGTCAACCTCCAGTGGTAATGGTTGTGGTATGATTGGTAGTAGTTCGACGAATCATCATCTCCATGGAGCGTCGTCTTCTTTGGTGTTGTTGGGCAGTACTAATAGTAGCCGACCACCATTGGCTTCTTCTTTCATTCCCAAAAGCAATACATGTTCGACCATGGTTCTTCAAGATACAAAAAGCAAGGCACTTCCAAACAGGAGCACGACCGGGAGTGCTGCTTCTACTACTACTACTACCACTACCATATTCTCTCGTCGGAAGTTTGTTTCTTCTTCTTGTCTGGATTCCTGCAACGAAAGGAACACAACCTCCATCAACAATGGTCATCATGAAGGAGAATTACAACACAAACAGAAAAGCAGCAAGAACAACAATAGTTGTATTAATACAACGACCACAACAACAAGCAACACAAAGCATGGTATTCATCATTCTTCCTCTCTCTTTTTCAACAAACATTTAAAGTATATCGGCTACAAACTCCATGTCCTTCTCCTCTCGAGTATTCGATGGAGCGTGATGATTTTCTCGGGATGTATGGCTGGCAATATTCTCTCCACGTTCCTTCCACTCTTCTTTATTCTTTGCTTATGTGTGGGTATTAGCATTGTATTTGTTGCCATTATGAAGACTTTGGCACCTTAATGCTGAGATCTTGAAGAGGACCAAACATTCATCATGAAGATCTAGTTGTAGTGATGATGAGAGAGAAAGGCTTCTTGATGTATTCTCCCCATTCGTACATTCACTATTCGACCAGGTTGTAAATTTCCTAAATTTCCTTTTTTTCTATTTAAATTTTTTTAAATTTCAATCCAACTCTAACTTGTGTCAATCAATGATTTCTAACTGTTGTTCAATAATATTAACACTTACCTTTCCTTTGTGCTTGTAGTAATAAAAACATCAAGTCAAATTCAAAATGCTTTTTCAAAAGGCGATATTTAAGGTTTTCACCACAATAATGCTTTTAAGTTCCAAAATTAAAAAATGAGTCATCTTCAAGGGAATATCAGCACGTCGAATATTGTGCGTTCATCTTCGTCGGGAGTGATGAGTATGGATGGTACGTAGAAAATAATGATGATTTGTTGGTTTGGAGAGAATGTATCCATTTTGTTGTTGTTGTTATGAATGAATTTTTTTGAACGATTTGATGATGGTTTTTGAATGATGTTGTTGTTGGAATTTCATGTATGAAAATAATTGTTCATACCAATGACGATGCTGATGATAATGATGGAAAATAAATTATTCCATGATGACGATAACAAATTCGGAACATAAACAGATCACTCACCAGTAACAAATTCGCCAGCAGGAGCTTCTCCATTTCCACAATCCTTTCCCCCTTGTGTAGATATTCGGTCTAAATTCCACGAAATGTTAAAGAATAATACTACTGATTTGGCAGTGGTTGGAATTTCTCTTCTCACAAGCGTGATTGAACATAGCAAGGCATCTACCATGTTGGAAATTACTCATGAACTCAACAATGCGACACAAGAAATTCTCAGAGTGGCAAGAAATGATTTGAAGGATTTTCCACACTTCTTTTCATCTAGTATTACTCTCAGATCTGCCTGTGATATCTATCAGCGTTTTGTTACAAGACAATTTTTGGAGATTCAAGATTTTGGAGCGTGTAAAAAAAGATTGACGGAAAGAGGAAAATATATTCAAAGTTTAAGCGCTCAATCCAAGGAGAGTATTAGTGAATTATTTAGACCATTTTTCTGTAGAGACAATATGCAAATTATGCTCGTTGGAGGATATAGTGAAATGATTATTACTATTTTAGCCTATGTCACTACTCATGTGAATCATCAAAGTGCATTCCGTTTCAAGAGCGTTCTTGTTCCAGAAGGAAGACCTGATGGAAGCGGATATCGTATTGCTCAAGCTCTATCAGCTTATAATATTCCTATCACAATTATCACAGACGCCAGTATCGCCTATCACATGTCTAGCAGTGATCTCGATTTTGTGTTAAGTGGTGCTGAAGGAGTTGTCGAAAGTGGTGGCATTATTAACAAGATTGGAACTTACCAAGCTGCAATTTTGGCTAAGGAGCACAAAAAGCCATTCTATGTAGCAGCAGAGAGTTTCAAGTTTGTCAGACAATATCCTGTCAATCAACAAGACCTTATTGAGAAAATGGAAAATGGATCAATATATTATATCAATCAACCAGAATACAAGATGATTCCAGCACTTGGATTCTCAGACATGACCCAAGAGGACGTTCAAAACACATTACTGAACGAAAAATCTGTTCAAATCAGCAACCCCATTAGTGACTTTACACCACCAAAATATATTACCATGTTATTCACAGATTTGGGTATTTTGACACCAAGTGGAGTCTCTGATGAATTAATCAAATTATACTCATAATTCATTAAAATTTTACATTACGTAAAATTTCACACAAAATGAGAATTGCATGGTTCAATAAACGTGTGATTGTATCGAAATCATTTAAATGGTTGGGTGTGGTTACAATGATAGGAGACCATGTAGTTGTACATTAAGACTAAATCTAAATTGAGAATTCTTGTTGCCTCATTCAATCCTTTTTCGATTTATTGGCTTGTTCATCCTCAATTTGCCAACCCCAATTCTCTCGTTCGAAAGGAGGAGTGACATAAATAGGCTCACGACTCATTTTCTTAGCTGTTGAGATTATTGCGGAAGATATTAATTTGGGGTCCGTCTCATCGTCATCTTTATCAAAATTGAGCTCAAATGGCAGAGAAGGAACGAGTTCATCAATCATAGAAAATGCATTCCCTGCTACCTTAAAGTTCGAGAAGGAGCCGACCAATAACAGTTCAAGCAGAGGAAATCGCCACAATCGATCAATTTGATGATCATCCAGTAAATAATATTCCCCCATTGAGTCAATAAAGGCTTCTTCAATTTTTTGATCAATAAATTCAATAATTCTTTTTGAAATATCGTGTTTGGTTTCTATAGAAGATTGTCGAGTGTCTCCATTAACTTGATCGTGTTGTACATTTGAATGTGATTGTTCCAAGGTGTTTTTTGATTCACTACCATCCATTCTTCCATTATTATTGAATTCAGAGTTTTTTGCGTATCGCAATAAATTTGGTTCCTTCTGAAGTAAATATTGCAATTTTACAAATTTAGAAATTAAAATTTCATATTCCGATCGTGAAAGGCACGTTAATGTATCAACCACATCCTCTCTTTTTCTATCATGGTCATTATTCAATATTTCAACAGTATTGAATTCATCAAATACTTTGTCCGAATATTCACTGTCTGATGTAATGTTCAAAGCCTTTACACTTCCAAATCTTTTTTCCAAATCCCGAAATAAAAATCGACTCAATAATACATTGCCATTCACTGTTCCCAATGCTATTGGATCCTTCTTTGCCAAAATTCTTCCCTGAATGATCGGAGTAGAAAAATCCTTGTTGAATATTTCTGGAATGTTAATTTTCGGCATTTTTTTGTAATCATTTCATTTAATAATTTTAATTGAATGGTAATTAATTGAAACGAATTAAACTACGATTACTCGATTAACCTTGGATTAACTGAATAGCAATTTAGATTACAAAAATTCATCAATATCAATATTCGAAATCACAATGTCTAACAAATTCTTCTTCTTTCTTTTGTTTTGCATGTTGGGTGCATTCACATTCTTCACAATTGGTCGATCATTCTCATCGGTTGGAACATTCTCAATCGAGTGAACCACTTCCATTCCTTTAATGACTTCTCCAAAGAGTGTATGCTTATCATCAAGCCATGGTGTTGGCACAGTGGTGATAAAGAATTGAGAACTATTCGTATTGGGTCCACAATTTGCCATGGAAAGTTTTCCTGGACGATCGTGCCTCAAACTTGGAGAAAATTCATCTTCGAATTCTTTACCGAATATTGAGGTTCCTCCTGTTCCGTCACGATTATCATTATCACCAGTTTGAATCATAAAGTTCTTAATGACACGATGGAAGATACAACCATCGTAGTATCCATTCAGGGAGAGTTGTGTAAAATTTTCGACTGCTTTTGGACAAACATCAGGGAATAATCGAACTTGTATGTCTCCAAAGGAGGTGTGAATGGTTGCAATTTTGGCCATCTTTCCGACCTTTTGCTTGCTTGCCACAGATGAAGATGCCTCTCCAATGGCATTTGCAATTTCCATTTCTTCTTTCGATGGCTTCTCGTTGAAAATGTCTCTGCCAAAGGTGACACTAGAATTAATGTAAGCATATCGTTTGTGAACGGAGCCAGTCAACTCTTCATCTTCGGAGGGCTCTCGTTTGGTGAATAGATAGAAACGGTTCTTCTTGTAGGCAGAACAGAATAGAGTGGGATCGAAATATTCAAGTTTTGGAGCATTGGAGTCATCATTGGAATCTGTCATGGTGAATATTTGCGAAACTGCAGATCCTTCTGTTTTCTTAGCGTTGTTAATTTTTGAAAGCTCTGCTCTTGACATTTTGATAATGGCTTGGAAGAGTCCAATATGAAGAAATCGTTCAGTGCTTTCAACTTTTCCTAGTAATCTATCTACATGATCGGTTCTCAAATTTCTAATTTTGATTCCAAATATTGTTGGATAAATGATAAAGCTAGAACTTTCGTCAAAAAGAATGTTGGGAGTGACATGATAATCGCGTAGAGATGAGTTCGCTGTTGATTTGTTCGATGAGTGTTTGCTATCAATCAATTGCTCAATTTCATGTTCAATAGCAACTCGTCGACCAAAATCAAAGTTTTCCAAAGCATACATTTCTATATCTGTTGTTTCTTGCCTCAATTTTGTTAATAAATCTTTAGATTTTGTAATTTCATCAGGTGGTAACTGAGATGTTTCTGGAGAAGATGTTGCAACTTCCTCCAAGTGGCGAAGGAAATTTGGATTGGTGGCTGCTTTTTGTAGATTTTCTTGAAATTGTAGCGTTTCATCGTAATCCTTAATGAGCTTTCCTGAGAGGAAATTGAACACTCGAACATGGCCATCTCGGCACAAGACAGCAAACTTCTTGCCATCCTCAGAAATGTCAATGCTGACCGCATACGTTTTGGCCTTAGCTAACTCAAAGAGAGATGTTTCAGACTTGTATTTGAATGTGAATAAATTACTCGAGTGACCTTTTGGCAAATTCATGTAGTTGGAGCTTTCTTCTAGAGTTGGAAATTTCCCAGTATGTGGATTCCAATATTCAACTATGCCTTTCTCGTCGCAACTAATCATCACTCCAAATACAGAATTATATTTGCAACATGTAACTGGTGCTCGATGAATCATCACAGATCCAGAAACATTATATTTGTAAACGGGAGGCTTCATTGATGAGTCTGGATCAATGGGATCATAAAACTCAATGGCTCCATCCTCAAAATAAACACCAAGAAGAGTTTCTTTGGCACTGCCTTGTTTTTTAGAAGCAAAGCAGCACATGTGCAATTCACGTTTTGATGATTTTGCATCGTTCGACGACGATGAGTAAGAGATATTTTCTGATGAATCTGAAACGTCTTTGGAGAAACTAAACACATTGATCATGTCAAAGTTTGTCACATCATAAATCTTCAAGTCGTATCTAGACATGCTAGCACACAAAAGGCCATCTGATGACATGGTACCATATTTTAGAGGGCCCATTGCTGAAGTTTTGTGTGCCACAAAATGTTTCACAAATTCAATATTATCCATTGTCTTTCTCCAAAATTTTACATGACCATCTTTCGACATGGTAACAATAAAAAAGCAAGAACTTTGTGATGATCCAATTGCAGTAGCTTTTGCTGGAGGTGCCACTAATACAAAGCAAATATAATCTCGGTGCATATAAGACCATTCGTACATTAGTCCTTCAGGAAGTTGTTGTAAATGCAATTGATCAATTTTTTCTTCTTTTGAAAGCTGTTGTGATTTCACAGCTGTTGTACATGCTGCCTGTTCAAATTTTAAATTTTGTGTTGACTCTGTTTTTTCCGAAATTGGATGCACAACGTCATGATGAGAAGAGCTAAGCGAATTATTGTTGCTTGGTAAGCCGGTTGGTATTACTGGGCCATAATCCTCATCGTCATCTTCTTCCGTATTATCTTGATTTGTAATATTGTTTTGAATTTTATCTTGGGGTTGTTGTGCTTCCACATTATTATTCTGGAAATTATTTGGTATCATTGGCCCGTAATCATCTTCCTCTTCGTCATTGTTTTCATTCTCTTCGACAGCTCCTCCTACTGTTGGAACGGGCATTTGTTGAGCATTCTGCTTTTCAGCTTTTCTCTTTTTAACTTGTTGTTCATCATCCGATGATGAATAGTAGGATGAAGAAGACGAGCTGCTATCATCGTCTTCACTTTCCGATGATGATGAGTCTTCTTCCTTCTTTGTTTTTCGTTTCATTTTTTTTGTTTGAACCTGCTGAATGGTTGTCTTCCTCATCAATTCGTAAGGCTGCAAGACAATCTCAACGATCAGAAGAATATTTATTTGTAAATTTGAATTCTATTGTTCAAGCTATCAGCAACATATAATTCACCATTTCGAGTATTAATACAGAGACCAGTTGGGTTTTGGAATTCATTTGGACCATTTCCCTTTGATCCAAAGCATTTGATAAATTCACCACGGTTAGAGAAGACTTGAATACGATTATTGGAAGTATCACAAACGATAATATTTCCTGTCGGCTTGTCAACTGTTAAGCCTGTTGGATAGAGGAAGTCTGAGCTTGAAATACCCTTTTTGCCAAACATGTAAATAAAATCGTCTCCATTCTTTGAAATAATTTGGACTCTGTTGTTCTGATTATCACACACAATCAAAAAACCGTCTCGATTTGACACTGCAATGCCATGTGGAGAGCTGAATTGCATTGGGCCCTTTCCTTCTCCTCCAATATGTCTTATAAATTTGCCACCTCGTGTTAATAGAACCACCTTAGTATCACTCACAAAAACATTACCATTGGATTCATCGACGGCAATACCTTTTGGTTTCGCAAATATTTCTGAAGATTCAAGAGACCAAACGAGAGCATGGGTGTGCAAGCTGTATTTGTAGATTCCATTATTTTCACAGGAGACAATAAAAGTATCGTCTTTCTGATCTACTGCCATTGAAAGTGGCTTGGCAGGTGTCTCAATACTGTACTTGTATTCTTTTGTGAAAAGATCAAACGCTTGTATTCGCTTGTTTTCACTATCAGCCACCAACACAAGGTGATGTTCTGGAGAGATTTTCACATCCACTGGATTATTGAATTTTCCAGGCTCGTCCGAGGGCGGATGGCCTCCCATAGTTCCTGAATAGAGAAAGTTTAATCGGAAAGAAACAATATTCGTGGTTGATCGTTCAGCTTCGTGTTGAGCAATGACTTCTCTGGAAGGACTCAAGTGCATGGACATTTTTGTGATGAGTGTGTGTTAGTGTAAAAGTGGGAACGGTGATTACTGGTAGTGTTGATGGATGGATTGGATAGTAGTTGTATGATTATTATTAATAATAATAACTTGAAATCTCAAATAACAAGAGCGAGGTTCCTTTCTGTTCAATCAATTAGTAAGCCGAACGAACGATATGGAAATTGGATTTCGAGTGTTATGAAAGTTTAATATGAATCGTACTTTAATGATTGCAAAGAAGGAAGATGGTCCTTGTTGTTGTTGCTGTTGTTGAGAGGATGAATATATAGGTCGTGTTGATCAAAATTCTCTTCCGGTGTCTATGATGGCAAAGGAAAGAGCACTCAAAGGCTTTTGTGGCGAAGCAGAGAAGAGTTGTGCTTTTTTTGTGCTTGAAAATATTTCGGCATTTTGCTTCTGCGCCTCCATGAATGGGCCTGAGGAAGACAACAAATCTGCACAAAGGACAATGATTCTCTCCATTTCTTGAAGGCTGTATTTCGAGTGAAAGAGTGTTCTCTTGTGCTCTTGTGAAATCAGGGCAAGGTGATCACATGTGTATTTAGTACTATTTGTAAAACTATTAAATGCCCTCGCTTTGCCAATTAAAAAGAGGAAGAATGCCAAATATGAAAACGCGATTAATTTGTTAACATTTCACATCGGTGGAATATGTGACATTGAGAGCTCAATAATACTAAGACCAACGTTGGGAGGTGACAGATAATGGCATACAAACATACTTTTTTTGTGAGTCTGATCTCAACAACTACTTATCAAAAAAACGTTGTTCTTGGTTTGGATGGGTTTATATGTTGGGTTATTGTAGCTGTGGTTTTGGTTTGGGTTTTGGGTAGGTTTGGTCAATTCAACAAAATATGTTTATAAGCCATTATGTGTAATCCCCAGCGTTGGGAGTGTGGACATTTCTTGTGAAGCAGTAATTAGTTTAATTGTTTTGCACAATCATTCTCTAAGGTAACAACTTTACAGAACAAATAAACTACCAAAAAAAATGATTTCATGCTTTCGACAATGTTGAAACATTTATTCATCAATGTGAGCAAGATCGTTAATCCAATCTCTGTGTGTGTGCCTAGGGCATTCCAATTATTGAGCACTGCCTGATTTAAATTCAGTTGCACCACTCTCAACACTTGAAGCCACACTCGAATTCACCAAATATTGATCAAACCAATACTCATTCACCATTCTCTTTGATTTGGTGTACAATTCTTGTAACTCTCTCAAACTCTCCACTTGCTCATCAATCAGCTTTTGCAAGAAACCAGTCAATGCAAAATCACGCTGACTCTCTGCTACTTGATAAATGTATCGGATCTTATCATAGACCATTCGTTCCGTTTCAATGGCCAATTCAAAGCCTCTTGTTGTAACTGTTGCAATATTATTGGTACAACCAACAGTATCACAAGATGAGTTCTTCATGTTTTGAGGTGCTGCTGCTGCTGATGAGGCTTCTCCTCCAGTCAATACTTTACTAAAATCTGGAGGAGCTTGAATGGCAGAAAATTGAACCTTACCACCTCTACCGTTTTGATATTGGATTAAGGCATGAGCGTGTCTTCGTTCCTCGTTGGATTGAGCCAAAAAGTAGTTGGCTACTCCTGGCAAGGCTACTGTGGGTTGAGAGTAGTAGGTCCCCAAAGCAGTATAAAAGTAAGAAGCATTCAATTCATGATTGATCTGTTGTTGATGATGAGGATGATGGTAGTATTGAGAATGGATCAATCCGATGGAGGAAGAAGAGCAGTTGGAAGGATTTGCGAGGATTTTGATCAAAACACAACGTTGTCGGAAGATCAAGTTTAAATGTATTTTTGTTGTGTTGGGATCAAACGGCCCCAATTATTTTGTAAACAAATATTGCAGCAGCAATAACAAGAGTATACATGTAGGATTGAGTTTGATATTAATTTTACACAATGATGAGACTAATCAACAAAAGTATACTTACCTGTTCATTAACTAGTTGCTCACACTCACTGCTGTAATTGTATCGAATTTTGTTGTGAGGAGAAGTATTATCCAAAGTTTTGGAAGCACTTGATGAGAAGGAACGAGTGTTGGTTTTGAATGTTGTGGACAACATTACTGGATGAGTAATGCTGGAAGAGATCAACTTTGAAACTAATTTTGATCGTGCTAATGCCATTTTTTTTCTTGAGAATCAAGTGTTTGTTGACAGATGGCAGATGGGTGTTGGATTCCTTTGTTGATGCTGTGAGAAGAATCTTTTTACAACACACAGAGAAGATGTGAAAAATGTTAACACCATTTGGAGGTGGATCGATGTTATCCTTAATTCCAAATAATTCTAGTCTTCAAAATCATTTTCTTCAATTTCAACAGATTCAACATCAACGGTTGGTTGTGTTGCCACAGATTTTCTATAGTTTTGTTTTGAGCTGATGAGAGTAGAAGATTTCGAAATTCGAGATATTGAGGATATAAAACATATAATATTGAACCATGTGTTCTTCTTCATAAACTTTAATCCTCTTTCTTTTGACAAAACAATTATTCAATGATTCCCATGCTGATGATGTACTTCTTTGTTTACTGAACGGTATCTCTATTCCTCGCCCAGATTAATTGCATTCTTCTATTCCTCCTGTAATTAATGTATTGGAGATAATGGTCATTCCAAATAAGATTGAAAAATCAAAGGGTCTGGAAAATCCCGAGAGCTCCCGTTTCACAAAACGCTTATGAGGGGACCATCCAATCAAGATGCTCAATAAATCGAAAACCTTCAAAGACAAGAATAGATGTTTTGCTCTTGTAGACTCATTTACCTTCACAACTAGTTTTTTTTGTTTGAACAACAACCACTCATCCAACGATTTCAGGATCTTTTTGAATCATCTCGATCCGAAGAATGACGAGCCGTGAGATCAGCATCGTGGTTTTTCCCAGCCCTCCCTTTTATTAAGGTGATTTACAAATTCCTTCTTCTTTTTATGTGAATGTTGAACATGCAACAGGAGTGCGTTTGAACATGACGTAAAGACAGGCTATGTTGATCAACACAACAATAATATCCGAACTGTAAGTGTGTGGCTCTTAAAAAAAATCTAATTAGTTTATTGTTAGCACCACTGGTGCTGGTAAATCCGTGAGGATTGGGGTTTGTTTTTGAATTGGTTTTTTAAACCTTGAGTTTTCATAATACTTGATGTGACATTTACCAACTAGTAGGGTGAGAATTGTTTGGATTTCAGGCCAATTTTGGTAAATATTTGGTAAATTTTTAAAGTTGGGCATTTGAGTATCTCGAATCATTACTCCGTCATGATGAATAATGAAAACTTTCCTTCTTTCACAGTATCTTGATTCTTGATAATCGTTGAGGATACATTGCATTGATGTAATATCTAGGAATTTAGTGTAGAAAAAATCCCTAAAGCATTGAGTATTAGGGCAATAGTATATGAAATGTTTTAGAGTTCCGGGGCATTTACAGTGAGCGCATTGTCTTTCCTTATGTTGTTTGATATGGTTGCTTGTTAAGTTTCTCCAGATTGACCACTTAGTATTTGTGTCAATTTTAGATTTGATGAATTTTAGATTGATAGATGACCAGTTCTTGGTAAGGTGTAGACTGGAATTATCTCTATCAAATTGGCTAAACATTACATCATATCTTTTCTTTTGTATGGATTTTTTGATGTCGAAAATAATGGTATTAGATGTGGCAAGGATGGTTTGGTTCGAAAATAGCTTCTTAATGTCAAAATAGTTGTGCTCTTGAGCTCCTTTCTTAGCTAATTCGTCAGCTTTGATGTTTCCTTTGTTGACATGACCTTTAACTTTGATTAGTTGAATATTTAGATTGGATTGTTGAATGACCTGTTGATATTCATGCTTGAAGCAGTTAAAAATTCCGTTATAGGCTTTGTTTTACAAAACGTGGATGGATATTTCACTATCTGTGTGAATTTTTGCCTTAGATTTAGGTGGAAGTATCTTTAGTGATGTGAGTATTGCTGATAATTCAGCAACGTTATGTGAGTATTCGCTGTTAATTTTGTATGAGAAATCTTGGGTTTCTTGGGAATTGTTAACTTTGGCGGTAAAGCCGAAACCTGTTGAGTTGTTGAGATTTGATCCGTCAGTGTAAATAGTAAAATTCTTTCCTTTGAGTTTTGGAAAGATTTCGTCATTGTTAAATTGTTGAGGTCTGATCTTGTATTTCTTCATTGATCTGTTCATTTCCTTAAAAATCGAATTTTCGTGTTTGATTCCTTCTGAATATACTTCTCTAAGAAGTTCATTATCATTGTTAATAAGATACAGGGCTGTTTTGATTCGAATTTCATCTGCAAAGATATCGAATCTTGGAATACCAAGTCCGCCATAGGTGATTGGGAGGTGAAAATAGTTTGTTGGACTAGCATTATGCATGAAAATTTTCTTTCTTATTGCTTTTCTTACTTCAATGTTAATTCTATCAACAAGTGATTCAGGAATGTAATTTGTTCGTAAAATGTGTGTAAATAAGCTAGTGCATTTGGCAAAAATTACTTTCTTAATGTTTGTTATCTCCATTCTTTTCAGTGGAATATATTTGGTGAGAGTTGAAATTGGAGGATTCTTTTTTCAATATCTTCATTTAAAGTAGAGTCATCCCAAGGATAGTGTCCAAGTACTCGAAGGTTTTTGAATCTTGGTATAATAGTACCGTCTATCATTGGCTTCATTTTGCTTTTTAGTTGGGAGAGTGGTTGCCATGGATTTTGAAGGATTAATTTTTAGACTTAATTGGCCGAGCCATTTAGAGATATTATCAAGTCTTTCGTTATAATTGCAGTATCTGTTTGAAACTAAATTAATGTCATCAGCAAAGCAGAGCAAACAAATATCGTTAATATTAAGCTTGGTTGGTTTGATTGAAATTTTCCATTGTTGTATGCATTTGTCAATGATGAGTTGAGTAATACAATCATATATAAGAGGAGCTAAAGGGCATCCTTGTGGTATTCCTCTTGTTTTTGTGAATGGTCTAGAGAGATGGTGATCAATTTCTAGCTGTAATATTTGACTCTTGTATGAGTTTAGTATAAAAGTTTTCAACTCATCTGGAAACTTACAATGAGTGAGAGCTTTTTCAATGATATGATCTTCAAGGCTCTTAAAAAAAATGCCAGAGTCTGTTTCGGAAAAGAGTTCCAGCTCTATTGGGACATACACGTTCCGAAAATATATTCTCTACCTCAACACTCGAAACCCAAACCTTTTGCCGCTTGGGCAGAAAAAACGTTATGAATTACTCTTCCAAGATCCTACAACGAAGAACAGTGGAGAGAAGAATTAATTATCTTTCAGAATGTATTTGAGGGTTATTTTGAGAAGCTAGTTCAAGTGGAAGATTATAAGGCTAATGCGATTAAGGATTATTGTCCAATGCATGTCTTACCAACCGACATACCTGCCTTAAGAGTGCATTGTTATTCATCGGGATGTACTTCTGATTTATATAATAACCAAAAATCACGTCGATAATGTTAATAAAAGGTTCAATAATGAGGAACTCTCTTCTGAGAAAGTCAAATCTGTTCTATCATTCTCAAACTCATCAACCCATGAACAATCAGAAACCAAGAGGTTACTTAACGATAAATCCCAAGAGGGGGTTGTTGAAGATGATTTAGAGGGTGGAAATTTTGACATGTATTCACAACCAAAACATCATTCCATGAACGTTCGAAAAACTCTTTGTAACAAAGAACTTTATTCGAACGAGCTTTTGGTTAACTGTAGATTTGAAAAAGTTGTTTGTTTTATGGGATGTAAACTTCAACAGTGTACTCTTTACGGAGGGGCTATTATAGATTGTGAGTTGGATCAATGTGTTGTTGTTGATGGAGATGTGACATCATGTGAATTGTCTTATTGCAAAATTTCTTCCTCCAATTTAAATGACTGAAAAGAAATGAGCTGCAATATTTCAAACTCCGATTTAAATGGATGTATGGAAATGGGTTGCAAAATAACAAAATCCAATTTGAACGGGTGTAAGGTAATGGATGGTTGTAGCTTGATGGTTTGTCTGTTCACCAAGAATTGCCATTTCTCAAAAGAAGTCGATATTAATGGGCAAAAAACAGAACGATTTCTCACAAATAAAAACTGCTTCCTCTGGATTTCAAGCAAGGATTTCACATAAAGATCCGGAAGAATCAGGAGCCCGATCCCACCTGCTTTTGAACAGACTGAATTATTACAATTTCCAATTTCACTACGACTCATGATTTTCTGCATATTTTGTCAATTGACTCAATTGACTTTATTTCGATTGTACAACATTAAAAGAGTTTGGTTGAGAAACGAAAAATATTTTCTGCATATTTGTGCGCTTTGCTTAGTGACTTTTATGGTGTTTTGAAGGATTGTGGTGATTGAAGCAACCAATGGATGAAAATTTCAATTCGACAAATTTACATGTGAACACACAATTGACTGTTCATTCTCAATTATCCATCATACTCTTGTAACTCTTGTTCACATCTGGAAACCATGATTTTAAGATTTCATAGTGTGTATTAATGTCCGTGTTGCTCGTCAATAGAGTTTGGATGTTATCAGCGAGTCGTTGTTGAGCTTGATCGAATTCGTGACTGATTGGTTCTGGTTGGCTTAATCGAATGTTGTCGATATCGAAATCACTTGATGTATCCATTGCAGTATTGTGGTTACTTGTTGATGCTTTCAAAGACGTCGTCGATGAGGACGACAACTCCATGAGAAATGATAAACTTTGAAGTTCTGAAAATAGATCTTGATCGTCCTTAGATTCTTGTAAAAGTTTTGTGACTTGTTCGAGTGTCTTTTGTTTTGAATGTTCTCCAAGCTTCCAATCCGATTGTAAAATTCCGAGCATACATTGACGAATCACACTTTTTTGTGAAAGTGAAAATTGATCGAATGTTTTGAGAGATTTTTGGAAGTGATTTTTCGATTCATCAAGAGCATTGTTTCTAAGACAAAGAACTCCCTTAATAAATGAAATATAGGATTGGAAACTTTCAACCTCTCGAAGTCCATTTGTCTTCAAAGATCTCGTCAAATCATCCACATCTTTAAAAAGATCTTTTGTGGAAAATACAGACTCTGAACAGTTGAGTTTCCAAAATATTTGGAAAATTGTGGCCCACGTCACAAGTTGTTTGCTTGGGCAATTTTTGATGATAAATTCGAAATGTTGATTGCATGCAGAGTCAGCACCCCTCTCCTTGTCTGTAAAGAATAATAAAATTCCAATCAATAAATGAATGTTGTGCCTATAGGTGATAAATAAATCTGGAAATTGATAAATAAAATCAATGAGTTTGATCATGTTCTTGGTTGCTAGAATAAATTCGGATCTCGACAAATGAATCAAAATCATATCTTGCAATAGGTTAAATTTCACAAATAGTGAGAAGAGAGTATTGTCATTTCTCTTCTTATCCAATGCAAATCCAGCAGCATTGGCTAATTCCTTAATGTATTTGTCAGCTGTTGCAATTCCTTTGGTATTGAACCCTTCGGATTTTGCAAATTGACCCTGTGTTCTATAGTAAAGACTTGCAATGAGCCAAATCGTGCTAACGATGGGAGGAATTTCAATCCACTCATAGGTGAAAATTGCAGGATTTTTCGAATACACTTGCAGTTTGGCTACAGAATCTTGAATGGACTTTAGAATGGACTTGAATGAAGCTAGGTCACCCAGTGACATTTTATAGAGGCATGACATGATGAGATAGTTCAGATAAAGTAGAATCTGCTCGAAGAAAACCATTTGAGAAATATTTGTCACAACATGAGATCAAATATAAAACATACCACATCTGCATTGATAGGATTTTCCAAGAGTTTTTTTTCTTCATCGCTTCCCATTTCTACACCAATTTCTTCATGAATTTTTGTGAGATAGGTTGAAATGTTTTCGTTTTTCTTGTCCAATGTGATGGCACTCCAAGGTACGTAAACATGATCTTGCTTGATGGCCTGATAAACTCTAATGATGTAATAGGCAAGAATTCTCTTATTGATTGTTTTGGTGTTTTTCTGTTTTTCAGTTTTAAACAGTTCATTTTCTTCTTTTTCTCCTAAATCCAACTGTTGTTGAATTTCTATTCTTCGGTCATTCATAAAATTGTCAATCTCAAGAGTGTGAAGAAGTGCAATTCGAAAATAGTGACGCCATGCTTGCATACTCGTTTTTAAAGTTTCTTCATGTGTTGATGGGTTCTTCTTTTTTGAAATCATTCCAATAATACTTTCGACAAAATCAATTCCTTTCATATAGGCTTCACAAGCACTCGGAAATTCATTCATTTGAGTGTAGACAGAACCTAAACATTTGTAAATTTGAATTTGTAATGTTGTGATTTTGAGAGAAGGATCTAGATAATATACTTCGATGCTTGTCGTGACTTGTTCAATGATAGATTTTAACACCAAGCCCTGTGTTCACGTCAAATCATCAAAAACACATTAAAAAGAAATATTTGTTACATGTATATATTATTATTATACGTAATATACCATGATGGCTCTATTCTAATTATTACACATGAAAGACACCTACAGCACTCAATAAATGATTCTTGCAAGAATTAAAATTCCGAGTATATTTCAAATATATTTGCGAAAGTCGAACTCTTGTTTCAACTTCGTATAATCTCTCCCGATCAAATCCGACACTACTCAATAAACATTCGAGTGTTTTGATCGAATCAATGACTCGTCCTCCGCTGAGTAACTCCTCTGCAAGGCCCCAACACGAATAAATAATATTTTGCGCCATCGCCAATTTTTTTTTATTTTTCAAAAATTCAAATTTTTATTGGCGCGTTGAATGGCGGGCAATGAAAATTGAAATAACGATCGTGATGAATTTCTTGTCCATGCATGACCAACATGAACCAACCACTCAATCCTTCTTCGCAAGCAGAAGACGAATGCCCTCAATTTTCCCAAAAAGGAGTGTATTGCATTTTGGCGCCCTTTTCATTTTAAATTTTACTGATTTTTTTAAATTAAAATGAGTCTCTCAAAGCCTCGAGAGGGTCAATTCGTGATGGTGTTATTGGAGGCGTTTGAACCAAATGCACTTCCGAGTTATTTCAAGAAGAAGGACATCAAAACTATCTTGTCGGAGGAGGCTAAAAAACTGAAATTGGAGGAACACCTGAAAAAGATGGAAGAAGATTTCTTCTCGATGGATGATGGTATGCATCAGGAGGATGCATCTCCGGAATTCAATGATCGTGAAACTCATCCTCACCAGATGACTTCGAGTCATTATGGTTCTTCCTATTCTCCAAGAACCTCCATACCTTTATCAGAACAACATCATGATCGAGACAATTTAGAATCAGCAGATCTTCCACCCAGCTCTCGATACCGAATTAGAGGTTCGACTTTCCAAAAATCATCAGCAAAAAATGTTGCGTTGGGGCAAACTCGATCGACGTCTTTGTTGACAGCAAAAGGACGATCGCATTCCTTTCGAACGATAGGAAGTAATTATTCAAAAAAGACGAAAAACGAAATTATTTCATCAACACCGCTCAATACCTCATGCACAACTGATCATTTAACAATATCACCAATGTATAAATTCAATGCCACATCATCAAAGCCTCCTAAAAGCACGAAAGAAATTAAATCGAATACCTTCCTCACAGAAATTGACTATTCTGAAGATGGTGACCCATTTGCATCAATAGAAAATTTGGATTTGGAAAATTCGCCAAAGAAAGACAAAACAAAACATTCCAAGAAAATGGAAAAATACATAAAACAACGAGAATACGATGAATATTTACATTCAAATTTACAACGACGAACAGATATGTACACGAATGGAGAAGAAAAACGAACTGCTACATTTTCGAGAGCAAAAGCAAATACGTTAACCAAGGCACCTCCAAAGCTTCCCAAGCTTGCTCATCGTAATTTATTTGCTAGCCCTGTTTGTGGTGCAGTTTCTTTAGAGAGCGTTAAACCAAGCAATTTAAAAGTTGGAATTGTAATAGAGTGTCGAGAAAAGGATGTACTGTTGAGTATTATTTACAAGGAAGGAGTATTTTTGCATTACTTCAATGTGAAAGAGTCTGTACCCTACAATAGACTTGTTGTGCTCACACAGGACGAATACAAAATTTTACTGGGAGAAGCGTGGATGGAGCGATTAGTTGACTTTGAAATGGGGTCAACAAGAGATCATGCCAATTCATTTACTCCCACTAGCATTTCAGATTATAAGAGCAAGGAATGGTTACAATTGAGAAAGAAAATGATGACCGCTCTCAACAAACTCAAGAAACGGAAAGGTATTGACGATGACACATTCCTAAATACTCCAACCTATCAAGATTTGATGCGAGAAATTGAGGAGGGAAATGAGGATGTGTATTTGGATACCTACCGAGATGTTCGACAGAACCAGCAACAACGATTAATGAAAGAGGATGATGAGGATCGAGAAAAAGTTGTTGAACAGTGGAATGAGAGGTTGGAAAACGTTCATGCTCTCAAGCTTAATGAACATGGTCTCTTGTCTCAAAAAAGAAATTCCACTCTGAGAGATTTGAGCGAAAATTTATCGAATAAGATGGGCCAACTTCTTGCCTACGAGGAAACAATATTATCATCAATTCAACCTTCGTTCCAACAAGATGGGTCATCAATACTGTCTCCAGATGCATCTAAATTACGAAACAATTTTAAAAAGACACCTTTCAGAGCATCCATGAGTTCCTCCATGTTGAACTCAACCATGATGAATGCCAACAATGTTTCTACCAATATGACGGCCAGCTTTCTATCTCCACGAACTCCACGAACATTTTATTTGGAAAATTTGTCTGGAAAACTCTTGTCAGGAAAGGTTGTGTTTGTTGATCCTATTACTCTCATCATGAATGTCATCGTGACCTACCATAATAGAAAGTCTGTACATGATCCCGTACTTTCTCCTAGAATGGCAAACTCACCCAGATCGAAAACATTTAAGGAACTGAGACTTGACCTGCACGAAGAATCGACATCCTCAATCATGGTATACCTCTATTTGGACAAGATATCATTCACAGTTGAAGAAGAAAACACTGCTGCAACTGCTTATGGCCCAATTACCTCGAAGCTTATTGGTAAACAAGTGATGATATACATTCCCATGACAACCACAGCCATCACCAAAAAGAATGGAACTGAAATTAATACTATTGACACTTCACTTCCTTGTGATATGTGGCTCGTGTCTGAAGGAGACGATTGTCTCAAATCAAGTCAAATTATTAACAAGGATATTCTTACCATAGATTTACCTGGAAAAATTTGGATTAATAAGTGGGCTGTTGAACAAGGTTTAGCAGTTCTTAATATCAATAATACAAGTGTGAGAAATGAGGAGAGCAATATCACAAGTATTAACAAACCTTACTTTGATCAACAAATGAAAATATTGAAAGAGGCAGAAAACTTTGCAAAACAACACGATGTTGGAATTTGGGGATTTAAAAACATGCAACTAAAAATGGAAAAGGAACAGGAGAGAATTCAAAGATGGAAATTTAGAACAGGACAAAGCGATACAAAACCACGTGCACCAACCCCAATCAGGGATCCATTTCAAAAAGAGGGAGGAAGCTTATTCAGAGAGGCTGATCGAAAAAACATGTCCTATCTCGATTTTAAAGGTGACTAGTCAAGTTTTTCTATTAGCATTTGCATGACTTGAATATGGCCACAATTCGTAGAAGACTGTTTATGAAGTGAGTTGATCACACTTGTGATCTCCAATCATGACATCTAAAAAATTGCACCACGTTCCGTAGTGTGGATTTAAAACTAATAATTCATTCATCCCTAACATTGGAAAAGGGGATTACATCCTCAGAGGACATCTGAGTGAACCCATAGATCTTGAAATTTCTTATCGCGGATAAGGCTCGGAAAACATCCAAAAAAAATGAGCCTCCGAAACTCTTCGTTCCGAAAATTACTATCATCATCATCATCAACAGAAGCCAACATATCATGCGCCTCTTGTTTGGCAAGTTTAAACTTGTTGAATTATTCAAAAAGAAGCTATACTCAATCTCTCATGATGAGAACAAAACCACCACTTCCGTTGGATGATCAGTATCATAACAAACTCAGTTTCCGACATTTACAATCATCGGCCAGTCAAAGATTTGTAAAACAAAGTACAACCCTTGATATGCCCGTGGTTAATGCACCTCAACAAACTCTAGAATTGTTAGATTTGGAGAATTTTGATTCCGAGTCGGCTGCTTCTCTCTTTGGCCCGGGATCAACTTGTTTGTTTTTAAATGAATTTTATGAACCTGCATTTCCAGTGTGCTCACTGAAAAGCCACTCCATTCTTCCACTCGTCGACGGTGAGAAGGAAATTGTGCGTGAAATTAATTTTGCATTGTGGGATAGCCATACAGACAAGATGTTGTCCATGCAAGCGAGCTATGGGCAACAAAAGAAGGCACAAAGTATTCGAGTGGTTATTAATAGAAAAAATTACATGGATTGGATTGTAAAGACACTGCCAGTTCTGGAAGAACGAAAGACAGTCATAAAAAATCAAGCAGCAGGAGTGGAGTCGCAAAATATTGATTTTATTATTGAAACTATGAAATGGCAATTGAATGAATATGAACAATGTTTGCTGAATTCTGAGCCTCCTACAAGTACCTCAACGCATGAGCAGACAGGAAATGAACCAAAAGAAGTCAAGTATGAAGTACTATTTTTCACAGTTAAAGACGATGCCATTCTTAAGAAACTTATCAAACAACTTTGGAAACAACAAAAAGAACCTATTGATACTAAAGATTTCTCATCTCACGACCTCTCTCTAAGGATTAATAATCACAATATTGTCATTAATTCGTCCAGACAAGACATTTGGGAAAAGATTAATGACGTTTTTATTATCGAAGAATTTGATGGACAAGGACATATTTCAAAATATTTCGAACGACACAACAACATCACTAAGGGAGAAATTGAACATATTCGCTCAACTGTCCACACCATTATGCAAGCCTATAACTCTAAATTATTACGAGAAAACTCCTGTTTAGATTTACTTGATTTATTTCATGGAGTTTTATATTGCCAATCTGGAGCTGACAGAAAAATTCGTGTGGACACTCCTGAAGAAATTACCAGCGCAAGAAGATTCTATTGGTGGGCTCAGAAAATTGCTACCTTAAACATTTAACTCTTTCACAACAATGAATGAATTTGGCATGTTCAAAGAGTTGAGTTAACACAAGTTTGAAATCATTAGAGATCCAATTGGGAATGTTATTTATTGATCAATATAATTTTACGGCCATTTCAGAGGTGATACATGACCACCCGTGTAACCCTTCAAAATTGTCTATTAATAACATGACGATGAGTTTCTGAGAAAGTTGCATTTCAAGTGTGCCAATTGGATGTTTCAATTCTTGAAAAAAAATGATCGATTCGGAATTCGAGATGGACAACAACAACAACATTCCTCCGAACGAAGACGAAGAAGAGGAAGACCTTGTGGTTGCTGGTCTTCTTACTATGGAAGAAATTATGAGCCTTTCTGAAGAGGATTTAAAAGAAATGGGACTTTCTCGAGAGGAATTGCTTGAATTGGCAGCAACCTCATGTAATGATATTGGAAAGAATCAAGAAGGTGGTTCAATTGTGGATGAGAATGAGGCTCATTCGGAGGAATATAATGATGACAATGATGATGAACATGATTATGGATTTACTTCTACATTTGAAGAAGAGGGGTCTTTGAATGATACGGTGGATGAATATGAACTGGATCAAGAGGAATTGATTGAAATGGACATTTTTGTCGATGAGGAATCTTTCAAAGAATTCGAACAAGAAGAATGTGTGGAAACGTCGATTGATGACCTTCCATTTATGAATGCCATATTGGAAGAGAATTATCGATTAATGTTTGGAGAGATTACTTTGGATGAGGTGAAATTTGAAGTTTCTTCAGTAACGACAGATCAAAAACCTCAAAGAACGAACATTTCAAAAAAGAATCGTTTGAAAAAGGAACAACGATTACAACAGTCTAATAATGTGACAGTTAAGATGCGAGATATTCCTGAAATTAATTTTATTGAACCAACTCAGTTTTGGCCTCACTATGAAAAGTTGATCAAGAATCGATTTGGTCAGCTTAAAGTGACAAGTATTCAATCAATTGTTAAACCTTATTTATTGCAACGATTTAAGAATGCTGTTATTGGGGAACAAGAACGATTGAAACGAAACGTCTCAAATCGAATTGTATTATGTTTTCATGGAACGCATCCCTATAATATTCCAAGTATTATCGAAAAGGGATTGCTTGTTCCTGGAAAGGACAATGATCTTCAAGTATTGAATGGATCTGCGTATGGAGTTGGAATTTATTTGTCAGTGATGGATCCATCCATAAGTGTGAATTATTGTGCTGGTGGAAATCAGCTCTTTGCATGTGCAGTATTGTTGACGGACACTGTGAATACGAAAAATCATGGAAGTTTTTTAGTGATCAAAGAAGAAGCTTATGTCTTGCCATGTTTTTTGGTCACATTTGAGAATCATTTCAAGTCACCTTTTTCAACAGTTCTTCAAAAAGAGGAAACAAAACAAAGGGTTGTCAAAACTAAGAAGGGAGAGATGGTATTTTCAAAAAAGAGAAAAGAAGAGCAACGAGAAAAATTACGTTTGAAAAAGGAACAAAAGAAGAAGCTATAACAGAAGAGCACTAGAGGCTCTGTTGTCATATTTTCCATTGGAACTCCAAGCTAATCTCCAAAATCTTCATTTTCATTAGAAGTGATGTCAAAAATTCTTGTTGAAAAACTTATCAAAAAAGAACCATCGTATTTGGTAAAACTTTTGTCTCAAATAACCACCAATGCGCGAACCAGCCTTAAGGAAAGTTGGCAATGCAGTGTAACCAATTTTGAAACCAAAGAATAACAAGTACCATTGAGCAATCCATTTCATGTAGTCCATAATAAACGATGCAGATACTTTGTGGAATTGTGAATTGGTTCTTCTGGACTCTAGGAGGAAACACAACAAAATGACTGCATTAATATTCTCCAAAATTCGATTCACAAAATCAGTTCCAACAGGTAACTTGCGGAATCCAAGAAAAGAGGCAAACATTTGAATAAATTTGGAGGGCCAATTAACCATAATATAATAAATCAACAATCCAATATTCAATTTGAGAGTTTCTTTTGCCATGGAATACATTAAATACTGAGATAGTGTCACATGACTACTGTCAGATTCTGTTTCTTTCAATGCTTCCAAATAATCCAAATAAAGTTTCTTGTAGCTCAAGTAAAAAGAGAGCCCTAAAAATGACCCTTTAAATAAAATGTCATTCAGCAACTCATAGGGAGTACAAATGTACAAGGAAGGTTTGTTCAACCTCACCTCATAGGCCAACACGTTCTTCGAGTCCAATAATCTTCCTTTGAATCGAATAGAATCTCCTGGTTTGAGTAAGAACTTGAGAGGTCGAATGGTTCCAATACTGGATGGCCACTTCAGTCCATACATTGGATACAATTTTGGATGAATATGATACAGAGTCATGATATTTGTTCGTTCGTGTTCGTTCTCCAATGCGTAGGAAGTGTCAAACTCTTCAAAGAACTTTTTAACTCGTTCCATGAATGTTTTTTTCACTTGTTGTTCCAATTTCACATGAGGCTCCACTTTGAAAGTTAATCTCTTATTGTCACGGACATCCATATGTAAGAGAGTGGCAGATTTACAATAAATGAGTCCAGTCATGAAACTGGAATTGGCATTCTCAATGTCAAAATGACTTTGTTGTAGTAATTCGCGTTGATGAAGAATGCTGGTAAGTATGGTGTCTGTTTGGTCTGGATTGAAGAGATGTTTTTTTTCACGAGTATTCTCTAAAAGCTCAAAATCATGAACATGTATGATATAAAGCTTGAAAGGAGATTGCGTTTGTGTAGGAATGGTTAAAGAGCCTGTCACTTGAATCCACTCTGGGGTGAGGAAAGGATTGTCGAAGGCAACTTCATTCGAGGTTCTTTTCATGCTTCCGCTACAAATGTCCTTCAATTTTTCAATTTTGTTCTTAAAGAAAAATGTAGCAATGGAGTTGACATTTTCTGGAGTCACATGGAGGTATTTTGAATCATTCGTTCTTGATATTCCAAAATTGATGAGAGATTCCAATCTGGATGCTAGGAATTTCTTTGAAAATCTCAGTTGAATCAGGGAAAACCCTGCATTGGTTCTTCTCATTGTAGCTGTGTCACATAATCTTGCCGGAAGAATGGTGGTATCATTCAAATCGATGTCGCTCCTTGTTGTGGAGGAAGAGGATGACTTGGAAGGTGTCGACCAATGAATATTCTCAGAGAGTGAGAGACAAACATTCCATCTAATGTCGTGAATTTTCAACTCTGATTGCTCAGATGGAATTGTCAAATACTCCTTCAATTGGCCAATCAAAAAAGTCTTGCTCCGCCAATGAAAGATGATCTTTTTTGCAAACTTGACCCATGATCGATAAATATTGGGCGAAAAATTCAATTCATTACTTGAATTTTCATAAATTACTTGTATAAATTCGGTCCATGAAGGAACTTTCAATCGGACAGCCTCCGCATAAACAAATGATTTGGGAATACCATGACTATTGGCAATTCCTCCCATAGGATTTTTCAAACTACCAAACCGCATGATACGTTTCAAAATCACGAGAGCCAGTTGAGAAAAGAAGAGAGCATATTGTTGTTCAATTTCAACCACTCCTCGCTTCTTCATTCCATAAATGAGTGAATGGAAGGAAGAAGGAGAGGATATTCCTTCTTCTTCTTTCATCACGACTCTTGTTTCAAAATGTGTTTTTGAATAAATATTCCTCTCAAAGATTGGAAACAATCCGAACAGCCAATCGTACGGATCCAAGTAAGCTCCCACTTGATTCAGCCAGAGATCAAGGGGAATGAAAATGGGAGTTCGTAAGAGGTCCACCTGACCCTCGGAAAAAGACTGATCATGTTCCACCACCAAGGGTATTGATGAGGAGAAGGAGGAGGAGGACGGAGAAGATACCTGGGTGTATGCTGCTGTGGTAGTATCATCACCTCCACTTGTATTCATGGGAGAGTGCTGCTGTTTCTTCTTGAGAATGGAACCCGCCAATCCGTATTCTTCCATGTTTGGATTTTTTGGTTCTTGTTGGAAAGACATTTTTTTTTCGTTTGTGGAAATCAATTTTGATCATCAAAGAACTTTCTGCTGCCTCAAGAAGAAAAGCTTTTTTGATTGAATGTTTAAAAATTGATTGCAGGTAATAATATATTTGACGTCGAGCATGTTGTATTGTTGATTGGAAAAAACCATCAAATTTCCAAAAAGGAAGTCAAGAAAAACTTCACTGTCAAGTGTATGCAGAGAATAATAATCATCTTGAAATATTCAAGCTTTAACAAAATTGATAAGGCTATTATTTCGTTGGCTTGATCAAGAACATGTTAAAAATTACCTCAAAATATTCAAACTCATACTTTTATTATTAAGCTTCAATGTTGAACTACTGAATTGATGTACATTTATAACAGGACTGTCAACAATTATGCATGAAAAAAGGCTTAGGAGTTAAAATTACTTATCATCAAAGAGTCTTTTCACCACAATAGCTCGTAAGCAGCCGTGTTCGAGTGGTTAAGGCTTGGATTATCAACTGACTTAAGCGGGTTAATCAAAAGAAAAAACAAGATACTCTCTATTGTTTATTCCCACCAAATTCCAATAGATCCATAATGTAAGAAGGGACCAGCTTTTGTGAAACACTCGGATTGTTGGATGATTTTAACACAACCATTTATTGTATCGTTGACAAAGTGGATGAAAGTGCTCTTTCCAACATTATATACTTCTTAGACTATTGACTGAGATATTTCAAGTAATCTTTTTCCAATTTGATACTCGTTGTAGCTAATTCGAGTATTTTGGCCTCAGCTTGTAAAGTATTCCAAAGTGTAAAACATGCGGTATGAATATACACTTACCATTAATCCAGTCTTGTCTCAGTTGTTCAATATCGTTCGTCAAATCAAACGGAATGTGTGTTCTTCTTATTGATTTTCCAGGGTCCTGTACAGTGCTGGAATATAATAGCGAGCTGTTGCAAGCAGATTCAAGGTTGACGTCAAACGCTTCTCCACACCTTCCTCATGGTGTTTTCAGAAACTTTTTCAGATATCTTATTGTGCCTACTGAGTACGTAATAATGATTTGTGTCATATTTTCTTATTAATCTGTCTTCTACAACAATTCTGGTATCTTTGTTGTTTACAATAAATCTCAATCCAGTCCTAGTGAATTTAATTAATTCGATTGGATTCATCACCAAATTAAATTAGTGATATCAGGCTCACGATTCTGCCGATACATAACCACGAATAGGATCCACACAGTAAATTGACAAAATATGCAAAAAATCCCACAATCCCATTTTTTCCTTTAAATTAACCAAACGATTCTTGTTGTTTACGTCTTCAAAACAGTTGTTAATACATGAACACGTCGATTTATGACCAGCAACAATCCCTTCGGTCATTAGCAATTGTGGTTTTAATGCAACTATTCTCCCAAGGCCTTTAAGAGTGTCTAATGATTCCTTTTGAATTGAAGAGGAGTCCAATAATCAAAAGATGATCGAGTAAAAGATAGATCAGTTTCTGACCTTAACGAAAAAAAAATGAAACGAAGTGAAAAATCAAAAATTTATCGCGGTCGGCAGGACTTGAACCTGCGAAGGTTTCCCCATTAGATTTCAAGTCTAACGCCTTAACCACTCGGCCACGACCGCTTGTGCAAGATTAATGGATCATCCTTTGATGATGAGGTCATCAGTGTGGATTTCGTTCAGTTTAGTCGATCAATCGAAAACTTTTCCTTGTTAGGCTTGACCATCACATTGTATTCTTTAAGGATGGATTGCCAGTGTTTGAAGATGTTAATAGTATCGTTAGAGTGGTTCATTCCACAACGTTACGCTTCATAATCCTCCATTTGAGATGTTTTTTGGCAGTGATTTGGGTCAAGGATAGAATCATCTTTCAATTCCGTTTCATTACTCCCAATTTCAAAGTAGGCTCACCTTTGTAGCTGATACAACATGAAATAAATAGATGATAAGAGTCATCGTAACTGTAAAGTAATTTTATGGAATTTTCTAAGACCTTGATTTTGTTTCAACATGCCTTCCTTTCGCTTCACCTGATCTAACACAACAACAACAGTATTCTTCAAAGCCCTCAACTCTCTAGCAACGTCATCGATTGAAAAGACAACACTTGTCGTTTGATCCTTTGATTCCCCACCCCTGTATGATTATCACATAAAGAAGTAGTATTTGATGGGCTTGTTATATTTACATTGTAATTCCCCAAACATAACGACTGTTTTGGCAACTTTGTAAACACATCCTCTGAATGTTTTTGAACATTTATCAAGATGAAATTGCTTTCAGAATGAACATTTTGCACATTTTGAAGTGTTTTGTAATGTTTTTAGGACTGATTTCTCTCGAATTAGCCTCCAGAGTGCGTCTTTCGTTCGTCTTCCATCCTGAATCCAAATTTAATGAATCATTAAAATGAAGGAAATAAACAATATTGAGAGTGAACAAAACAAGAATGAAGTTCCAAGTTGAAATCACAAAGAATTTAAGGAGAATGTAACAATATTGTTTTTTAAAAGATAAAAAGTCTTTATTGAGGAATCCATGAAACATGTTCAGCCACGAATGCATAAACCAAAGCAGCAATCACTCCGGGCAAGTATCCACAAAGTGTCAAAATGAAAATGGCAATGGTCCACCGAGTGGAATTTTTTCCCCAAACGCTGCACACAGTGACATGTTTATTATTCGCATGATTGTTGTAGAATGAGGTCACAAACATTTCCCAAACGACAATCATGAAGGGCAAAACGAAAGCAATGATGAAAGACATGATGGCGCAGAAGAAATGAAACACTTTCCATGTGGCTGACATTTTTTTTATTTGATGTCGCTCAGAATTAGATGGACAAAGTTTTTTTTGAACTTTTCTGGACAGCTACAATAGGATGTGAGGGGCGATGGACACGTAAAGTTCTAATGGGGTGCCCAGAAAGAAAAAGATTCGAAGCATTACAAAATTTAGGAAGTGTAGAGTTTGCAATGTTTCACTTTCATTCAAATCTGAAATTTGTATTCATGCATTTTCAATGCAGTTGAACTCCACAAACAAGGAGATACGAATATGGAATTTAATTCATTAGAAAGTGAGGAACTGTTAGATATAGAGTCGGAGAATGGTTCTACTTTTTGTAACCTTCTGGATTGAAATGTAAGAAAACAGGCATAGTCGAACGCTCCAATGTCTTTCCATCTCGATAATTGTGGAAATGCCACACTCCAGTCGAGTCGTAATTGGTCGTATATGTCGAGTTTCTTCTGGAAACATGTTGCATTTTTCGTTTTTTCTTAACCTTAATATTCTGTGACAACGACGAACAGTTTTGACTATTCATGCAACAGCTAGTGTTCGTGATGGGCACTTCACCAGTGGTGCCTTCAAAGATGAAGTTTAAGGTTCTTGAATTGGAGTTACAATTTTGCAAAGAATGTGTTGAAGTTGTTTGGGGTTGTTTGGGGTTGTGACAACTGTCCGGCAAGGCGATGTTTTTCTTCAGCTTCCTCTTGTGCATGGTGAATTTCAACGACTTCTTCCATGATTGGAAATACTGAGCTATCGTCTTCATGACAATTCTCATCAGAGGATAACGTCGACACCACACACTGACTCGACAAGGATAATGTACACGGGTCCAATGCTGGATCGAATTCTTTTTTCGTTCCTTCTTCTTGTATTGAGAGAAGTTGAGAATTATGAACAGGAAATACAAATTCATGAAGATTTTTGTAAGAAACCTCCCTCCCTTCTACTGTGCTAGTATGAATATTATGCTTATTCATGTGGTTATTGTTGTTGAAGTTTTGAGAGCAATGACTCGCAGATTGTGTGGATGCTGCTGCATTTCTTTTTCTTCCTGAAGAAGGAATCCTATTATTCAACAGTTGATCGATTTCTTGCACCTCATCATGTGTGAATTTCAATTTTAAATTGAGAGGTGGTAAGAGACCTGCTTGCTCAAAGGTCAAGGGAGGTTCTGCCGTAATGATTCTTTCCAATTTTGGTGGAAAAGAGCAGAATTGGAAATGAAATTCAATTCTTTCACTCAGCACAAGTCCGCTATTTCGAATTGATTCTTGTTGTTGAGGTTGTTCTTGATGGTCCACACTGCTGTTCGTGAGACTAGTTATTGTTGTTGATGATGGTTGAAGTGCGGAATCAACGATGAATCGATTCGAGGTCTTGGTGAAGGTTGAGAGCAATAATTCATGGATGGGATCTTCCCCAAGTCGTTGAAGTGATGAATCCTCTTGGTTGAGAAGGGACGTCAACAACATGTTGGGTAGAGATGATGTACGATGCTGGCTTGAACTACTACGACCACACATGGATGATGACTTCTCATGAACACAACCAGAAAGGTCGGGATTGATGCTATCGTACAGAGATGACGACGAGGAAGAAGAACCGTTCAATCGATTATATATCGTTTTTTGTTCAATCTTATCGGCAACAACCATTGCTAATTGTGTAATTCTTTGATGCCATTCATCTTCTTGCTCTGAGAGGGTGTCTTTGGGTTGCACGATGGTGGAATTGTGAATTGTTGTTGTTGTTGGAGGGTGATGATATGGAAAAGCAACAAAGTCATCCAAAGAACAGCAAGCCCCACCAACAGGGATTGCAATGCTCGTCATGTGGTTGTTGTCTTTGTGGTTGTTGGTATTATAATTGCTGAGAGAGGTGATAGATTTACAAGGGAGCAAAGTTGAAGAACAAGAGGGATAAACACCCTCCGTAGTCTCCTCATCTCGAAGAGATTCACCTCCACCATTAATTGGTTTCATACATGTCGTAGTCATGTTATTGCTGATCTTGTGGGAGGATATCGAGGAAAAAAGGTGGAGAGTATTCTGCAACAAGTTATCAACAGGACAAGATGATGCATGAGATCCATGTACATGATTCCTATAACGGATGGTGTTGTTTGTTTGGAATGGGCGGTAGTTGTTGATGAATGATTCAAGAACAGAGTTGTCTGTCTGATGATGAGGATTACAAGAAGAATGCGAAGGAACCTCAGCCACAGTCAAAAAACGTTTCATACATCGAAGAGTTGCTGGCTCGTCATCATCCATCTCTTTCATGACGATGATGAAGAAGAAGAATTGCATTAATATTTATACCGAAAGAGATGGTAGGTCAACTCTTGTGCGGGATCTGAGGTTGGTATAAATCGGCCCGTATGTCTCTTTTTTCAACGTGTTGAGAAAAGAAAGAGTGAGAAGAAAGGACTCCACGTGTTCTTTCTGGACCAGTCTGTGGTCGTCAAGACGAAGGGGGCTAAGAGATGCATTATCTTTTTTTGTTGAGGCCGAACGTCCTAAAAGCCTTATGGTGCTTGAGCTACGTTGTGGCTGATGAGATGGTTCGAAAAGGCATGCAGCTGGACAATATTGGGTTGCTTTTCGAAATTTGAATTGGCCAATGTTGTCTTACCTTTACGAAAAGAAAGCGTCTCAAGTTCAGAACTTGAACTCACAAAAGAATCTTTTCTTAAAAAAAAGCCAGCTTGAGAATCTATTTTCTCTATCTCTTCTAAGGCTTCATGTTCTGTTCAGAACACCCTCTCATAATCAAGCTACCATGCGTGTTGCACAACAATCATCTTAATAGAGTTTTTTATTGCCTGTTAAATGGATTGAAATTTCGAAAGATCAAGTCGTTCGAGGATTTTAGTTTGCCATTCTCGTAGGTATGAAATCTCCAACTCTCTTTGTCAGCGAAAAACGAGGAGGAGGAGGACGATGATCGAACAAGGTCAGCGCTTCTATGTCGTACTAGTTGAGGCGATAATTCTGAATTAAGGCTGCTAGGGCATGGGCAGTTTTTCTCTGTGGTGGACACGTTCAAAGAGGTCAGATGGTCAAGATTCGAGAAATAGTTATTGCTACAACTACTACCACTGTTCGTTCGGGAGAGAAGATTCTTCTTCTTATGACGATTTAGAAAGGGAGTCTTGTTGGTGTTCCTGAACTTTTTCCTGGTGTGCTCGGGGTTTGAAATTAAGCTGCTGCTGTTGCGAATGGTACGTTGCAAAGTTTCATCTTCGTGGAGGCTAGCTCCAGCACAGGAGGAGGTTGAACTTACATGAGAACAATGAAGAGGAGAATCGGAGGCCATGAGTGGTGATGGGAGCTGATGACTTGTGTGATGCAATTGACTAGTTAGTGAAAGAGGCATGTTAGAATGGTCTTCAAATGATGAGTGATGAATGTTATCAGTCATGTTTTAGTGGCAAAGTTGAGCGTCATTAGTTCGTTCAGAATTGGATTAGAGTTTGCTGGTTGTTGAACAGAAAGGCTGTATGAATTCGAGGGAGTATTTGAGTTCATCCTTGAAGAATTGTTATTCAATGCAGAAAAGTTCGAGTTGTCCAGAGAAGGTGTCTGAGTGGAGAGATGTAAATCTAGGAGTGGAACTGTTGTTGATGAATCGCTTTTTTGGATCCGTGGAGAGGATGCAGAGAGTGTGTTCGTGGTTGACATGGTGGCTGAAGAGGAGGTGTACAGATCCAAAAGTATCAACTCTGATTCTGTAAAATTCAAGTTCAGATTTAGTGTCGAAAAGGATGAAAAGTTGAAGCTATGAGGGGAACACTTTGAGGGGTCACTTGCATGAGAGTTGCGTTCTGAAATTGTTAATGAAATGGTAGGTGCTCCTTGATTCGCCATCTGCCTAGAGGATATCGACAAGAGAGATGCTGGAGAGGAAGTGAGAACTGAGCTAGGAGAGGTGCTGCTGCAATTAAGGCATCCACCAACATCGAGAGAGTTGAAACCTGATGCTGGAGAATTTCCAAAATTGGATGATGTTTGTGGTGTCGTTGATGAAGAGAAGTTGGTTTGAAACATTAAAGAAGTGGAGGGAGAATTCATCACAGAGGATGTGATTGGCGATGATGATTTGGTTAGAGACTCGATCACATCCAGAGTGTTGCGGGAGAGTCTTTCGAACCATTCATCATCTCTGTCATGACAATAAGATTGTGCTGCAGAATCATTTGCAGGCACGAGAATTTGTGGCTGCCCTTGTAGGAATGAGGTTTGGAATTGTCGTTGATCCATTCGATGATGATGATAATTTAAGGAGTTCAAAGCTGATGATGATGATGGGAGGCTCATCGTAGAACTTTCCAGGTTATTGTAGGTAGGCGTGATTTGTCGAAGCAATTCATCCCACAATTCTTCCACATGATCGGATTCTTCGGGAGTCATATTGATGTGAGTGTTATATTTGGGAAATCTAGTATGGAATGATTTGTTGTGAATTAATGGCAATGTTGAATTGAAGATGATGAGAATGGAATGCAACAATGCCTATGGGATTCTCTGTGATGTGTTCAAACACGTGAGAATTGAACCGGAATCAGAAGGGAATGTGTGGAGAACTTTTTATTTTGTACGGATCATTAGCCAAAGAATCCTCTCTCAGGAACGCTGAGTCAGTCCAAGAGATCCTCCAATTGAGAATCAGTTCAAAAAAGCAAGGTCCGTCAACGACAATATTTGGATTAGTATCTATGTTTAAGGAAGTGGGGAATTTCGCTTCGTTGGAAAAAAAGTGTCAACAGGCACGAACGAAACCAAAGAATCCTTAGTGGATTCTCTAAGGCTGTTTGGAAAAAATTTCCCTTGATGGTCTTTGTCGATTTACCTCATTTCAGAATTGCCTTTCTTCTTAGAATAGTTGTTTTTCGTTGTTTTTGGATGGCTTCATTATCGGCGAGAGCTTTCAAAGTGGTCGGGTGGTCGACAATCTTGGTGATTCTCTTTGTGGTGTTGTGTGGATGATTGATTCCTAGACGTTGTTGCCGTTGTTGCCGTTGTTGATGAATATCATTGTTGAGGTGATCCGAAAAATCAAAAAGTGAAGAAGAATCTTTGAGGATGCTCTTGGAGATGTCATCTTTGTGCTCGAGAGTTGGAGAAGACACACAATTACTTTTCAACATTTGAGGATACTTGGCTTCAAAATACAAGTCTAATAATTTCATTTCAACTTCGGAAAAGTGTAAAGTGAGAAGGCCCGATGAAAAAGAATGCTGCCGGTTCAATGTTAGGGAGCTGGAGCCATAATCTCCTGGAGAATTGAAAGTTACATGATAATTATTATTGGTAGAAGATGACCAAGTGGCGCATATTTTCTTCCCTTTTTGAAACAACTTGTCCGAGTTGTCATTCGAATTGGTACATGAATGGTCCACTTGATGATTTGGAATGGAATAGAAGAGGAAGGTCATCAAACATTTTAGCAATTCAAGACTGGTGACAAGCATTTGTATGATGTTTGTGGAGAGAGAGTCAGCGATCGTTGTGCAGACTTTTTATTTGAGAGCTGAGCAGAACGAATATTCTTTGTCATTGGAAGAATCTATCTGTGCTTTTGCTCCGAATTTCATTTAAGTTTTGATTTAAAAGGAAGCATGGATGTTTTCGATTGCCGGGTTGGCAAAGATTCATTTTGAATCTTTGAGAATGAAGCATGTACAATGAACTTTGAGTTGTCATGGCAATTCATCAACATCAAAAGTATCATCTTTTCAAACTTATTCTTATACTTTTACATCAACACGGATCAATACTGAATGGAATTCATCCAATTTTCAAATTGAATAAAAGAAGGAAAGCAAAACAACACAAAAAAATGCTCTCACCAAAGAAAGTGTCCTCCATCTCGTTGATGGATTGTCAAAAGGGTAAGCTTGTAAACATGATGACGTGTCCGACACGACTGTGCTGATCATCATCATGATTCGGATTGATATCATGATTTTTCAATACGACTTGACTGCTTGTGGAACGACTATCGATACTTTTTTACAATGATGATGTGGTTGATTTCATTAGAGAGTATTTTGAACATGTTGAATATTGAAGGAACTGATACTCTTTCCGAAATGGCCAGCAAGAAGAAGAAGAAGAAATCATCATCCTCCTCTCATATGGGAGAACATGTTGTAACTGGTCATGAACTCGGACATCAACTCACTGAAAGGAAAGTGCAACAGTGGAAGGTTCTCATCATGGACAAGTACTGTTTTGAAATTATCTCTCCCTTGTTTAAAGTAGGAGATTTAAGAGCAATGGGAGTAACACTGGTATTGTAAGTTGTTTCTATGATGTCTGTACATATAGATAATTTGAAATAATTTTAACATTTAATCTTTTTCAAATCACAAAATATTTGCACGTGTACCATCCAATGATCATTACTCAATGATTATAAATGTAATTATAATGCAATTTTAAATGCTAACAACGAATGCATTAAAACAGACCAATTGAAGAAAAAAGACAACCCATTCCCGATGCTCCTGCAATTTATTTTGTGCAGCCTACCCAAGCAAACATTGATCTTATATGTGACGATTGTGAAAATGAGCTTTATGCTTCGTGTCATATTAATTTTTGTCATAGTAACTACAAGAGAGACATTTTGGAAAAGATGGCAATGCGTCTAGTGCAGAGCGAATCTACAAATTTATTGAAAAAAGTTTTGGATCAATTTGTTAACTTTTTATGTTTGGAGAAGGACTTCTTCTCATTGTTAGGACTTGAAAACTGCATGATACATTTGCATGACCCAACAAAAAAGGAGGAAGAGATTAAATCAACCATCGATCAAATTGCAAATGGTGTAGCATCGGTGGTTCTCTCCTACTCTAGTGGAAAATCCAGTGGCTTTATAATGCCATTTATTGTTTGCCCTTCTTCACAGGGTCAACCAGCCAGGTTAATTGCTGAGGCCGTTGAAAAGATCTTACGAAGTTTAGCTCAGTCCTCACTGCACGATAGTCAATCTGAATCAAGCGTTTCAGTTGAAAAGAAAAAAAGTAGACCATTGTTGATCATTAATGATCGAACCATTGACTTGACTGTGTGTTTGCAACATCAATGGACTTATCGTTCCATGGTTTTTGATTTGTTTCAAATGAAATCAAACCAGGTGAAAGTTCCTTTGAAAAAGACTGCAACATCTTCGTCCGCAACTGAGCAAACTTATGAAATTTCTCTCGAGGATGAATTTTGGATGGAAAATTCATGCAAACCATTCCAAGATGTTGCACAAAATGTCGCTGGAAATTTAGAAAGACATAAGGCTCGATTTAATGAATTCAATAAGAAACACGGACTTAATCTCAGTGAAGACGATGTCATGAAAACCGATGCTGGAGAAAATACTCAAATGAGTAAGGAAACCATCGATGAGATGTTTAAATTGGCAGAAGAACGAAAACAAGTATCCATGCATCACAACATTGCGTATGCTATTTTACATGAAGTGAACAAGAGAAAAATTGATGAGTTTGTTGCAATAGAAGAAGCGATTATTAGAAAACAAACCAAAATTGAAATACCAATTTTACACTCTTTACTTTCATGCCAGGACGAAGGATCTTTAGAACAAGAAAAGGGAACCATTAAGGACAAGTTAAGACTCATTCTTGTGTGCTATCTCTATATTCTTCAACAGGAACGAATGAATCAAGCTCCGCAAATCATAACTCGTCAAGAGCTGGAAAAGTATGCACTCGCATTATTCAAACGTAGAAATGCCATTGAAAATAAGCTTGACGAAAAATCGCCAAGCAGTCTCGAGAGTACTCTGCCAGAACTATCCTTCCTCAAACAAATTACCATGCATACAAATATGGGACGAGTGACACAGCAACCACATGTTACTCATCAATCCTCTCTTGCAAATCTCACCAAAAAGTTCTCCATTCTTGGTGAAAAAATTTCAAGCATTGCCTCAGGCCTTAATGAATACTATGGCGAAGGTTCAGAATACAGTTCTACCCTTCCTCTTACTCGTATTGTGGATGCCATCGTTAGTAATACTCCAAAGAAGCTTTACGAACACGAAGAATTTGTATTTATAGATCCTAAATTACCTCCTTCTCAGTCAGTCATTAAGACATTATCCAAGTCATCTCCTGAGAGTTCCAGAGATTTGAACAATCCCTCTTCTCCAAGAGGTAGAGGTGTTGACGAAAATACTTCCTTTTCTCCAAGCGCATCATCTCAAGAAGGTTTCTCAGATGTTATTGCCTTCGTGGTTGGAGGTGGAAATTATATGGAATATCAAAATTTAATTCAACATTTCAAAGCAAAAAGTATCAAGACAGGTTCTACGTTCAATGTGACTTATGGATCAACAGATATTTTAACAGGAGAGCAATTCTTGGATGACTTGAGAACATTGGGAGAAAAGACAAGGCGTTAGTTGTGTTTTCGAAAGATTCTCAGAGACATGCGTAAAATTGTACGTATTAAATTGTTTCTACTTTTAGTTTAATCACAAACACTCTGTGAAACTGTAGAAGCTCTCGTTCACCTTTCAACGTTAAGAATGAATTTTATTATACCTTCAAACGATATGACAAGATCAAAAGTAAATATCTCGAGATCAAGACCAATCGAAAATCAAGATCCGCCTTCTATCTTTGCCTACCATACAAGGTAACAAACATATTTTTCCGACAAGAAGTGTTGCATGTGGTCATTTTCTTTTCCCTTTTTAGTGTGTCAGGTACAAGATGTGCTGTTGATTTGGAAATTGGCCATTCCCTTGGTCACCTCAAAATCAAATCAACAGCTCTCTGTTAAACTCCCTTTCTCATTTTCTCGTCAGGTTGACTTTGAAAAAAACAAAATCATTATGAGACAAACACCAAGGTCTTTCCAACAACCTGTATTAGTGGTAGCAGTCCTTACAGCAAGCATTCTCTTGCTGTTTGCGAAGAGGATGGACTTCATCCTCCAACAAGTTTCAGCACAAGGCATGGGTCAATACTCGGTCTCCACCTTTGCAGGTTTTCGCCACATCGATGGATTAAACCAAAATTTTCACACGGATGGTGTGAGTGCCACCTATGCTCCCTTGTCTTCAGAAATCTATGATGTCACGTTTGCATCGAATGGAGACTTGTACTTGGTGGATCAAAATTTGAATCGTGTCTTGAAGGTCGACGCCAATAGTGGAGTCCTTACGACGGTTGCAGGAATTAATTCAGCAAATTTCAATGGAGACGGAATGAAAGGTTCACGAACAGCACTTGCATATCCAAGAGGAGTGGCTGTACTACCAAATGGAGATGTATTGATTGGTGATACGAATTCTCATCGAGTAAGTTTTCATCTTGATAATTTTCAAGAAACGAATGATATCCTTTGTCCTCATCATTTCACATCTTCTTGTTGAACACATGACATTCATGAACCACTAATAGGTGCGACGTGTGTTCGCATCCAATGGTACAGTCATTACCTTTGCAGGAACTGGTGAAGCTGGATACAATGGTGACAGCATGTCAGCCACTCAAATGCAACTCAAGTGGCCGCAAAGTTTGGCAGTTACCACCAATGGTGAAGTTTTAATTGCAGACACAGGCAATCATCGCATTCTTAAAGTCATGTCCAATGGAATGGCCATCACTGTCGCAGGAGTTAACGCCACTGCTGGCTATAATGGAGATATCATTTTGGCCACGAAAGCATATTTGAGTTCACCGTTTGGCGTTGCAGTTTCCAAATCGACTGGAGAAGTGTTGATTGCAGATACCAATAATCATCGTATTCGTAAAGTGTTGAGTAATGGTAAAATTGTGACTGTAGCAGGAAATGGTAAGTGCAAAATCTATTCTAAATATGGAATGTTGATCTTCATCGATATCCATCATTCGAATCTTTTGTGTAATATGAAAACAAATTTCACAATATTATCCATTCAAAGGCAATCATGGGTTCAATAATGACAACATTCCTGCCACTCAAGCCACATTGACCTATCCTTACGATATGGACATTGCATCAAATGGTGAAATTTTCATTGCCGATAATGGTAATCATCGAATTCGAAAAGTTTTAACCAATGGTAACATCACGACCTTTGCCGGAAAAGGAATGGAAGGTTTTTCAGGTGGTTTCACCGGAGATGGCATTCCAGTCACCTCTTCAACAGAAGTAAACTCTCCCAAAGCCATTGCCATTTCACCATTGACAGGTGACATTTATTTTGCAGAAACGTATCGTATTCGAAAAGTCACACAATCCAATAATTATATTTATACCGTCGCAGGGAGTGGTTCTCCACAATATTACGGCGATGGATTGAATGCAAAGAGTTCAGCTGTCATTACCATTTCAAGTAGTTTTGTGTATCCACATCCCATCAGCGCCACCATCGATCCCAAAACAGGAGATGTCTATATTGCAGACAGTGGTGCCGGTTTGATTCGAAAAATCCAAAAATCTACTGGAATCATTAGTACCTACGCTGGATCCACGAATGGATTCTCCACCGATGAAAGTGCACAATTAGGAGAACCAGGAGACTACATTTTAGCCACGAGTGCAAAACTTGGTTCAAATCTTCCAGGAATGGCCATTCATCCCGTCTCAGGAGAATTATATTTCATTGATCAAGGTTATATTAAAAAGATTGCAACCAATGGAATGGTGAATCGAGTGGCAGGATGGATCACTTCAAGTTTTTCAGGAGATGATGGACCAGCTCTTTCTGCCACATTCAATGAACCACAAAGTTTGGCGTTTGCATTGAATGGAGATTTGTATATTGCAGACAAATCGAATCGAAGAATTAGGAAAATCTTTACGAATGGAACTATTGTCACATTTGCAGGAACAGATCCCGATGCGTCGAATGAATTTGCGCCTTTTAGTGGAGATGGAGATTTGGCGGTGAAGGCTGTGTTTTTGAAACCTTCTGGAGTGGCTGTGAGTTCGAATGGAGAAGTAATTATTGCAGATTCATGTATGTAGGTGGTTGTTTGAGTGGCTTTTTGACTTTTTTCACATGATTGCCTTAAATTTTTTTCACTTGATTACCTTTTATGGATCGTGTGTGAATTGAACACTGTGAAATCCAATCGATTTTTATTTTAATGCCAGTGAATAATCGAGTGAGAAAAGTATTAACCAATGGAACGGTCATTACCATTGCTGGTATTGGACCATCCTTTTTCGACGGAGGTACGTTTGTTTCCACACATTCCACATTTCCATGTAAACATTTAAAAACAACAACAAACAATCAGGAGGTTACAATGGTGATGGAATTTTAGAAACCAATGCCAAACTCAATATTCCCTCGGGGGTCGCCCTCACTCCCAATGGAGAAGTCATCATTGCAGATACCAACAATCATCGGATTCGAAAAATTCTCACAAATGGAACCATTCTAACAATTGCTGGAAATGGTTATCTGAAAGGTTATCATGGAAATGCAATTCCTGCGAAAAATGCAATGCTCATGTACCCACAGGGAGTCTCTGTCGATGCCACTACTGGAGATATTTATGTCTATGGAGATTATGTGTATAAAATGTGTCGAATTGGAACTGATGGAATGATATACACAGTTTTGGCAAGTGCTAGATATGGCAACGATTATGAACGTCAGGAGGTGTATGGATATCCAGATGTTGTTACAAGTTTTTTCAGCGGAGATGGTGTGAAGGCGACCTTTTCACAACTTTATGCACCAAGAGGACTTGTTGTGACTCCAAATGAGGAAGTGTTGATTGCTGACACGCTCAATAATCGTATTCGAAAAGTTTCAACTAATGGAATCATTTCAACAATTGCTGGGGGAGAAGGATATTTGGGATCTTATCCAGATAATGGTTATGCAGCTACAACGGTCTTTCTCGACGGGCCAAAAGGAGTGTTTTTGAATCGCAAGACTGGTGAGATTTTTATTGCCGATTCCGGTAATTCCAAAATTAGAAAAATTGATGTGAATGGAAATATGTTTACAATTGCTGGAAATGGCACTTCTGGATACAATGACGATTCAAAGTTGGCAACATTGGCATTATTCAACCAGTCATCGAGTGTTTTTGTCTCTGAACATACCAATGACGTGTACATTGCAGATACAGGCAACCACCGAATTCGTAAAATTTCAGCAACCACTGGAATTGTAACTACCATTGCAGGAACTGGTGTTGCAGGATACAATGGTGATAATATTTTAGCAACGAGTGCCATGATGAATAGTCCAAATTCCTTGTACGTGACAAGTTCAGGAGAAGTCTTTTTTGCAGACACGAACAATCATCGAATTCGAAAGATTTTCACAAATGGAACTATTGTGACCATTGCTGGAAATGGAATGGCAGGATTTAGTGATGGAACAAATTCACTGGCCATACAAGCTCAACTTGACACACCGATGGGCATTTATGTGTCAGAAAATTCTGGAGATGTCTTTATTTGCGACACCAATAACCATCGAATTCGAATGGTGAATTCTTTTGGCGTCATTTCCACAATTGCAGGCCATTACTATTTTGGATACAACGGAGATGCTACTTCTGCTTTGGAAACCTATCTCCAATATCCTACAAGCATTTATGTCTCGAATGTGACTCGAAGAATTTATTTCACAGACACGAACAATCATTTAGTGAGAATGTTGGAACCGTTGTGTGCTTTAGGACAAGTTTATGATCCATCCTCATCGAAATGTGTGCAAGATGTATATTGCTATGGAGTGAGTGCTTTCACTTCAAGTGTTTGTTCAGGTCATGGTTCATGTATTTCCGAAAATACTTGTCAATGTCAAGTTGGATTTTTTGGTGCCACTTGTCAAATTACTCAATGTGGTTCAACTTTTAGTAACGATTCCACTGTTTGCAATTCTCATGGTTCATGTATTGGAGTGAACACTTGTTCATGCAATTCCGGCTGGACAGGCACTTTTTGTGATCAATGTATCGGAAACAATTGCGGCGGCGGAGGAGATAACAACCATGGACAAATTTTCACATGCAACGGCACTCTTTCAAATTCCACATCCGTCTGCAATGGAAATGGAAATTGCACCAATTCTGACACATGTCAATGCAAGAATGGATTTTCTGGCAAGTATTGTGAGAGAAATCTCATTCTTGATCCAATTCAAGAATGCACAGTGGGTGGATTAAGTTGTGGAGCATTGGCTGGAATTGTGATTGGATCAGTGAGTGGAGTGTTGTTGTTGGTAATTGGTGTGGTGAGTGGAGTGGTAGGAGTTGTCATTTGTGTCATGAAGAAGAAGAAAAGTGGTGTTGATTCGGGATCGATTGTGAATGCGAATAGTGTCGAGTTGAGAAATGTGTGAACAGTTTGAAAATTTGAAACGCGAAAAAAAGGTTAAAGACAACAATAGGAAAAGAAAAAAAGGACGAAATTTGTTAATAAAGCATCATCAGACTTACGTCAGTTTAGAAAGATCTAACGATAAAATCGATATTCGAATTTAAAAAATAGCATCGTATGCCATTACAGTTGTCCTCTCTACCACTCCGTACACATCACTTCCATTCACTACCGGGTTGTTATTTCGTTCTATCTTCTCAAGTCTTTGAGAAAATAATGCTACTGAAGACATTGCTTCCATAACGTCTTACTTGAGACGTTTGAGAGACTCTTTTAATTCCTGTTCTTCATTGATTTTCTTTCTTGGATTTGATTTATGAGAAGATGAACCAGCAGATGAGTTATTGTTGTTCTGATTGTCATTCTCCATCCGTTATTCGCAGAAGAATTTAATGAACCGTCAGAAAGAGCGGCTATTAAAGCATTCGAATGATATGTTCTGAACGTAGTGAAGGGCATGAACGTTTCGATTGTAAACATTAAAAGAGTTTGGTTGACCTCTATGGTCTATTTAATATATTTAATTAAAAATTAAGAACAGGAAGGGCGGGCGAACTGCATGTGTAGGGACGACTGGAAATTGTTTGTGATCTTTGAGGTTGATTAATGTCTGTTTCTAATCTATTTGCAGGTGATGTTCGAATGGAGACAACAGATACATTCTGAAACAAGTGGCAAAGTGGATTCATGCGGAGGGTAATTTTTCATCTCCATCATTGAGAGGAGGAGCTTCTGAAGCAAGTTTTGCTGGTTTTTCATAGGCAGCAATTATTATTATTGGCGATTGGAATTCGGATTGGTTTTTGGCTTGTCGGATTTATAATTCGTTGGATCGCTAAAACATTGACAAGTGACAGACGACACCTGAGTTTCCGTTAAAAATATTTCACATAAAAAAATGATCTCCATCAAATGCTTTGACTCCTCCTTCGGAGACTCTTTCAACAACCCTTCTTCCTTTCCCGATCTCATGTTTGTTTTTACTTTCGACACTCAAACAGCAGGAATTTCTAAAAACAAAACTCTTTCATCATCATTTTCATCTTCACAACAACAACGCAAAGTCATTTACGCTCATCGTGTCATTCTCTTCAAACATCGATTTTTCAAAAATCTGTTCAATGTTCATGAAACTCTTTCATCACATCCGCAACAAGAAGATCAATTTTTTCACAACGAATTCCATTTTGAGAATTTGACAAATATGGATCAAAATTTGAATATCGATCCAAATTTGTTAAAAGTTCCCATTCAAGAACCTTTTCAATTATTTTCTTCATTGATTGAATATTTTTATACAGGAATCATCAAGTGTGAAGTGAATGATTTGAGTGAAATGATCATGATGGCGTATCGATTTAAAATTATTCCTTTGATTAGTTTGTTAAAAAAACAATTAATGGGAGAAATGGTCACGTTGACAACGTCGATAGGAGGATTGGATTCAAATTCATTGTCTTCTTTGATTTTTGATAAAAATTCCATTCTTCAATTACCTGAAGGAACAAAAATGACACTCGAAAATGCTCTTTCATTATTTAATGAAGTGGCAGGATCGTATGCAGTGTTAGAACATTCAGTATTTAAATCAGAGATGCATCTCGCAAAAAGAGTTATTTTAAAAAGTGTTTGTTTTGGATTATTATTTCAAGAATCACACACGCAACGATTATTGAAATTTTCAGTGAATGCTCTGCAAAGTTTATTGGAATTATTGACACAACATGTTCGTGTGATGAAAGAAATTCAAGAATTACTCGTGTCCATGAATGTCATGACAAGTTCTTCTCTCTTCACGACAAGGGAACTTGTCAAATTTATTTTGAAATGGTTATGTCACTTGAAACATGAGAGACTTTTTTCCATTTCACAATTGTATCCAACATTGAGAGCTTTTGAGGAAAGCATGGGAGCAGAAGCTTCTCCGAAAAATAGTGGTGGCACTCAAGTCGAGGAATTTATTAAATCGATTGAAATGATGCAAACGACTCGAGCGAATGGCAATCACAAGAAGAAATCCACCCCTTCGAATGTGACCGTGGTCAACAACAACACAAATGAAGAGGATGATTCAGAGAAACAACAACAATTACTTCGAAAAAGAGGAGTTTCTACTCTCTCGAAAATTGGCTCCTTCTCACTTCAACATAAGAATCATCAACGTCCAGCTGAGATGGCCACTGCACCACCACCACCCTCTAAGAAAGAATTGACAAGTCCTAGAGATGGGCATGGTAGCGGTGGTGGTATTGATTCAGAAAAGACACTAAAGAGAACGACCACATTTACTTCACCAAGACAACTGCAGCGAAAGGAATGATTGTTAACAAGAACAAAACAAGAACAAAGCAATGACTTAATAATTTAATGTAAGCTAGTCGACTGTGATGTAAATTGCCTAAACTTTATGTAAATTAAACTGTCAATATCAATACTTTAAGGTTTCAACTCAAAAATGTTCATCTTCTTTTCAGAAATAATTCTAAGAGTGTAGGAGCCACATTCAGCATCGGCACAATTGGTTGTGAAATATTCGTGTGGAATGGCCACAAAAGTTCCTGCTGGTAAGACCTTATCAATCACCACCTCTCGTTCTTCCATATATTCATTTTGGACGAGAATGGACTTTTTCTGGATCTTGTTGATTCTTGAACTATTTCTTCCAGCAAATGGTTTGTCATATTGAAGTAAATGAATAGCAATGCATGAATCAGTATTCTTCTTGTCATAGTCATATCTTGTATCTAATTGAGCTAAAGAAATGATCACTCGGTTATTTTCTGAAGGGTTTTCAATTAAGAATTGTGTCTCCTCAAGCAAATCAGCTGTCCAATCATTATCCGATCGAATATTAGAGTCAAAAAATCCTCTCGTAATGTATTGACTCCAAAGGGAAGGATTGAAGATTTCAACTCCTTCTATTAAATTCCATTGCACCGCAAAATATTCGAGCGACATGAAAAAGATTCCATCTTGAGTATTAAATTGATTTCCTACAAATTTTCTGAGCTCTGGAGTCCACAGAGAACTGCTATCAGACCAATCACCACGCCATTCCATAGCGTTTGCCCATGGATTTTTAAGCTTGATTAAGCGCACTCTTTTTCCATTGGTGAGATACGTTGGCAATTCAATCGCTTCAATAATGGAATAAGCATGAAAATTAATAATACCTGTGTAGTCGGAGGCAGATGTTTCGGAGCGAGCTCCCATCAATTTGATGGATTTGCATCGTGTGAGATCAGTATTTGGTCTAGGCAAGGAACACACCAAATTCCAAATCTCTTCCATATTTTGTGAACTCACTTTGCAAGTAAAAGGAATACCTCCAGTGAGATCCACAAGTGAGTCCTTCAAGTGACCTCCCATTAATGAATAATAATTTCCATACAGAGCAGCATAGGCCTTTTCTAACAAGGGAACCCATAATTCATTGGGATCTCTTGAACATGAAAATAGATAACTTCTCGAGAGAGCATCACAGGGTATTAAATCGTCAATAACAACTTCCTTAGATTCTCCTTCTTTGAAAAAACAAAAAGTATACTTTCCAATAGATGGGTTGCATTTGGACTCTACAATAATTTTCTTCATGAGATGGGGATAGTTAGCAACGATTGCAAAGCCACTCATGACCCAACAATTTCCAAGAGCTCCTTGCATGACATCATTATAATCATGTCCGTCAACAAAAAGAGCAGGTTTTGTCACACCAGTAATTTCATTAGGGCGTAACCACACAATTCCAGTGTCTAAATTCTTGATGTGTGCTGGTAATTCAAAGTCGGCTAAATTTCCTGTTCCAAGTAGAGACTTTTTCACAGGTGGGAAATTAGGATCCACAAACAATTTCTTTCCATTCGATGATGATTGGTGATGTTCTTCGCTTGGATCTTTTTCTTCACGTGAGCTGGAGTCCTTTCTTTTAAAGAGATTTTTCAAGGATTTGTCAGAGGTACCTTTCTTTTTCTTTTGTGCTTCTATATCTTGGTCGAACGAGTGTTCTTCACGAATGGAATGAGACGTGTTGGATATTTTACTCTCGGTGTGATTTCGAAGATGTTCCATATAATTAAGTGCGATGACATTGTCTGGATCTAGCTCGAGTATTGTTTCCAACACTTTCTTGACATCTTCATATTTTCTCAACTCCACACTAATCATGACACTATTGGTGGCACAAGTACAAGGTAATGATCATATCAAAACAATGAAAATCATGAACATACATTTCTAAATAAGCTTCAATATCGTTAGGGTTAATTTCAACTACTTTTCTCAAATCTTGCAAAGATAAATCAAACTTCTTTTTCTTCAAGTAATAAATTAAAGCTCTGTTAAAATATGCATCCGTAAATTCTGCATTAAGAGATATAGCCTTTGTAAAATCTGAAATCGATTGATCCGTCTTGTCCTGCAGTTTGTTATTTAGCACTCCTCTCTCAAAATAAATATTGGCCTTTTGGGTTTTTGAAATCCATTTTCCTTCAACTTCTGTTTCCATGAGTTGAATACTTTTATCATACAAGCATACTAACTCGTCTACGTTCTTATTCTGATTTGTTTTTTGGAGACATCTAGCCAAATCAAGGTATAATTTAAAGAATGACGGTTTTTGAGATATACATTCTTTCAGGTGTGGAATGGCCTTTAAGTAACTTTCTTCAATTTCTTGTTTTGGGCGAAAATGTTCCATGCTGTTGGCAACTAGAATAAAAATTTGAGAAGCGTTAAATCGATAAGGGTAGGTGTTGGTTGGGTTCAATTTGATCACCAAGTCATAGTCGTCACATGCCATTTTCTTGTATTTGACAATTTTGGAGGCAAGTTTTTCATCTTTGCTGCTTTTGCATTCAAAGATGTGATCGGTTATGTACTTTTGTAAAATTCTGGCTCTTTGATACAGAGTTTGAACATAATTCTCGAAATTTTGATTCTTTTCGAAACTATTTTCTGTCAATGAATTGAAACATGAGATGGCTTTTGTAAAGTCGTCAATAGCTTCATCATAATGTCTCTCTGATGCATGTGCGTATCCTCTATTGTGATACGCAATGAGTAATTGTGATTGCTTTTTGTCGTGTGTTGATGATGAACTCTCTTTTTCGGTCATACTAATCAATGTTGTGAAATCTGATATGGCCAAATCATATGAAGCAATGTCATTGTAGCATAACCCTCTATTGAGAAAATATTGTGGAAATTGCTCCAAAGTTGCTTTGCAATTATTCACGTTTGCAACAATATCTAAATGTTGTTTTAAATCCTTAGCCATTGAAATAGCTTCACTAAAACATGTAATTGCCGTCTCCAACGTGCTTGAGAGATCACTATTATCTGAGTTCGACACCACTCTTGAAGGTGACCGTTCTTTCATTTGTTGTAGACATCTTCCTTGAAGAAAATACGCCTTCATGCTTGACAAGAACAAATTCAGTGCTTCCCAATCTTTGTAAAGCAAATATTCATATCCATTCTCTGCAAAGTATAACCTTTTGTAAAGTTTATAATGTTGAGAAACATTATTCAAGTCATGGATGGCTTTCTGAAATTTCATCTCTCGAGCCGATTCCGAAAGAGAGGATGATGATGAAAGCGTTGAATTATAAAAGCACAATCCTCTTGTAATTAAAACTTTTGCAGCTAATTCGAGAGAAGACTTATCCGTCAAGGCAGCCACCTGTTTCCAATTCGATGATGAGGCTTGAATGAACACATCATGATCCAATTCGTCCAATACGATCCGTTCCGTTTGAAATTGATTCAAACATTGACTGAGAATATCAATGGCTTCATCATAGTGCTTTTTCTGAAATAATTCAGTTCCGTTTTGAAAGTGTGTTCGTGCGAGTGTGGAGGCTTTATCCAACACTCGAATATAATATTCATCGTCGTTAGAGATGATGGCAGAGGACATTAGGTTGGTGATGATGATGATTTGATGATGATAGTATTATTTACAGACGTTACTATTTGATGAGACCACTACTATTTGACACTCGCGCGAGAGGAAGAATCAAAACAGATTATATGAAAAATCTCGTTCTCCAATAATAATAATAATGAAAATCACACTCAAACGATATAACAAACGAGATGATGCTCCAAACTTTGAGGCAACCACACAATTGGATGATGATCAATCTCTCTCTTTCGGAGAATGATGATCTCTTTTTTTGATCGTGAAAAGTTCATGGATTTGAGTTTTTCATCGAATGTCGTGAACAATATTGATCGACAACAACCACATTGAGATTCAAAAAACAATGGTTCTTCTTCTTTTTATTGGACCAATAGGGTATGAAATCTTCCTTCATTGCATTCAAGAAAAAATCGTCTTTCTCTGCGATCCGAAGAACTGCACTTCCTTAATTGCTTCCAAAAGAAGAATTTTTTCTTCCGATTCATTTCCAAGAGAAGTGAACACACGATCCCACCAACGACTACAAAAAAACACAATACACACCTCTCGCCTCAAAACTCTCAATTTCCGACTCGCTCCGGAGGAGGACCTCAAAAGAGAGAACTTTGCGCACAAAAAGCGAGAGAAAAGACTTGCTTGGAAGTTTTAGATTATTGCTGCAGAGAGCCTCTCACACGATTAATACAACACACACCTGTCTGATGTTTCATGAAGCATATTGAGAAGAAACAAATACAATAACAACATAATCACTTACACCCACTTATCCCGTGCTAAGACGATCATTACAACTGGATTTCATGAGGAGGATGATGATTCCTAACATCGGAAGAAGAAAAAAGGCTTTGGTATTGCCTTATTTGGGATGTCAACGAAAGCTTTTAGTGTATATATGTACATTATTTGTAACATTGATACTGGTGGGATTGAGTAGGAATGGCTCATCGTTCCTTGTAAGAACGGCCGGAATTGAACCCACTTGCGAGAATGTTGAGGTCTTCTTCGTTGAGGAAGTGACAAAACTTGTATGCAGCGATTGGGCATTTCAATTCAGCGGCACTCAACTGAATGGTTCCTTCACCTACCAACAAGCTTCATCGAGAAAAGTACTTCTTTCTCCAGACCTTGTCGGTGTTGCAATGAACTATAGATTCACAACGTGTGGAAGCTATAATGTTGCGAGTTATGTGGTGCGATTGAATGGACAAAATATCATGAATCTTACTCGTCTGAAACCTCAAACCTATTGCAAACTTCAAGATGGATGCAATTTAGGAGTAATGAAGGCAACCACTAGTGACATCTCTTCTACATCATACATGCTTCTCAAAACCTATAACAACATCATGACCTTACAAAGACCAACGACAGAAAAGCTAGCCATTGAATCCATGTCGCTCTATATTTGTTACCTGAGTAGCAGTGTTTCTGTTATTGATCTCAAATTGCTGCCGCTGAAAACAATTTATATGTCAGTTGGATCCAATAAGACATCCACCTCCAACTACACAACCTTGTCTGTCACCAACTATGGACCAGACATAGCTACAGACATTGTTCTAGATGTTCGGCTGTCACAACCATTTTTATTAAGCTCTTTTAACTTGACCTTTATGAATTTTAGAAAACTCATTGGAACAAACAATTTAACTCTGTTGACCTCCGTCAGTAGCGTCTTGCAATCCATGAATAATGCGTCTGCCCAATATTTAATTAAGAATCTAAACATTGCCCAGAATGTAATTGTTTCTTTTGATTGCACCCTATGGTTCAACGCTTCTAAATTGAGCAACAATGTGTCATCAACCATGAACATAACTCTTTCGGGATTCACTAATTATTTCGAGAAAGAGACAAGCAACAACTTGCAGCAAACCATACTGTTTATCAACAAGACAACTGATGTATTATCTAATACGAAGAACAACAGCTCTACTCCTCCCTCCCATCCAACCTCTCAAAATTCTACATTGTTTTTATATTCAAATTTTTCTTCGATTCAAAACGTTTCCCTTAACAGCGGGGACAAAATATCAGTAATCCATGTCCCCAATTCCAATGCACCATGCTTCATATATGCAAACTTTAAATTTCAACTTGCGTTCAATGGTAGTATAGGAATTAGCTCCTCTATTAGAGGTCAGTCCACCCTTAACGTTTCAACAAGTGGTATGTTTTACTTTTACTCATAAATTAATCTAACAATCATTCAATAGATTTTTTTGGCAATTCTCTTCGAGTAATAATTCCTCCCAACTTTTTAAACTGTTTTAACACCTCAGCAAAGACCGAAGTGTTAATTCAATTTTTCTCCAGTACTCTTTCTAAGTCAATAACGAATGTTACAATGTTTAAAAAGGGTACGTTTTTTGTTTTGTTATGAGCTAAAGTTACAATACATTGTAAACCAGAAATGTCAACGTTGAGTAACCTTGATTCTCCATTTAGGGTTAACAGCTCAACCGCTGGAGAGGTGTCCGTGTTCTTCATTCCAAACCTTGGTCGAGAGTATACTCCTCAAGACATCTCTATTAATACTCTTAACAGTTATGCTACTCGTATTTCACCATTCTCTTTGTTTCTCTTTTACAAGAGCTCCACACCCTATATCATAAAGGAAAACACAGCACTTCGTCAAACTGCCCAAACCCCCTCCCAATTTTTGGCCTCTTCGATTTTTGTGGAATCAGAAAGCACACTGATCGTTGTAGGCAATCAAGCAGTCATAGAACGGGCGACTTTTGCAATTAAAGTGCCACAAATGTACTTAAACCCACCAACCATAGCAAGTGACACGGCAACCATTTCTCAAGTGTTCAAGCAATCTCCTTCCGGAATATATCCTGTCGCTGTTGCTTTCAATCTACCTCAAACGACCACTACAACAATGACAATCTCTTTTTTAGTGCAAAAACTTGCTGCAGTTCAACAAAAGAATGGAGTGATAAGTAAGGCACCACCTGTCATATCAATAGTGGGAATTCAAGATGTTTCTACGAGAACACTAACTATTCCATCGTTTAACACAACATACACTTGTTTACCAAACTCAAATACCGATTCTCTTTACATTACGAGTTATTTACCTCTCTCTGGAATGAACGGTAAATGGAGATTTCAGCTTGTTCTTGATCCTTCTTACACCTCAACAGAAACAGTGGTTTCAATCAATGCCCAAACAAGGTCAGAGTTCTATGTTCCTTCCTCGAACCAAATAGGAGACATTCAAATGGGCTACACAACGGCACTTGTCTCAGATTTTGAGTTCAAGATGTCATTACCGGGTTATCAAGATAAGATGATTTACACCTTTACCTTCAATAGCAATGATCTCTATTTCAAAAACCGATTCTACGAAATTTATTTCGCAATAGGTTTTAAGCCAACGTTGCAATATTATCATTTAAAAACACCAAGATTGAAGATTGGAGGAGTTAATCAAGCATTTAGCTTCAATTTGAAGTATGTCAGCCAACAATTTATTATTTCCAACCTTGACTCGTCGACCGTTTACACAACTAACAGCTATACGAGTCTAGTTGACAAAAGCATGTATATTCTAATACATCCAATAATTTCTTCCAGTACAGACGCAAATATTGATTGCACCTTACAAAGTAACACTGCTTTTGCTTTGTTCAAGGTAGAGGCAAGTAAAAAGGAGGAAGAAAGGACGCTGATTTTATTTCCCGACTCGACTCTCAGAATTACCCCTAAAGCAACGATTCGTGTCATCACAGATTCAGTTAACAAAGCCAGCAACTATGGGAAAACATGCTTAATTGAGTTTGTCACAAACGACCTTAATGCATTCTCAGAATCTCAAGTACCAGTACTGTCAGAACGAAATATTTTTTCTCAGGATGTGACAAAATATCCAATGAAGAGATTAGAATTAGTGAGCTTGGGACAATCAACCAAAACCCTCCTCAAGTTTTATTACGAAATTCACATCTCAAAATCGACACCTTCCTTCTCATACACAATACAGATTCCTGACGGCTCCTTTTCAGAGCTCACAATTCAAGGTTCTGTGGAAGTTTATACGTCGCTACCTAAACTTTTACTGGATGACTTTTATCTTGGAACTTATATAAGTACTGGATGTATAGTTGCATCCATTCTCTTTTATATCCTTGTGGCTTTACTTGTATTCGGTGTTCAAACATGCAGAGGTATTTTAATTGATTTGAGCGACAATCATAGATGGGCTGGATGTATTCCTGCCAAAATCGTCGCATTGCCTATTTTGTTCACGTTGTGTTGCTGTTCTCCTTTCTTTGTTTGTTGTTCAAATAGAACAAACAAGAGAAAGTCTGCACTTTGTTGTGCTTCATTGTGTTGGTTTTTACTTGGATTTGTGACATTGTGTGGTTTTGGAATTGTGTTTGGCATGTTAATCAGTGATGTCAACGAATTAAGTTTGGTGTCAACTGGAGCAAAGACTTCTCCCCATTTCGCCATTACCTCAACAGTGATGTCATGTTGTGAAACTCAAGGTACACCTTATAGTTTCCCTTGGGAGAGCTCAAGTCCGCCTTTTCGAAGGGTAGGAGATATCTTGCAATGCATCAACTCAGATTCTTTGGCTGGTGTGTATCGATACACTGAAAATGATATGAGTCCAACTACTCCTGTTTCTTATTATTCCATTACGGGAGGTCAAACTGCAGTAGCTTTTTCGAGAATGTATTGCAAGGGATCAAAAGTTTCTTACCTTCCCAAATACTTGGACATGTCACGAGTGTTTGGTATTGTCACACCTTTTGGATTTATTTTCTTGTTAATGGCCTTCATTCACTGGTGCTACCTGTTGTTGGGATCGTGCATGACACCAACATCCAAAGAGAGCACTCTGGCCAAGCATAACACAACAATGAATGCTCACACAAAAGACGTAATCATCAACCCTTTCCTAGTTCAAGACATGATTGCACAATCAGTATTCGATGGAACCATTAAGGATATTGAGCTGCCTGACACGAAAATAACAGCCTCGAAAGGAGCTCCACCTCCACCATTCGTCGATGTACCACCTCCACCATATTCTCATGCTTTGCAAAACGATGTTTATGCCTTTGATAGAGCGATTAGTGTTTACAATTTAGACGATGTTCAACAACAACCAGTTCAATTGACAACTTTCATTTCTCAAAATGTGTCTGGTAATATGACTTGCTAATTTGCTTGATATCAGAACTGACAGCTGAAAAAGCACTAATAATTTATTTGATCCAATTCACAAAGTCGTCACCTCTGAATCTATGGGCCAACGAAGAAATGACCATTTTCTTTTCGTTGCTCTCCGTGCTTTCTAGATCGTATAAAGTACACAGATTATATACAAGGGTTTCTTCCAAGGTTTTAGAAGGATCTTGTCGAATGAAATCTTCAAGTGTTTCAATAGCTTTGGTGAGTTCGCACATGTACAATTCACAAATGGCCTTGTTGTTGGCTGCATTAACACAGAAAGGATCTAATTCTTTCAAAATAAAATCAAAATCTTTACAAGCATCTGCGTAGTATCCCAATGCAAATTTCATATATCCACTGTTGGATCGAACAATGATTGATCGTTCTGGATTGTTTACTCTTTTCTCGACATTTAAAAAGTGCTCTTTTGCTGGCTTTAAAACTCCCTGTTGCAAATAAAGACATCCAACTAATGATTCCAATCTTTGATATGATTCAAAATCTGTTTTTTCCATTGGAGCATAATACTTTAACATCTTTTCCAAAATTTGGAGAGCAAGATAATATTCTTTTCTTGCGATGTGACAGGTCACAATAAAGAATACCACTCGTTGTTCTCTAATTCTCCATTCTTCTTGTGATCCTTCAAATGGTGTATATGAAATAGTCATTTTAGAATGCATTTTAGCTCTCTTACTGTACAAAATTCCACCAGTGTGCTGCCCATTCTCATCTTTGATTTGATCTGAACAAACTTTGAGAAGTGCATACAATCGCTCCATAGCAATAGCTGATGCGTCAGTCACTGTTGGTAGCGGAGGTAAATTTGGATTCGATTGTTGTTGTTGAATCACTTGTTGTTGCTGTTGTTGTTGACTTGCAGGATTATCAATATATTGGATCAGAGGAATAATTGCCTTGATGATGAGGATACTGAATGGCATCATATTTCCAGATTTACTGTTGGCACCACTTGTATTATAAATATTTGGATACTTTTCATAAAAGTAACTCGAGTTATTTTCCAAATCTCCCATCATGTCCACACATTGTTGTGCATATTCAGCAATATTCAATCGAAGCAAGCTCACTAATTGGCATAATCTCCACTGTAACAACTCGTGTGGTCTTCCAGGTAATTGTAATTGTTTCTCACAAAGTTTAAGCATTTCTTTCCATGACTCACTTTTGCCCAATTCCACACATCCCTCCAAAGATGGTGCTTTAATATCTTGTATTCGTTTCATTAAACGCGGAGGAAACTCTCTATTCTTCAAAAAGTTTTTCACCGCTTCCTGTTGTGATAATGATATTGCTCCAGCTCCATACATGGTACTTGAACGTACACTCGTAGGTGGTGTAGTTGGATGATGATCAGAAGTATTTACCGGTAAAGCTGGGCTGCTATGACTACTACCAAAGGCTGAACCACTCGTATTCGGAGAAGATAATAAATTAGAGGATGAATGAGAAGAATGAAGATTTGATCCCGAGGGTAATGAGGCTTGAAAACCAGCAACATGTTGTTGTTGGCCAAGACTAGTTGCCTGTGAGATGCTTCTATGCATGGGACTGTTATAATTCATCATGGATGGATTTGTGCTTGGAGAGTTTGGATTTTCAAGCGGATGAGAAATATTACTGTTCGGGAGGTAATGATGATTCATGATGATCGTGAGAGGCTGTTAAGAAAGATTGAATATTTTTTTTACAATAATATTTATTTGATATTTTAATTCTTTCTTCCTTCTTCATAAGAATTATTGAAAAAGAGACGGTAAAGAACCCTGAGTGTTAAGAACACTTGTCAAATGTTGGAACAAGGTCATTAGAACAACAATTCATAATTCTTTCCTTTGATTAAAAAAAAATTAACATCGGATTAAAACATTTAAACCGTCAAACGTCAAATTAATTATAATCAAAAGAAAAAAAATTCAAAATGTCCAAGAGAGCTGGGTCCAAACTCCATCACCACCTCCACCTCTCGTTTTCCCCTTCTCCCAATCAACCATCTGTATCATCATCGCCTCTACAACAACGACATTTTCATCATCTATTCCTTTTTTGTATTTCCATTATTCTTTTTTCATTGTTGCCAAAACCAATCGCAGTGGCAGATGACTCTTCATTTCACATGTTGAACGTTTTTGCAATGTCAGACTCTATGATGCCCATTCCTGAAAAGATGACTGCCATTTCTAAATCAAATTCCATCATGAATTCTCCACTAAATTTAGTGCGTGGTGTCATTATTTCTAATTATTCCGTCATGGATGATTTAGATTTTGCATTTCATCTTCCAATTTGTCCTTCTGCTCTTTATTTGAATCCAAATATTGGTAGATATGATGTTTTGGTTCAAGCTCCTTCGACCTTTTCCTTATATATTGTCATTGCAGTCATGTCTTTGTTGTTTGCGAGTATTGTCTTTTCATCTTATAATTCAGTGTTTTTACCACATTTGAAAAAAAGAATTCGAACGAGTGCCATCTCGAATACATTGTGGATTGTTTACTTTTTATTGGTTTCATTGAGAGCAGTGTTAAATGCAGTACATTTTGGAAAACCAACCGAATTGAAAAGAGATTCTCGATTTTTATATGCCATGACTATTTGTGGAATGATGATGCATTCATTGTCAGCATTGTTTTTAACATTGTCACTGAATTATCAAAGAAAATATCGATCCGGATTTTCACTCTCAAAGGACAAGTCCTACAGAGCTATTCTTCATTCACAAATTGCAGAAGAAAGAGAAGAAGAACGAATGAGATCCACCTTTCAAAGAAACACCTCATGGATTCGAACATATGGAGCAAGAATCTTTTGGACCATTTTTTCATTTGAAGCGTTTGCCACTTTATGTTTTGTGTTTTCAATCATTGCCATTTTATTGAGAGCTCTCCATTCGAATAATCTTCAAAATGTGGAAATTTACAAATGGCTTCAATTTTCAGCATTATTGTTTCAACGAGTGCCAATTGCCATTATTTCCACATTAATTATTTTTAGTGGACTTTTCGCAAAACTCTTTTCCAAAAAGAGTAGAATGAATCCTCACTATTCCACATCATCTGAATTCACATCAGGAAGCAACACGAATGGAGGTCCAACTATTTTAACACGTCTCTTAATCTTATTAGCACTTTTATTGAACATTCCCAATGACATTCCTCTCTCTTATTGGAATTATTTCATTTATGGAACTAGTTTGGAGAATTTTCCAAAATGTCTCTTTCACTTTGCAAGTATTTTTGATTGCATCTTGTTGCTATTCTTTTTCTCGTTGGTGTTGTGGCTTTTTGTAATGATTATTGAATTTAGAAGATATCGAAAGGAAACTGTAGAAGCTGCTTTATCGGATACTGTAGAGAATTTTGAATGAACGTAGTAGTGTAGTTCTAATTGAAATGAGGAAATGATGAATTGGTTCAATTTCACACAAGTTCACCAAGTTGTTGACAAAAACAATATTATTCCATTTATAAACACCTTCCAGAATACTATTTGAATTCGAAATATTTCCCTAACGCAACTTCAAAACTCCTTTTTGTAAAAGGCCCATCAAATTTGACAGTTGGCATTTCCCACCACCAAAAAAATGCCATCTCTCTTTTCTCGTTTCAGATCCACCCATCTCTCAACCGATGATCATGGAAGCAACCATTGTTCCAACACTGAACAATCCAATAACAACAACAATAACAACCCTACTTTCATACAAACAAAATCTCCATCATCATCAATGAATGAAACAAATTCTTCCTCCACCACAGTTGTTGCCAATTCTTCTTCCCCATCGACTCCCTCTCCCACTTCCTTGTATAACAATTTTGAAAAGAAGTATGATCTAGAATCGAATTTGGCTCATCTTGGACAAATTTTCAATACCGAACTTTGTCATACGGATATTTCGGAGCAGAAATTTGAAAGAGATTTAATGAGAATGTTAAAGTAAGTGTTGGAAGTTGTTGTTGTTTTCTTCTTTGGATACGAAATGATCGAATTCATTTCTGTGTGTGAATTGTTGTTGTCATGAATTCCAATCCATCCATCCATCAATTATATTGAAACCATCTTATTGACTTATTGATATTATTGAAATGATTGAATCCAAATGTCTGATATGATCAATTATTATTATATTATTATTATTATTCGTTGGCTGTATTATTATTTTACTTGTGAATATAGAGTCATCTCTTTAGTGTGTGTCAAGAAACCTCTTTCGGAAACTTGTTCAGTCACCTCTAGGACCATATTATCCGATGAATCTGTGGAACAATTAGTGTTCATTCCTTCCTCTTCGACTTGTCATGGTGATGTGAAAAGACTGCTGACTAATGATCTTTTCACAACTCCACGAATTTTTGAAATGATTCCATGGAGGAGATCCTCTCAGGAACAACAGAATAATGGAATCTCCATGTTTATGGAATTATTGAATGGATTGGGAAAGTTATTTAATGATTCATGTTTTCATCAACAACATTCCAATAATAGTGATACTACTCCCAACCATGATCATTCACACAATCATGTCTTGTATTATGAATCACTTACTGAAAATGATTATTTTGAAGCATTGAATCACGTGCCATCCACTCTCGATGAATCGGATATGAAAAAAGTGTTAACAAAATTATACTCGCCAAATCATCCAGAAATTCTTCGATATCTTTGTGGAATTGCACAACTGGTAGTTGTCTCAACACTAGGTAAAATTGCAGCTGCGATTTTACAATCTAAAGTTCCTTTACAACCAAAGGACGTTCGAGGATCTTGGAGTGTTGAATTTAGAAGATATGAAGAAGGTGCAGATCCTGATGGATGTTCGTTTGGAATTCTTCATCAGAGAACGGATTGTATCATGAAGAAGGAAAGTCCTTCAATTTTGAAACCAGTTTATAATTTCCAATGGCAAATTGAAATCAAATTTAAAACCATTGCCATTAACTCGGTAGATGTTGTGACTGTTCGATTGTTAAATATTGATTGGATTTTAGATCCCACTTTGAAAATTAGTGACACTGAAAAAGAAGAATTAATTTCCATCTGCAAAAAATTCTTCTCATTCGATCGAGCCAACAACAAATTGCATGAATTTGACAAGACCTGTCTAGTACCTTCTGGAAGAGTTCTCATTGAATGCTCTCACAAATGTGACGGTTCCACACTTCCTTGTAACATTGATTCAAATATGGAAACAGCAACCACTCCAAGAGGAAGTGACAAAAATCCACCCATTGTAACGACTACAAACGATTCTTCAAAGATATCTGTGCCAAAACACAAAACCAAGTCCAATGAAATGGGATGGTTAAAGAAATTATTAATGAGCTCTTCCACATCCTCTGAGGAAATATTTGAAACTCTTTCAAGCTACAAACAGGAACCTTCTCCAAATACACCAAGAAGGTGATTGAATGATGATTAAGTTAGAATACGACATTTAGATGAATGTAAATAAATATATAAATATATTCAAAGATTTAAAAGTTCCTCAATTTCAACTCATCCAACACATTTCATGTCAATGAATGTCATTTTGCATATCTGGAATATGAATGAATCATTATTTTGTGACAAACAGTTCAACCTGTTGATCATTGGAGGGACTTTGATTATTGTTTCAAATTCTTTAAACCAGGTTCCTCATGATTCAATGGTCGTAATTTGCTTCTCAGATACAACGCTGTCTGTTTCAATACTTGTGGCACTCCAAATATGGAAGCATTGATCACACTAAATGGAATCCATCCATTTGGCTTGGCATGATTCACATAGACCATTTTCAAATCACCATTTTCCAGTTGTTGCAACCGAAGTGTAGAGACCACATTGACTCCTCGAACAGCTCCTTTTACTGTTGAAACATTGGATGGCAATTGATATCCAATCGATTCAGGAACACTCGTGGAGGTGTAAATGAATTCATTGCTCTTGGGAAGTGTTTCAATGTGATAAATGTTGACAAAGTCTCTCGAGGAGATCATGGCTAGAGAGATGCCATTGTCCATAATTTGATGCATGTCAATGGTTGCGAATATTCGATGTTTTCCATTTCATTTGTTGTTTTTAATTTTCATACATTTAAACCCAACATCACACATGTGGTGAATATACAATCAAACAAACAACTAAACAAAGAAACAAACTCTCATACAACTCACCTAATGATGGACTCGCAAAGTATTCCACAAACCATTCTCCATCTTGATCCTTCCACCTTTCCACAATTTCACTTCGCATCACATGAGCATCAAATTGTTTCCGAATGGTCATATCATTCGATAGGAAGGTGTTGAGAAATTCCTCTGCTTTCATCTTTTCACAAATTCCCTCTCCTCTCACAATGGAAATATCATTCGGAATGTCCTTGTAAAAGATGGCCAGATCATTCTTGGAATGGTGATAGAATTTGAAAGAACCATCCTGAAGCGCTTGTGGAGAGGAGAGTTGGAGTCCTATGACATGAGCTTGTTGCCAGTGTTGTTTAAGAGCAGCAGAACGAAGAGCAGAACATATTTGAGAGCTGAGAGTGTGGGCGGTGGATGAAGAGGAGGATTCGGACATATGCGTTTGTTTTTTGATATCTCTTGTTGGAAATTATTGTCACTCAAGATCTCTGTTCCATCCCACGCCGAGAAAACAAACACCTTTCAAGCTTGTCATAGAAAACAAAAAATGCTTTCCGAGAGTTTGGAACGACTGACTCTTCGTGGAGATGAAAAGGCTCTTCGATCTGCTCTAAAACAACAACAAAGGTCTTCTTCTTCTTCGTCGTTGTATTTTCCTCTCAAACTTGCTGCGGAACATGGATTGTTGAATATTGTAAAATTATTTGTAGAGGAAGGAAAATGTAACATGAATCAGCAAGACTCGGTTTGTATTGGTTCGATATTGGAAGTTGAAAATGTTTGAATGAATTTAAATGAATTTAAATGAATTTGAATGATTCCGATGAAACCATATGGCCATCCATTCATCCTATGAAATCATGATTCACAACAACAATAACACCAATCAGGATCACATGACACCGCTCGCAATGGCGTGTTGGAGAAATCAACTTCATGTTGTGAAATATTTGTGCTCCTTCCCAAACATTGAGTTGAATATTAAATTTACAAGAGCTGAAAATACTTGCCTACATATTGCAGCCATGTATGGTTATTTCGATGTTGTTCATTGTTTGTTGAAGCATGGAGCTGAAAAATCTCTCAAAAATTATGTAAGTATCTTTTATTGGTAATTGTTGTTGCTATCTTGAGTTATGTAAAGTATTGGAGAACAGCAGAAGAAGAAGCATTGGCAAGAGGATACTCAGAATTGGCATCCTTTATTTCGAGATATGAAATTGGAACAGCTATTAAATTACAATTAAAAAGACAAGTATTGGAGCAAGACTCGTTCAGTGAATATCACCTCTCGGATGTACATGTCAATACCCTATCGTAATGTCAAACTGTCATCACGCAGTGTGACAAGATCCAATAAAACGTTGGGAATTCTGCGTTGTAAAATCCTTTCATCCCTCACACACAAAAAAATGTCCAAACAAGAACAACAACAACAACACGCAGAAGATGATGAAGAATGGGCCGATATTGAAGACGAGGAAGAAGTACACGAACAACAACAAAGTGGCCGTGGTAGGGGCCTCTCTAAAGAGGATTACCAAGAATACGATGAAGATTACGATGAAGAAAAATTCGAGGCTGAATATCAACAATATTTGAAGAGTTTGAAGAAATCGGAAAAGGCATCTTCCGAAAAACAGTCTTCCAATCAAGAAGAAGCAAAACAGAGTAAGGATAATCAGTCCTCCTCCTCAACCTCAGCATCATCATCAGGTGAGTATATACATCATCATCCTCCTTGTTGATCAACAAACAAAACTCTCATGTTTTCTTGATGGTGGAAAATTTTGTTCGTGATCATCATGATGTACATTCCGTACAACTAACTGCCTTCTCTCAACGAATTCTGATCATGAGAGCAGCCACAGCAATAGGAGGTAGTGCTGGAGAATCCAAACAAGGTACCACCAAACCAACGCACCACCTCCATAGAAGACAAATACAAAAACCAAGAAGATCAGAGTCGAGCCCACAACAAGACAATGATGTCAATCAAGAGAAGGCAAAGACTGAGCCATCTACTTCCTCTGCATCATCAGCAACAACTGCAGCAAGCACCTCTACCTTGAATCCAAATGTAAAATCCTTCCAACCAAGAAAACAAAATGAGCAAGTCCAGACCCATGAGAGACAACAGCAGAGACCTTCTTTCAAACAACACAAACCTCAAACTGAAGCAAAGAAGCATCGTTCGGAGAGTGATACCATTGATTTTATTAAGACTTTGATGAGCAAGCTTACTTCTGGATTTGACAAACTGACAAGTCAGGTCAGTCACACACCACAAAGCTATGAAAGAACACGTCATCATATTTTCAAAAAGTTTTCCTTCTACAAGCAATCACCAACAATGCAACAAGCTTGGGTTGACATTTTGTATGAACAAGCTGTTGAAAGAGGAATTTATAACACGATTGGTAACCTATTGAAAGAGCAACTTGAAGAAAACGTGTCTCAACTGGAAGATGTTGTTATTGCAGATATCAAAAAGAAGCTCTTAACTACTTGTCAAAAAGGCTTTATGGAACAATTTAACGCCACAGACAGTTCAAAGGCTCTCGAAGAAGAATATCAATACTATAGAAGAAGATGTAACAATATTTTATTTATCGCAAAGCTTGTATCATGCTTGGTTGTAGACACGTCTATTGGATTTAAAATAATGGAAAAGTTGTTAGGCACTCCCAATGAGCTGAACATCAGACTCCTCACTCTGTTCTTACCTGTAGCAGGTACAATTCTTGCAAGAATGAAGCACAAAAAACAATTGGACGAATGTTTTGAAAAAATTAGGGATATCATTGACAAGGAAGAAAAACTTCCCAAAATTCTTAAATTTGAGCTACTTTCTTTGATTGAGCTCAGAGAGAAGCATGAGTTTAATAACATTGACAAGGGTCTGATGAATTTGCAACGAGAGCTCGGACACCTTAAAGAACTTGAAGAGAAAGATCACAAAATTAATGAGCTTGAGAGTTTGCTAACAGAGTGGGATACCTGGTATGAGGAAGAGTATGGTTCGAATTGGAAACAACAGTTAGATAACAATGGTAAGCAACAATCCAAGGATCGTCAACCACACTCTAACAAACAACAACAGCCAGCTCAACAACACTCTCCCAACAAGCAGAACTAAAATCCTTTTATTTATTGTTACTAGTTAACATCTTTTTACACAATCGGTTAATCACCGTTTACACAATCGGTGATTTCATTAATGATGCTTTGTTGTGAACAAGTTTCAGTCGCCACCACAGGATAGCAAAGATCAAGAATAAAACTTTCCAGACTGGAATAGGAATAGAACCATCAAAAAATGAGCGAAGATCACCCTCGCGTTGTGGGTGACCATGATGAAAGAGAATTCGGTGCCACTGAACAACAACAACTAGAAGAGCCCTCCTATCATCATCATCATCATGATGAAGAATTAAGAGAATATAATCCGAGAGATTCAACAGACGGTTTAATTCATAGTCAACAACAAGAACAATCGTATGCTGATGAAACCAACAACAACCACCCATCATCAAGAAGAGGAATTTCCGATAATCAAAGAATGATGGAAGCGGAGGACAATGGAACCTATTTATATACCATCGATGAAAGATTTCGTTCAAGACAACCAAATAATAAGAGAAAAATTTCCAACTCAATAATAGCATGTTGTACATGTTGTTGCTGTTGTATTCCTATTGGATTAATTGTTATTCTAGTTGTTTATTTATTAGGCTTGTTTTTGATTGCTCCCCAAATGACTGCAAATTTACATGCCATTGTAAATGAATCAAAGAACTCTGGTGTCACTTCTGCTTCTTCAACCATTAGAAAAGGCACCATTTTTCAAAACGGCCTTCAATATGTTCTTTTGCATAATTCATTCATTAAGAATCGATTCACATCATTGATGCAAGTATATACTGGAAGTTGTAACGAAGAAAACGGAGAGGAAGGTATTGCCCACATGGTTGAGCACATGGCTTTTGACAACTCGAAAGAATTTCCAGGTAGAGGTGGTGTGTGGAAACAAATAGAAACAAGTGACGTGGGAGAATTTAATGCATACACCTATTTTAGAAGTACAGTTTATGAGTTATACAACTCAAAAATTAGTTCAAATGTTGAGGAAAGCTTTGAACGAAATATGAAAATTCTCTATAATCAAGTTCAACTTGCAGAAGTTCTAGACGACAGTTTAGAAACTGAAAAAGGAGCTGTTTTAGGAGAGGCTCGAAGAGCAAACAATAGCTACTATCAAGCTTTATCTGCAACATTTGAAAATCACGGTGGAGATACATTCACAGTTGCTAAACGTTTCCCTATTGGAAAAACTGACTCTATAAGAGCATGGAAGGCCTCTGATCTAAACAAATTCTACAATAAGTGGTACAAATTGAGCAATATGAAATTATTCATTGTTGGAGACTTTGACTTGGACAAACTCGAAACCATGGTGACTAAATACTGGTCTGCGAAGGTACCTACTCTCGCACCAAAACCACAGCAAGTAGATCCAGGTCATGCAACACCAAAATCTCCTCTCATCTACTTGGATGAAATTAATGGATTGAATGGAATCAACTTTAACTTGATGATTACTTCAAAATATGAAGGATTTCCGAGAAATTATAACTATTACAGAAAAGAAATATCCGATATGGTGTTTCAGTTGGTTTACACGGCACAAGTATTGGTAAAAATGTCCATGCAATACCCAGATTTGGATTTCACAACACGATCGGCAGGAGTAGTTCTTTCTAATGAGTATCCTTTTGCCTCAAAGTTAACAATTCTTTCCATTCTTACACCAGGCCCACAACCTGAATTATCCACATGGAGGGAAGATTTCAAGTTGGCCATTGACGAATTAAGACAAATTGCAAAGGAACCTTACCCTGCAATCGTTATCGCTGTTTCCTATGCTCTCGATGTCATACATGCTATTCCAACCTATTACGCCAATACTCAAGATTCAAAAACTCTCGCCATAGAGTTACTTGGAAATGAAGATCCAAACTTTGAGTTTTTGAATGTACACGACTCGTATGCAGCCAGATCTCAATTCCTTGGTCTTAGCTTTGCCATGGGATCTACATTGGAGCATGTCAAAGCAACAGCTCAATACTTGCTGCAAGGCCTTTCAGATGTCGTTGATCCACAAAAACCAACCATCTTTGAAAATGTGAAACGTACATCTGAAATTTCTGCTGCAGTATTCTTGGGAAGATCGGATGACATGACCAGAAACGCCAAACCAACAAAAGAAGAAATTGCTACTCTTATCAAAGAAATAATTCACAGCGATACACCAACTTCATTTAGCTTGGATGCTTCAGCTCTGAATGCCTTGATGTCATTGTCCACTTCTCCATCTATCTCAGTACCTGAACCAACCTCAACTGGAACCTATGTATTAGAGTTTAAAGATGATAATTTAGGTATATCAATTTTCAAACTTTCCAATGGATTGAGAGTCAATCTTAAGAAATCTGACAGCAACATGTCATACAAGAAAGGTCTTTCGTATATTGAAATTACCTCTCTTGGTGGAAAGAACAGCGAAAGTCCAAATATCAACGGAGCTTGTGAATTTGTGAACTTTAATATTGTTGGAGGATCTCGATTTTTAACCTCTGAGAAAGAACAGTATTATCCACAGGCTTCTAATGTTGGTTTGAGGTGTGGAGGAGACAACATTATTCTTAGTGCTGAACTCAGTGCTGCCTGTATGAATTATCCTTCCTCTCTTGACATTCTTTGTGACATGAAATCCAAGTCTTATGCGGACACATTCAAGAAGCTAAGATTATCTATGAATCCAATCTATAACAACAATGTGAAGAAAAAGGTTATTGCCAAGTTCCAAAAAGATCAAGGTCTTGAAATTGATGACAAATTCGATTCAATGACCTCCATCAACAGCTATTCAATTGATAAGGTTTTGAAATCAGCTTTCCCTAATGAGCACAGACTTCATCGTGCCACCTTAGAAGATTTCAAAAATTTAAATCCTCTTGCTGTCCAGCAATGGGTATCTCAACATTTTTCCTTGATTCGTGACAATGACAACAAGAATGTAAATCGATTTGAAATCAACATTGTCGGCGATGTTGTTGTTGAGAACTTGTTGCCTCAATTAGAGAAATGGTTTGGCACCATTCCAAGGATTGCAAAACCAGCTGAAATTCTTGGTTATGATATTTATGACAAACGTCAAGTTTCAAAATTCACAGCTGAATATCCAAAAGATTTAACACTTCAGAACACCTCCTACACATGTGAAGTTTTGTCTTATTCCACCAACAAGGCTCTTGTTACAGCAATTTACCCTGGAAACAGTATTAACTCAGAAAATCCATCCAACCTCAGAGCTCAACTCTATAATGTTATACTTTCAAGATATGGATTTGATGTGGTTCGTTCACAAGGAGGTTTTTCATATTTTACAATCAGTAGACCAATATCAACGACACTTTTCCATAACTTTGGTCTTTCTGCAAGCATCTTCTTGGTTGGTGACTATCCCAACTACACGGAAGACCCACTCAACATTCAAAGAAGTGTGGAATTCTTAATTTCCTCTTTAAAGAAGGACATTTCTGAAGACTTTTTTGTTCATGCAAGAGATGAAGCTCTAGCAGCCTATTCTTTCGCATTGGACACTGAATCTGCTTGGATGTCTCAAATCAGAGGTCTTTCCATCACTTCACCAGCGACATTCCCATCTGACTATCCATTCCTTCGATCAACCAATGATATTGATATTCGTACCTTCCTCAAACAAGCAAAACATGACGATTTCAAAGACATGTTCTCCAAAGAGATGAAGGACATTAGTTATGGATTGTCTGGTGTGATGATTGCTTCAAATACTCGACATTCTCAATATCCTCTTTGTTCGAGAAGTTGAGAATGTTTTCTTTGATGAAAGAACAATGACGGGTTGAACTTTCGAAAAGGTGAACGAACTCGAGTTTGTATTGCATTTTCCTTAATCATTCTTTATAATCACTCTATTCGAAATAAGAACAGATAAATCACAAACTTACTTATTTCAGCTGTTTGACACTAACTTATAATCATTACTTTAAACAAAACACCAACAACTCATGGTATGGTTTGCCTAATTTGCAATCATCACACAGCTGTCATCCATCAAAAAAAAATGACAGACAAACAAAACACCCAGTCTGTGAACAACAACATGACCGAGAACATAGTTTCGGTCCTTCCAAACATCTTTCCCTTCTTCACTTTCGAAGAAATCAACACCATTCTCCTTCGTGTAAATTCTCAATGGTGTCTTCAATCACTTCGTTTTCTCTATCAACTTCTTCACACTCCCAATCGTTGCTGTCTCTTCAACAATATTGTATTTGATGCCTCCACTGGAAGTCGTATCTTTGACTTTAACGATATTCAAACCATTCGTGTGGTGTTTGATACCTTGTATCGAAAACACTTTCATTTAACACAAAAGGATCCAAAACGATTGACACTGCTCTACACACACATTCCCATTCAGTATCAAAATACGGAACCTGTCGCACACAAGAAGAATGATCTCTCGAGTGATAAAAACAATATTCAACATTCCGTTGGTGCTAGCCAGACAGCAAATTCTCTTCCACAGTCTCCTTCCTCTCCAGCATTGAAACAATCACATGGCTCGTCAAACTCTCTGAGTAGTAATGTTTCCAACAATAATAATTCCAATTTGCCAAATTTTGCTCAACAACTCTCATCGGGAGGAGGAGGATCCTCATCGAATCAACAACAACAATCGAGTGGAAACACCAATACGGCACAAGCACTCCAAAACAATTCTCAAAAAGGACTCAGTGGTGAAGAGGTCACACACATGTTCCCATTGACTGCTTTTAATGACTCTCCTGATTTGGGATATCAATTCACAAATTACAGTTGTCTGTACTTGTATGATGGTCATTTTGTCTATGTCCTCTATGGAAATATTTTGGGTTGTTTTGATTTATTGGGACATGTGGTGAGGTGGAGTGAATTGGTCGATGAAAAGTTACCAACTTCACGTCGTGTGAATTACATGTTTGTGAATGCTTTCACACAGACTGAAAATTCAATCATTGTTCAATTGCCTCAACAAGTGGTGTGTTTCAATAAGAAGAATGGAATGAAAGTGAACTTGATCTTGAATGATCCCATTACAAAATTTCACATGATTAATGAAAAGAGAGAACGAGTGTGTTGTGTCTCTTCATTTACTGAAATTGCTGGAACTCGAAAGAATGAACATTTCGATGGAATGTGTGTCTTGATTGGTGAAAATATTGTTCGTGACAAGAGTATTGATTTTACCAAATTGACAAGTATTTGGACTGAGGAACAAACCAAACAAGTAGGAGAACCTAGATCATTGAGAACGGTTGCAATTACTGGACTTTCACCAAGTGCTCATGATTCACATCCATCCAATGCTCTTGTTCCATTTTCAATCACAAATACTTTAACAAATTCTCGTGATGCTCAACATGTGATTGTTTCACCTGTCACGAGTAGTGAAATTACTCAAACGACTTCAGGAACACAGAAAAGTTATTCTACATCGAGTAGTAGTGGCAGTAACACTGAAACCACTCGAAAAATACCTTCCTTTGGTTTTGTTGAAAAACCAAAACTATACATCTTTGATGGTAACACGTTAACTGTGACTGTTTCAGCGTCAGGACAATCCAGAGATCGTCAAATGTTGTTCAGACCAAAGAAATCTCCTGTTTTCTGTATATTGAATGAATACGAAGGAGAAATGAGAGTTGTGAACAGAGAAGGAAAGAGAACTCATATTATTAATTTGAAAAAGATTTGTGGTGACCCCAAGTCAAAACAATTGAAACAATTACAATTTAAAGAAATCTCAAATTGGCATTTCATTGTTGGAGAAAACCCAGATCTTGCAATTATTCAACCAGATATTGGGCGAATTTTACAATTGAAAGAATTACTTCCATCTGAAATGTCACCTGACAAGGTTTTCATTGTTGAAAAACAAACTAGTGAAACTAGACCAGGAATTTCAAGATTGGACGGTATTGTCACGATTCAGAAAGACGAGAAATTAATTTCCTATTATGAATTTATTGAAAACAGATCAAACATGTTAGGAGGATCATTCCAATTGAAATGGAGCCAAACACTATCATGGAAGAAGGATGCTCAATTCATGTTTGAGTTTTCACACATTCAACATGCAATTTCTGAACCTCTTTGTCCAAACTCCAATGAAGAATCAAGAGTACTTGTATTTTCTAGACAAGTCATTGATCAACGTAGATTCCTCACCATTCAACAACGTTTGGATGTTCAACTAATTGCTTTTAACATGAAAGATGGATCCATTAGATGGCAAAAAGTACACGAATGTTATCACGGAAGTGGAGGCGATTTATCAGAAGCTGAAAAAGGATTTGACCTTTCATTTTGTAAACGTTTCACATGCAAGAAGGGTGACGACAAACTTTTCATTACCAATCCTCAATTATGTCTTGTAAGATCCTTCTTTTCTCCAATGATTAAGCCAGATAAGGGAGTTGCAATTTGTTCTGCCTACAAACTTGAAGATGGAGAAATTCTATGGAGTTACAATGAAAAGAGAAAAGGTGTCAGAATGGCCGATGATTACATTTTCAATGTGGAACAACAAAAAGGACAAAACAACAACCAAGCGAATAATGCTGAAGAATCGGAGGATGGAAATGATTCTGATTCGGAAGGTGGTGACAATGATGGAAAGAAGAAGAATGGAGGAAAGAATGCGAAACACAATAACAATAAGGATTGTATGGTCATGTAATTATGTTTCCACAATTTCACATGTGGAAATCAAGGAGTGGAATCAACAAACATCGTTATTCAGAAGAGTTGTAAAAACAGAACATAATATCTAAATAATGTAGTAATACCCAAGACGAGACCTCTTGTATTTCCTTTTTAATGATCAAACCCCGAATTGACATGTTATCCATTTTGTAAATGTTGGTGTCAACAGTCGAAAAAATGCAACAACATTCAAACCTCCCATTGTCTCCATCACAACAACCCATCTCAACATTATCCACAACAGCTACAGGTCTTGTTTCCTTGTCCCCTTCCCAACCTCATCATGTTACTTTTCAAACTAATATCTCAAATTCTGAAGTGAGCCATCATCATCATCCACACGGAAATCTCACTTCGGAAGAAGTCCATCATCAACATAATACAACAAATAATTTGGATTCTCGAGCTATTCCATCATCAAATGTGGTGGTGATCAAGAATCCCTACGACACCCCAACGGAAGAGAATGAAAATACTCCTCAACTGGACAACACATTCAGTGATCAAGTGAAGGTCATTGTTCCGAAGGCTACGAGTCCGACTCAGCATCATCATCAACGTCATCATCATGTCCAATTATTGAATCATCCACTCGAACATGTCGATCTCAATGTCATGGGAACACAAAGTTATCATCAAGAGAGTCTGGCAAACACGTCTACTTTACAAGCAACAACAGGTTCCTCTTCGGCTCAATTAGGAGATGACAAGTTCTCAACCAAACACACCATGACAGCCTCCACTCCTTCCAATTCTCCTTTTATTCGTGGTGGTATGAATGAATTTGAGCAATCGGGATTTCATTTTGGAGTTCCTGGAACGCCGAGCGATTCATTTCGGAAGAGACCAATGTTGAATGTCAACACAGTGAATCCAACTACCATTTCTCAACAACAACGAGCCAATCAAATAGTTTTGGAGCCAGTTCCAAATGTAGCATCATCTCATAATCAGGAGGATAAACAGAGTTTTACAAAAAAAGGATCAATTAAAATTCATCGAATGAATCACCACAAGAGTGTTGACACTGGTTCTCCAATGAAAATTGCTGATGAGGAATTGAAACCTTTTGGAACTGAAATTACGGTCGACGATGATGCAGAATATAGCACGGAAGAAGAGGCCTTAGTTGACACAGCTCCTCCTCTTGAACATGACGATCAATCTTTTCAAGGAAACGACACCACGCCAACATTTTTAAGGCCTTCTGAATCGATGGAATCAATCAGTTCATTAGTGATGGATCCAACGTATCAGCCAGAAATTTTGTCGGATGAATCCATGAAGAAATACATTGAGAATGAATTGACTGCAGGAGGAACTTCTGTAATTGGACATTTATTGAAAGTGCGCATGATGCTGCCACAAAAATTGAAAAAAAGACTGGAATGTCACTTAAGGAAAGAATTCCACACGTGTTTTCTTCAGATAGTCTTGGACATAAAACAAAACCATTTCAATTTCTCAAAGGATCAGCAGATACAGCTGCTCCTATTTTACTTCCTTCACAGAAAAGAACATTAAGATCATGGTTTCTGAAACGATCAAGAAACACTATGAGATTTAAGAAAAAGGAGCAGAAGTGGAGGAAAGAAAATGCAAAATACATTGAGGATAATGATGTGGAAACAGGAGCTAATGATTTTAAATTTGAGAACGATTCTACTACAGGTGATTTTGAGGAAGACAACACTGGACCAATTGAGGTTGAAAAAACACTAACTTGGACCGAAAAAGTGATTGCCTCATTCAAATGGTTCTTTACTGGAAAAGTTGATAAGATCCAATCAAAAATATTATACAAGGATCTTTCAGATGAGGATAGAAAAAAAGTTCATTCATTGCTTATTGGTAGGTTAAAATATTAGTATTACTGTCTGTGACATGTATGAACCCCTCTTCATGTGATATTAGATCTGGCTTTTGCTTTATCTATTTATGGATTGAGTACAAATCAAACTGAATTCCGTCTTACACTGATCTCTACATATTATGGAATTGATGCCTATTTTTCTTGCACGGTAAGTGTCAGTCTCCATTCGAATGGTTGTCTTTGCTTAACAAATGATTTATTTAGCCAAGGTTTGTTTCATTATTTCTCTATCTGAAATTTTGATAAACATATTTGATGATTATAGCGGTATATGGATTGCGTTCGGTCACAGACCAAATGCATCAAATGACAACATGTTTACCTATTTTGTTAAAATTGAAAGTCAAACTGTAAATATGGACAAATTGACAAAATTAGATAAGGTGGCAAGTAATATTTCACATGGATACTACACGATTGATGATGCTCAAAAAGCTGTTAACGAAATTGTTCGAGAACCTAATATTTATTCTCATCCCATGATTGCACTCTTTTTCCACTTTATCACACCAGGATTATTTGTAATTTTATGGAAAGGAAATGTCGCTGAAGTTTTAACTTGCTTGATTGTGGGTCTAATCATTGGAGTTCTCAATTACTTTTGCTCATCCATGCCTTTTTTTGCTACTGTTCTTCCGGCAGTGGCCTCGGTATTGGGAGGTTTAATTGGCATTCTCATGAAGTGGATCCTGTTTGATTATTATTATATTTCTGTTGCACTTTGTGGTAGGTTGGAAATTCATTAATTTTTATTGGAATTCTAAATCGATCTTAATTATCTCTCAGGCTTGTGCACATCGTATCAATTTCTTCCAGGCTCAATAATAACAACATCTCTACAAGAGATTTCAATTGGAGCCTCATTATCAGGAATTACTAGATTGACGAATGCTTTTAGTATTATTCTAAAACTAGGATTTGGATTAATTTTCACAGCTGGTATTGTCCATCAAATACCAAAATTATCTGAAAGTGAAGCCAACGATATCACCAGACAACCACTCGCGATCTGGGCAAGAATATTAGTGGTAATATTATTAACAACTGTGACCATGATAAGTCGTAAAGTTCCTCAACACCTTCCAACTATGATTACCATTGCCATTACTTCTTTGGCTGCTCACTTGATCAACTACTTCTTGTCTTTCCTCCACATTGAAATTTCTACAGCCATTGCAGCGACGGTTGTTGGACTGTTAGCAAATTTGTACACTGTGATTTCTCATACTCCTCCTGTGGTTGTGGCAGGTAAGTTTATTCTGGAATGGATGAATGGTCCTGACTAGGAATGGAAAATTATTAACCATACTTATTCAACAAAGGTGTTTCTGTTTTAATGTTGTCACCTGGATCATTGAGTTATCGTGGTATGGCCTCTTTCATCTTGACCAGTAATACTCAGTCAAGTTTGACGTTTTTCCTTGACGTGTTTTTGATTGGTATTGCAATATTTGGTAAGTTTTGAGAATTCCATGATTTTCAATTAATCTTGTTGCATTTATGATACATTGTGATGTTCAAATATTCATATAATTACAGTTGGATTGATGGTCTCCAATCACCTTATTCCAATTCGTCAAAAGATCAATATTTAAAAGTTCAAAAAATTAAAAAATTAATTCAAAAAATTAAAAATTCATTAAAAAAAATGTACAAACGCGCACGCAGTAATCCCACTCAAATCGAAACTGTGTGGAAGCGAAGGATCAAGATTGACAAGGATCAAACGCTTCTCATCTGTAATTATCTGACGAACAACAAGTACGGAGAGAATCAAAGCTCTAAAATTTCAAAAAGAAGGACACAAAAGAAGAAAATTTCCCGTGTGGATGATGATGAAACCGATAGTGGGAGTACGACTGGAAAGAGTGGTGATTCGTATGAAAATACAAAATTTGTAGAATATATGAATCATTTTACTTCCCAATGGCAAATATCACCCGAAGAATTACAAACCTTGCAAGAACATATTGAGCAGGAACAAACGTTAATGAAACGCAAGAAGTTTTTACTCGAGAATCAGGCCATCCATGAAATTGAGAAGGAAAAGGAACGCCAACAACTCTCTCAGACCATTCAATCTGCTCGGAAGACGATGGATGTTCTTTCCAAAATGTTGTTGTCCGAACCAACCGTTAAATCTGTACCTTCTTCATCATCAGCAACAATAGCACCAACAACATCATCATCGGCATCTACAAATGCTCAACCACCACCTTCCATCCACGAACAAAAGCCTTCCACTACCATGATGGTCATGACAAGTGGCGGTGGATTGTCATTATCCTCTTCGGAAGTTGTGGCTACTACTACTCTCGCTCCTCCTTCTAAACCTCCCACTTCAACCACACCGACCACAACAACCGCAGCCTCCACCACCACTACCGCAGCAGCATCACCATCCACTTCTGCTCTTCACTCTTCATCCAATTATCATCAACATTCCATCATGTCTCATGGGGATCATCATTTGTTGATGCCTAGTGCAAATTCACTGCCTCCTTTTCCAGCCATGTCTTCCGGTTCTGCCATGTCATCGTCGTCGAGTTCAAGTCACATGTCCAATCCTATTACGACTAATCTTACTCCAAATCTATCGGAACAACCTTCATCAACACCGTATTATCCTACACCTCCTAGTTTACCTCCCTCTTCTGCCATGATGACTCCTCCAATGCAACATCGACAACCCTATCCTAATAATCCACCACCACATCATAATCCTCCACCGATGCGATTCCCTCCTCCACAACAACATTTATATCCACCTCCACCTCATCATTATCATCCACATCCTCCTGTATTTCCACCTCCACCAGGAATGGGTGGACCTCCGTTTTATATGCCTGGAAATGCACCAAATACACAACAACGACGAAAGAGGTAGATGTTCTCTAAGAATGAGCAAATTGAGCTATTTCGCATCAATAAATAGACAAAAATTATTTTACAATTTGGGACTGAACTTTGCAATATCCGACAACAGTACCCAAATTAAGTGGATTTTGTGCCATGTTGGAGGAAAGGCAAATGTTATTCAATTGGCATGATTGCCATTCAACCCTTTTTTTTATTTACAGGAAGAGTTGTAGAGTGTTGATGTTTGGTTAAATACAAAGAGTTCCTCCACGAAGTCTCAACACAAGGTGAATGGTCGAATCTTTTTGCAAGTTGTAATCAGAGATTGTTCTTCCATCCTCCAATTGTTTGCCAGCGTAAATTAAACGTTGTTGATCGGCTGGAATTCCCTCTTTATCAGCAATTTTGCTCTTCACATTCTCAATCGAGTCGTTGGACTCTACTTCCAATGTGATAGTTTTTCCAGTTAAGGTTTTCACAAACAATTGCATTCCACCTCTCAATCTTAAGACCAAATGAAGGGTAGCATCCTTTTGAACGTTGTAGTCAGAGAGTGTTCTTCCATCCTCCAATTGCTTGCCTGCATAGATCAAACGCTGTTGATCAGCTGGAATTCCTTCCTTATCTGTGATTTTGCTCTTCACATTCTCAATCGAGTCATTAGACTCAACCTCCAATGTGATAGTTCTACCAGTGAGTGTTTTGACAAATAGTTGCATGTTTCGTCTGATTTTTTTGTTGTTATTGTTCGAACCATTGCTGTGACGAATGTTTTATTTGACATTCAGTACCACAGATGATGAACCTTAGATGCTACTAAAAATATCTTAGGAACCAGTTCATCACCTCTTGGAGACCATACATCGCTCACAAAAAACACCGTTCATCTTGTGTTGAGACTGCGTGGAGACCGTACATTTCAAACACTCTGAGTTGTCTCTCACTTGAGCAATCGTTTCAGAAGCGTGTGAAACTTTCTAACACTTTGTTCTTGCCATTTGATTCTATTGCTTCTTTTCATCAAAATGTCCTGGAAGACATTACTGTCCTTGTAGGATTGATGAGGTTTCACAAATTCCTGTTGTACTCGAATATTCTTCAAACGATTCATGTGGTCATTTGCATTGTATTGACAACTGGATGGTAGCAGAGAGGATGCTGGCATGGTTAACAAATGGTGATGAATATGGTTTGGGTCGAAGGTCATTTTGATCGTAGGTTGAGGTTGAAGAAGGTGAGAATAATCATGTCTATTTGGAACTTGTTGTAATTTGTCATTGATGACTTGTCGAATCTTTCTTAATGTGTCCTCCTTTGTCCAATCTCCAAGAACATGGAAAAAATCTTCCTTCACGTCAAATAAATATCGTATAGGAGAGTTTTCAAGAATATCTCTTACTTCCTCAATTGGTACAATATGTTTGTTTCTAAAGTTTCCAATAAATTATTAGCAATTTTCAAATAATGATAAGAAATATCCACATCACATGAATCAAGAATGATGATTTCAAGAGGTCATCCATGTGTAAAACATTGTTTCAAAACTACAAATCATTACTTACTTGTACGACACACAGGAAGACACACAGCACTCTAAAGGTGTCAAAATGAAATCATCTGTTTTGGGCACAGTGACAGTGATGCATGTGTTTCCTTTTTGGAGTTCATTTCTTGCTAGAATGATCAAGTCATTCATGTAGGGTATTTGTGCCGACTTGTAATACTGATTATATCCAAGACACTTTCCGTGAACATAACTCATAAACCATGTACACATGACGAGATAGTCCATCACAAAGGTTGACCCATCTTCACACTCTCGTTGTTTCAATTTGTTTATGGTTGAGACATGTTTCTCTACTTGCTCTGCAAAGAAGAAGGAAAGAAATTGGTTAAATTTTTCTTTGCTGTCAAAGTGAGAGACTCTGGCTTTGGCTTCCTCATATAATTCTCCGTACTCGTACGCAAAGAAAATTTTCTGACATGCATTCTTCAATGCTTCATGTTTAGATGAGCCTTCGCTATCCACTATAAATGATTCTCCAACTCTGAGTGTTAATTTCCATTGTTCACCTACGAATTCATAATCTTCAATGACTTCTCCCACGTTTAAGAGTTTAGTCAGTAAAAACGGTAGTACTTGCTTGAGGGGAATATTATTAATGATGTTTTCGTTTTCATACATCATGTCAACTCCTTCTTTCTTATTCTTGGGTGATCTTGAATTGTCAATGCCGGAATGTAGCTTCAGAAGAAAAGGGATGTTGATTTTCATAAGGTGTGGGTTTTCCACATCAAATTCAATAAGAAACTGATGTTCTCCATCGTTGTATTTCCTTTGAATATGAATGTATGCTTCCAAGTATTGCCTGGGATCGTAGTATTTAAGTCTTGAAATATAATCGTTTCCGCTAATCATGGACAAGAATGTAATATCTCTAATAACCCTTGACAAATCTTGATCTGAAGTAATGTTGCATTGCTGGGCAATAATTTTCTTTAGCTTGGTAATGTCAAATAAATGATAAGTATTTGGCATGTCTTTCAAGAGTGTCACGTGTCTGTGAGGTGGTAAATTAAGGGCATACAGCACAAAATCTGAATCTCCAGAGATAATCAAATCTCTTTTTGGATGTTTTTCTTTTGTGTCTGTAGCATATATATGTTCAATAATTTTGAATTCTCCTTCTCCTTCTCTTTCAGCAGGCGATATGTAGAATGTAAGACCATTCGAATGTGGTGTTTTGAATATTCCTGATATCAGTACCTTAGCGCCTAAATGACCTAGCAATAGATATGTTTCTTCCATAAACATAGTTCCAGGGGAGAACCAGTCGGAACTAATCGCCGTTTTTTCTTTTCTCTCGTGAATAATATTTTTCTGTATTAAATGCAGATAAGTTTTTTGCATTGGCGTAAGTGGAGTAGTTCCATCATATTCTGAAATGTTCAAAAAAGAAACAAAAGTATTTCCGGCATTGTTGGATGGTGATTTTTGATATCGTCTCAATTTTTGGGTAATTAATTTGCTTCTAGGTGCAGGTCCGTCAACTGCCATAAATATGGATTCTCGCATGTGAAAATGATTTAAAACTCTCATTACTTGATCCAAAACTACAGTATTAAATACTATTTTAGTCTCGGTTGGTATTTCCGTTTCTTGTTCATTCGAAACTAATTCTTCTTCCTCAATTATAATTTGTTCAAAATTTCCCTCTTCATCTTCAAATTGTATGGTCTTAGTGTCTTTGCTCTTCAACAGTCCATGCTTTTGTTTTAACTTCAATAATTTCTTTGAGCCTCGTGTTGCTTTATAGAGTAATGTATTGAAATCAAAATAGATATTATCATAAGTATCGTGAGGAGGAATGTATCTTGAGTCTTTCCGATTATTTTTCAATCGGTCCTTGACGGTAACATAGGACTCTCCGAACAGAGCAGTGAGTGTTTTATAAAATTGAGAAATTCCCATGATGATTCTATTGATGTGTTGTTTTATAAAAATTCAAAACAAGAGAAGCCTGTTTCTCAAAGAGCAGCCAATACATTAAAGAATTCAATTCCGAAATGTTCTTAATCGACTCTCCCTTTTGTAGTGTTCAATATTTTTTTTACTGTTGAAAAAAGAAATTGATTGGATGAATATTTTTAATGGAATAAATAAATAATAAATTTGAATAAGATTTTAAAGACATTGCGCTTGAAATGCTTTCATATGAAGAGGATTCAAATGAGGTGCCAATACTTGATAAATGTTGTTCTCATCTCGAGTAAGGCAATGATTCCATTCCAATTCTAACCATTGAATGTAATCATCATTCAAAGTACTTGATGTGTTGATGGTGATGGAGGTGGTTCTAGAAGAAGAACAACTGTTCGTAGTTAAAGAAGAGTTCAAACCTTCTTGGTGATGCTTTTCAGATGTTGGTGCATTCAAAGTGGTGGAAATGATATTTCGAATATTCAATTTTGAGCTCTTGTGCCAAATAATGTGTTTGATGCAATTCGATAATTCCTCATTGGAGATTTGATATTCTTGTTGCTGTTGTCGAATGTGTGAAGCGTGATGAGTGGCTGTGGTGAAGGTGGGAGTAAAGGTACTACTATTTCCACTATTATTAGCCTCTAGTTGATGATATTTGATACAACACTTTTCAATAAGAGATGGAAAACAATGAAAGTCGATCGAACTCACTAATAAATCTCCAAAGAACAATTCACCACTGAAAGGTTTGTTGCAGAAAGTCTGAATAAAGATCTCGCGTTGTGGACTAGCTTTTTCACACATGTTAAAATCTGGATGGTAATAGATTGCACATAAATATTTGAACCATTCTGAGCTCGAGTTAAATTCTTGTTGAGTCAGGAGTGGTTGGAAAATGTTTGGAATTTTGAAATGTTCGAATTTCAATTCTTGAATGGAAGATGGAATTTCAACTCGTTTGGAAAACCTTAATTGCCATAAATAAGCTTGAGAGTTTAAGAGTGTAATATCTCCTGTCATTCCTCCAAAGCAGGATCGAATAAATAAAGACCGAAGAAGTGTAGATTCTGTTGGAGATAATGCATCTAGATTGTTTTGAAAGAGGGAATTCACTTCATCTTCATTTAAAAATTCCTCAATTTGATGGAGATTTTCTCTAAATTTCACATTGGCAATGTCATAAACCAATTGCAAACATGCATCAACAAATAGTTTTGGAATTGCAATCGATTCCTCACTTGAAAAATGTTTTCCACTATAATACGTCATCATCCAGGCCATGAGCGATGTCATGGGATGCAGAATTGCGTCTTCAACAATAATGACTAGAATCCTTCTAAGAAATTCTAAAAAGGAAAATTTGTAAATCATGACAGAAGCAATTCGAACACTGGATTCTGCCTTCCCTAATCGAATTGTTTTTTGCAAAGCTGATTTTAAGAAGGAAAGAGCAAATTGAGGAATTTGTCTTTTTGTTCCAGTGGTTGATGTCACCACAACGGGATGTGACTTTTTGTTTTTGATTGGAACTGAAACATGTGCACAAATCGACGAGTCACTCGAAATGGAACAATTCATTTGAAATGTTACCTTCTTATTCTTAATATTCATGTCAGAGGAAAGTTGTGTATTGATTTTTTGAAACAATGGTGGTGAAGGATTCGCACAGAGTGATGATTGTGAAGAAACAACTTGAATGTCTTCCACTTTCAAGACAGATATCTTGTCAGAGAACCATTTTTCGGAAGGTGCTTGAATGATCTGAGAGTATTTCTTTTCTTGTTTGATCTGTTTGGATTTCTTTTCATGAAGTGGTGACGATTTCGATGATGATTGTTTGTTGAAATAATTGGTAATGCTTTTTTGTTTGACGACATGCGCTTTAGAAGTGTCGAGAAAGAGGCTTGAAATTTTGTTTTCCTTCACGGAGAGCACGAAGGAACAACAAAATGCCTTTCCCGAAGAAGAAGCAAAGGCTTTATCGTCATCAAGAATTTCGATAATTTCCTCTTGTTGGCGTTTTTTCATTTTTTTTTAAATGGTGATAACGGCTAGTTTTGTTCGAGTGTTTATTGGAAGTGAATCCATTGAATTCTTCAACACGATTGAACAATCAGAACCATTATTCTCATTCCAAATCGTATTTGTAAATACAGGATGCTTCACAAATGTACAAGCTTCCTCGTTTGTAATACAGGCCTGTGATTTCGCAAATATTGTCCACAATTATTTCTTTTCTAAGAGTACCGCTTTCTGTGAGTACTAAAATTCTTCCTTCGTTTGTTAATTGTTTGAATTCATACATGGCCACATAGATATTTCCAACATCGTCACATGCAAGACCCATGGGACCAAAACTTCCACTGAGCTGATGAAACACACTCGAATGATATACACCATTCACATGAACAAATCTCACAATTCGATTTCTCATTGTTTCTGCTACGTAGATAATGTTTTCATTTTGAGGAGAAATGACAATACTGCTTGGATAGGCGAGACATTCATAGGCCAATGCTTTGATATGTTTGAAATCTGGCGATATGCAAAATACAGAACCCTTTGGATTCTCTAATGATGTTTCTCCAAGAGGTCCACTAATCATTGAATGTTTGATGAAGCGTGTTTGTGATATGATTTAAATTATAAAGCAAATCAATACAATCAGAATTGTATGTTCGGACACTCAGTGATCTGGGACCTACCTATCCGTGAAAAACAAACTTCCTTTTGAATCACAAACAATATTGTTCGGACCAATAAAAGGCTTTCCTCTGTATTCTCGTTTTACAACATCTAAACGATTATTCTCAGGATCTAATTGTTTTATACACTGATCTGCTCCATCTGCAACATACAACACTCCTTCATTACTGAAGCAAATTCCGCTCGGACCAATTCCTTTCGTTAATACAATGGGTGTTTGAGCACTTTCATGATGAGGCAACAGGTATACCTCACCGTTCAAGGAGCAGAAACATAAATTGGATTGTAGATCAAAGGTCGGTGCGGTAATCGTGGAACCCTTAATTTCAACAATTTTTTCCATTTTTTTTTGTAAAGTTCTTGTCGTCAAATGATGACAATGGTTATCATTTACTAATTTATTTCACAAATCCAAAAGAATTAAAGATTTGGAATAGTGTCAGTGTTCGGAATACCAGTATAAACGTCTCCTTCAATTCCACATTCATTAACTCCACGTTTAATCTTGAAATAACCATCCAGACCCCAATCAGCAGACCACTATCATGTGTGTTTTGTAAAAAATTTTAATTAAATACTCCAAAATAATCATGCTCCTACTTACAGAGTTTGCAACCAACCAATACTTGACACCATTTTCAACACCATAACCAACAATCTTGACAGCATGACCACCCAAGAAGGAACCAGTTTCATGAGCTGTTTTGTTTTTCATGGTGGCAGTGTTGAGTTGACATAATTGTAATTCGTAACATCGATAGTAGTGTGATCATGATCAGAAACTCAATGTGCACTAATTGAAACACTTACTGTAAACTCCACTCTTATAAGACATGAAATCTTGATACACAGAAAAACCTATTTTGGTACAACACCAAGTGAAATTGAAAACATAGCACAACAGACATTGAACAGAGACTTACCTGTTTGCACAGGACCGTTGGTAATAAGTTCATTCATAATCTTTTCTTCCTTAATAAAGAAACCAGCAATAGAGCCAACTATAGGAATTCACCAATAGTCAAACATTGATCATCAAAGGAATGCCATTCACCACCACCAACACAATCAATACATTGTAGGTTGTCATTGTTGTGCGTTTGTGTGAATTTTTATAGACCCAACCCATCTGTTGATCCGATATTGGTGTGGTAGAAAATATATACTTACCTTCATACCATGTTTTGGCCTTATATTTTTGAGTGTTGATATCAATGTTAGTACCATTACAATATTTAGGACAACTTGGAGCAACACCATTTCCACTCACGTATGGCATGCATGAGTCAGGAACAATTCCAGTATGTTCCAAATACATCCAAGCTGCAATATTTGAAAAGATTTTGGATTTGTTGTGAAATAAGATTTGTTAGGAACGAGTTGAATGAACCTATTTCAAAACATACCAAGCCACAAAATACCTCCATCACATCCATTGTTGTACCAATTGCAAGATACCTTCATGCATAGTATCAAATTGGAATCACTGATTATCATTCTCAATTTTCAAATATTTACACAAAACATACCAAATCTGTCAAATGTCATTGAACAAAGTTAAAAAGGATCTTTTTGTGCTACATATTACAAAAACCTACCTTGTGGTGACAAGACAACGTTCACCTTCTTTGGTTGATTCAAAGTAGCAATACAAAATCTATCTGACAACACTTCAGAAGCAGAAAAAGCCCAACAAGATCCACATTGTTGTTGATTACGAATTGGATGAATACAAGTTGGCCATTGTTGACGAGCATCAAAACTATCAGGGAGAGCTGAAGGTTGTCCTTGCTTGGCAGCATAATATTGATTGACAAGAGCCATTTCATCTTCGGAGTAACGAATAGTTGGTTTCAAACCCTTGAGACCCAACAACTTTTTGACATCAGCAATGGTTTTACCAACAAATCTCTTGTTGATTCCGGCTTCCCAAGTGGTGCGCTTTCTTCGGACATGTCTGATGATATCCAAATTCAAAGCAGGAGACGAGTCATCGTCTTGAACCAATAATTTAGCGTGGAGAAGAGAGGATGCTGCAACCAAAAGGAAGAAGCACACACTCAGCAAACAGAGGCGAGAATTCATATTTTTTTGGAGTGAAGAGTACGGACTTTGTGAGGCAGAGCTCCGAAAACCCCATCGGCAAATCACATCTCCGTTTTTAAAAAATCAAATTTATTTACAGCAATGATCTTGTGAGAATGTTCATTCACTACTGTTTTATTCAATTTAAAACAAAAGTTCGAGATTTCAATTTCTTTTTGTGTTTTTTCTGGTGAATTTGAGCTAAATGATTTTGAATTTTCTTTGTGGTTTGGTTTGGACTCCCTCTCGGAGGAGATTGTGGAGGAATAACGTAAATGGGCATGTCTGAATTGCCATGGTTTGGAAAAGCAGATCCCAAATTCAGAGTAATTTTAGGAGGTGTCCCCGCAGTGGTTTCTGGAGACGTAGAAACTTGCAAATAGTTTTTGGGAGGTGTTTGATTGGCTTGGATCGAGTTGTTTCTTGGCTGTTTTACATAAAGTGACGATGGCATAGAGAATTCATCTCTTTGCAGCGTTGTTTTTCTCTTTCTTACGATTGGAACAGATTGTGATCCTTGAAGATTCGTAGCACGATGTTTCAAATGGGGGTAATTTACAGAATGAGTTAGTGATGTTTCCTTCGTGCTGCATGCAGCTACTGATGAAGTTTTCTGAAGAAAAGAATCTCGTTCATCGGCAGCTTTCATTTCAACCGTTAACAACGATGGTTTTGTTGTGGAGGTTTGTGTTTTTAGTGATGGGCGTGTTTTTGAGAATAAGGGAGATTGATATGAAGGAGTAAGGTATTGAGGAGGAGTACTAGTACTAGTTGCTTTCGAGGAAGAAAATAAGGTGTCTGGAATTTGATTTTTCAGTTCATTCATAATTTGCTGTATGTTTTCTAAAGGTGCGGTGGAAGATGATGTAATAGGGGAGGACGATAAAGGAGCACTTGAAGGTGTCCTCAAGGATAACGGGTCCGTATTCGGAGGACTTGATGCCGTAGATTTCGATATTAAGAATAACGTCTTTGGTGGAAGAGCGGACCCAGTAGAGGCTCTTCTCGATGCATTGGTATTCGAGTATTTTGAAAGAAGCTTCCTTCGTGCAATCTCTTTTCTACAGGAAGCACACAATCTACTATACTCACTCCAATGAAGATCGTCCAGATTTGGAACCTGTTCACGACAACTGCATTCATTAAGGAACGACGACGGAACGACTCCCATCCGAGCAAAGAAATCAATAACAATGAAATGAAAGATTAATGTGAAGATGGATGTTAAGGAATTTTTTTAGGTTTTTGTATTGGCGTGTGGTTCGTGTTTTCTGGATCAGTTCGACGTGCGGAACAAGAGAATTTAAGAAGTCAAAGAATCTTTTCTGGTGATTGAAGACTTTTTCAATCTTCAACCACCAGAAAAGATCCTTTTGTAAATCTCAAAACAAGAGAGCAACGATGTCCATTTTCAGATCTCAGCCAAAACAAAACACTGCCGACTTCAGTAAAAATCCTTGTTAGCGCACATATATTTTTGATGCAATCTATAACACCGACACTCAAGTTTAACCTCAAACAAACAACTTGACATTTATGAATGCCGTACCTCACAACGAAGTGCATTTTCACAATGTGATTGGTTGTAATTTAAGCTCATTTTCAAGAATCTTGATCGCTTTAATCCAGCAATTTATTTCAGATAAAATTTGTTATTGCAAAAGAAGTCTTCAAACAACTTTGCTACCCATTAATATTACAACAATTTCATTAACACATGTGGCATCTCTATCATCATGACGAAATTAGTTTTTCAAGTCTCGACTGTAAAAATTGCAAACTAAGGTTAACATGGTTTGAAATTGTGTAATGACTGTTTGAGAGAGATGGTGTCGATCCTGTGATTGTGGGAGTGGTCGTCTTCAACTCGGTCACAATTCCTGTTCGTGACAACTCTCACAAAATCTCTTGTAAGGCCAGTTCAACGCCTTGATGCACCAATTGTAAAGTGATATTTCATCACAGCAATACTTGTTTTCATCAACAATACTGTGCAATGGATTGCACTTTTGATAGATTGACACATCATAAATTAAATCGATGTTTCCATAAAAATCCAAACCAAAAAAATTTATTGAGGTGTATGTACACCTAATCCAGTTGGGATTCTAACTAAGGACCGGGTCCTTTGTCTTCAATCTGTTCAGAGTAGTAATATTTGTGACATCTGCCAACGAAGAGGGCTAACAGTACTTGGATTTCAGGCCAACCCAAACCAAAAAAAAATGCCCAAAAAGCCTTCCATTCATGCCGTTGAAAAACAAGTTCTTGAACACAAAGTAAACGTTCTCTCCAAGATTGGACAAGAGAGAAATCAATATGGCTACAAAAAGTATCGGGAACGTGAAATGATGGCTCAACAAAAACCATCCATGTATCTACGATATAAACATTTATATAACAAGGATATTGCTCAAGAGGAAGATGATGTTTTTACATCATCAGGTGGAATTGATTCTAATGATGATTTTTTGAAAGAAATTGTTCATTCCGAAAAGTCAAATGAAGGAGAGGATGACTTTTTTATTGATCCCGAAAAGATGAGTAAAAAGAAGGAGAAGAAGCTTACCAAGCAATTGAAATATAAACAATTCGAAGAAAAGAAAATTACGACATTGGATGGAGAAGTCATTAATTTTAACGACACTTCAGAGAAGAAAAAGAAGAGAAAGAGAGAATATGGAGAGCATGTGAGTACTCCGGATTTACAAACTCAGAAACGACTAGATCCAAAAAGTTACAAAGAGAATGTGAATTTTATTCCAATACCACAAAAGTCAAACAAATTGTTGAAGAAACTGAAAAAGCAACCTGAAAATTTAGAGGACGAATAATTAATATTTCATTTGAAAATATGAACATCATTTGAATGACTCGATATCATGGTGGACAAAACAACTGTTTACTATAGTTTACTATTGTTACGTTCACCATAGTATCATTTTGTTCTTTTCAGACTCTCGATGAAATATCTCATGCAACGTGCTCTAAAATGCTTGATAGGTGCCAGAAGTTCCTTTCTTTGAAAACTTGACACGAACATAGCATACGCAAAGAATAACACCAGTACATAGAATAAAGAGACCAAGTAAGGAGCCAATGACAATTGGGGCAATAAAGCTCACTGATTTTTCAATACAAGTGGAGGGTCTTACAGGTTGACCGACGCTCATCAAAAAGCCAGGATTGCACTCTGTGACACGACAAATATCAGACAGATAGCCATTGATGCATTCCCGAACTCCAACTCCATTAGCAACGTCACAACCTTGGTTCTGAGTGCATTGAGCACCATCCATGGATTGACTTGCAACAGCAGAAACGTTAAAACTCATTCCACTTGTTCGGCTTGTCATTATTCCACTCAATTTTGAAAATACACACAAATTGCTAAAAGTTTTCACTTGTGAGGTGTCCAATTTCAGAGAAAAATCATAGACAGTTTCCTTGAATGTCATGTTTCCATTCCACACGTCTCTAAAGTATCGTCCATTCATTGAAAAAGAATCTGAATATGCATACCAATCATAGGTTTCTTTGACTAGAATATTCGAGTTTGACACTACAGCACCATTGGCGTCCGAAATTGTTAAATCCCACTTTCCGATAACATGACAATGCTGTTCCAAGTAATACTTGATGGAAAGGAAGGAATTTTCATCTCTCAACAATCCATTATGGGAATTAAATGACGAAATTCGTTGTGTGGCTTCCAATCCGTCGTTCATGGCCGATGCAAAGCTCGCGACTCCGTCTCCACTTGTATAATCTCCCATTAAATATTTAATTTGTGAAATATTTGAAATGTTAATGGATCCATCAGATTCTAATTGAATACCACTTCCTGTCAGTGAAACACTGAGTGCAGTTTTTCTTCCCTCTCCAAATATATTATAGAAATATCTTGGTTGAATAGGACCATAAATATCTTTCTGAAAATTATAAATTTGTCGTATGACAGAATTTTCAAGCTTGTTACTTAGAATATCAGCTCGAAATGGAACGAGTTCTGATTTCACATTGCCACCTCCATTATCCAATGCAGTTGTATATTCAACCTTACTGTCTTTAAGAAATGAATCAATGGCTTCAATCATCGTTAGATCCTTCACATTCACACCATTCACACTTATTTTTCCCTCTCCGTTATTTCCTTTCAAACTTAGTACCATTCTTTCATAGAATGAAATACTTCCTAATGAGACACTTCTCACCACCATTTCATTCAATTTAAAATTATTTAAATTATTTCCAAATAAGGCAGAAACAACCCAATCTTTTCCAGTTCCTTGCCAAGGAGAACCAAATGCAATATAAATATTCACATACGACGCAAGAGATGCATCTTCAACAAGTGCTGATTTTGTCACATAGCCTCCCATGCTGTGTGAAATAATATTGACCTTTTTTGAATTTGATTGTGAGGCAACAGTTTTCACATAAGATGCAAGTCTCAACGCCAATTTAGTAATGGATTGTCTCCAATCGTATGGAAAGGCAAAAAGTGTTTTTCCTTCTTCATATCCTAATGAGTTTTTTAAATAATTAATCATGTCATGAAAATAGAAACGATCTGGACCATTTCCTTGTGAAGATCCAGGATTTAAATTGTCAATGGCAAAGAGACCGAATCGATCCATTGGAGATATTAAATCCCATCTGAATTTAAATGTTTGAATCAAATATTTTCAAATAGAGTTGTCATTTATGAAATTTCATTAGATTTTTATGAATCAATGATCAATGAATTCTCACTCACGCTCATGAAATTCACTTACTGTTGATCGTCTGCAACAAATGATTGCATCGTATTTGAATTAATTATTTTACATGATAAATACATAAAATCTTGTGTGGAATTTGGATAGGACTCATAGAGATGTTTCACAAACGTTCCTGAATTCTTCTCCGATGCGGTAATAATGCTTGCAGCATAACCTGGAACGAGAATGAGTGGAATTTGTGGTTTTAGTGGTTGTTGTTGTTGTTCGTGATGAGAAAGAGACAACTTGGCATGAATGGGCGAGAGGAGAGAAAAGAGAAAACACAATGAGGATGATGATGCCACGAGTGATAGAAGAATTGAGAAGAGAAATTGTGGAAAATTCGGCCTTGTCATCTCGCTCGTGATGATGATCAAGTGGAATTATTATGGAAGAATATATCCTCTCTGAAGTGATATGAATGAAATAGACACTGGTGTGTATCTAAATGTCTTTGGGTAATAAATAATTTAATACAGTTGGTGATGTTGGCAAATGATGTCTTGTAGATGAATGGTGACAGACCGAGGAGGAATGTGTTTCAATTTTTTGTGAATTTACAATCGTTTCAATACGCGAATAATAATGAAATTTGAAAGTTCTGAGAGGATGAAGAGGCTGTGAGATTTTCTTTCTACTTCTTGACTTTCAATACTAAACAAATGGCATTAATGCAATATCGAAGTTTGGTTTTGTCACGAGGGCCATCACTAAATACATGTCCCAAATGAGAGTGACAATTATTGCACACTACTTCCACTCTTTCCATGCCGAGTGTATTGTCAATAATGTAACCAATGGCTTTAGGTGCAACAGGAGCCCAGAAAGAGGGCCATCCCGATCCTGTTATAATAACATGACCAAATATTAACAAAGATCAATATTGATCCACACAAAAGTAATCAAGCACACCATCATCGTTATATTGAGCCGAAAACAGGTAATCATTGAAAGAATTCGAATGATACAACCCAAATGTTCATGAAGCAAATAGTTTGAAAAGACTTACCCGACTCAAAAGAAGTCTTTGCATTGAATAACGGAGCATCACATGCAGAACAATGAAAGACTCCTTCTTCTTGTTGATTTTGTTTTAATTGATCCTTGAAGGTTTTATAGCCTCCACAAAACGATGGTTCTGTTCCGGCCCGTCTTAAAACTTCATATTGTTTGGGAGTCAAGATTTTCTTCCATTCCTCTTCGGTCTTTTGTACAGTTGGTGGAGGAAGTTGTTTTTCATCTTCTACAATGACGGATTCATCGGTTTCTACTTGCTTGAGTAATTGTCTGACTTGGTCTGTGTAACCCATGATGATAGTACTACCGTGATGATGATGATCCGAGAAGGTTGCAGGAAAGGATTGAAAACGAGTTGAAAGGCTCAATTGAATTGAATTCAAAAGTAAAAACAAAGACAATCTTTTTTTTGTTTGTGGTTTGTTCAACAGGTTTGGTGGTTCATTCATCAAGATAAACGCTTGTGAATCACACACTTACGTACGACGTGGGTCATCAAGTATGTATAATGTTCGGATTCATTTGGAAATTAATCCTTCCTTGCTCCTTTTCATTACTTTAAAGGGAGTTGAACCAATCTTGTTCTCTCGCTCTTCACGCTTTTCAGTTGCTTTTCAGTTGTTTTTCAAAAATATCAACCGATTACTTGTTTTCATACTTCACCCACTATTATATAATTGTATTCTCATTGATTCCTAATTTTCTCATTGATCGCAATCTCATCATCATCATTTCTTACAAATCATCAACAAATCAAGGCAAATGAACCAAGACGAAACAACCTTTCAAAAAATGGCTCAGAAGCCCATGGTTGCCTACGGTCTAGATAATTTTCGTTGTGATAGCGATGATGATAATGAAACACATGAAAAACCAAAGGAAATTAACGGCGAAAAACACCTTCAAGCCAAGAATGCCTTTACTGCTAATTTACAAATTTTGAGAGTCGAAACTCGTTATGATCTCTCGACTCCTTCGGCTCAAAAAGTGAGTAAGTAGCGTGATGATTGTTATTAGTGAGCGAGGATTGAATGTAATCATCATCACTGTATATATTTCTAAAATGTTCATCATCATCATCATGAACTCGAAATTTATCGACTCAATGATGCAACTGATCCTCATCAACAGTAAAAGGAACTTCATCGGGACATACACAAACCTTCTATATTGGTCCGAATGGATTGATTTTCAACGATGATGACGCTTCAAATGATGCCAAAAAGCAAATGAATATTCCATATGATGACTTGGAGTGTTATAAAATGGGTCTAGGGGCTGGTGCTTTCGGATCTGTTGTACTCGCCAAACACAAAGAAACAGGTCAAAAATTTGCCCTAAAAACTATTAGAGAAAAAAAAGGAGATAATGTATTCTCGGATGACGATGAATCAGATCAAAACAAATTGATTTGGGCTGAATTTAAAGCCATTTACGAAAGCGATCATCCTAATTTACTCAAAGTGCATAATTGCTATTTCAGAGATTATTGTTTTTACATGCTGTTAGATTATTGCAATTGTGGCAGCCTGAAGGATGTATTCAAGGTCACAGAGGGAACCACAGAACGAATGATGTCAGTAATTGTCGAGAAAATTCTCAAAGGACTGAACTATTTACAAAAAGAGAAGCATATTATTCATAGAGACATTAAACCAGAAAACATTCTTGTAGATTATGATCCGAACACACAGCATGCAGAGGTAAAGATTGGAGATTTTGGTTTGTGTGGTCACAAAAAACTTGATATCAACTCTGATTTAGGCAAGACCATGTTTAATACTGTGAATGGCACAACCATTTATTTGTCTCCTGAAAGGCTTCAAGGATGCTCATACAATTATAATTCAGATATTTGGAGTTTGGGAGTGTTAACAATAGAATTGATGACAAAAGTCCATCCATTGAGTACACTTCCGACACTCTCACATTTCGATATTGTAGACAAACTTGAAAATATACAGAATGATATCACCGAAATAATAGAAAAATACAATGCAACTACGGAAAAGAAAATAAGTCCAGAATTCAGAGATTTCGTATTAAAATGTTGTGAGCCTGACAAAGACAAACGACCATTTGCTGATGAGCTTCTCCACCACCCATGGATTACCAAATTTAAGGACGGAAAGGACAATGAACAATTATTCTCTCTGTGGCTAAAACAATTTTTCATCAAGAAAAAGAGTGTCACCAAATAAGACTGTAACGAAAGACGAGCACTTGTTGACAAATATATGTACACAATGTTTATTCATGATGAGATTTACTTTCAAACCCTATTCAAATTCACATGGCGTGGATGAGAGAGTTCGAGAGTGATCCATCCAATGTGGTGTGATTAATAGACGCCAGCAACACTAACATGTATGATTCCTAAAATCATCCTTTCTTCACTTACTATTATTATTATGTTACAAGATATCCTTTTCCCTATATCTCAACAAACTCTTTCTGATGGAATCCAAGGCTGAATAGTTTTGTCGCTTCTCCATCTCTTCGAATATCAACTTGAGATCGTCCACTGAGAAGATGTTCGTTTTTTTATCGACCGTCACTCCCATCGATTCTTGCTCCTCTCTCTCAAGTAAATGTCCAATGGTTTTGAAAATATGCATGGACTTCAATAGTCCCAACTGAATCACATCACGATCTCCGAAAACATCACACAGTGTCTTGTATGACAGTTTCATGGCATATTCAGTACTTCGATCAAGGATGTAAGGCAATTCCTTATCTCTATTTTTGACACAGGTCAGGACAAACTTTGCCAAATGATATTCTCGATCTTGTTGAGTCTCACAATTTCCAATCAATCTTTTGAGTACTTGCAACGTATGAGGATTCATGGAAGGAATGCCCAAAAATCCCTCAAAGAATATATTTGGACAATTCAAAATTAAATTTTTGAATCGAGAGTAAAAGTATCTTTCGACCAGTTGCTTCTCTGCAGACTGTTCCATTTCTTGTTCTTCCTTATCAATGATTGGCAACAGTGTTTGTTCTTCCTTGTCAACATTCTCATCAAACACTCGAATTGGAATGGAATTCAACTCGATCGATAATTTGTTGAAGGACTCAGTCATTTCCTCAATGTACATTCTCTTCATTTCGACAATCTTCTCCATCACATAAAAGTACACATTTGGAAGATCCTTCTCCATAGCAATCTCCATCATGTTGTCCATCTTTAGGACCTTTTCTTTCGCATCCAAAGGACATGTATGACTCTGTAAGTAATCACTGAACAAGGTATTTGCAGAATTTAAATAATCCAAATGAATCATTTCACCCAATAGAATGGAGAACAGGTCAATATGATGGAAAATACTGTAAAACTTCATATCTGTGAATTGAAGAATTTCACCAACATCCCGTGTTTGGAGAGTTCTAAAGATGGCATATGTCATGAATGGATGTTTCAAGACTTCCCATAATATTCCTTCACATCCATGTTGGGCTGCTAAAACTTGCAAGATTGGAGAACTGTGAATGAAGATTGAAATGTTGAACTTTTGAATCAATTCTGGGAGTTCTTTTCGAGTTTGATCTTTCTTGTTTTTGCTGTTGGACAATTTCAATTGAACCATGAGATGTGTGATTGTGGATTTTCATTCGAATACAATTATTGTTGTCACACACATACTCGACGATCTAAGGAGAATTTCTGACTTACCTCTTGATCCAATTCACCAAATAAGTATGTACAATCTTCTCATTCCCAAGAAAGTGATTTTGCAACACAGCTTCTCTTGCAGCAGAGTTCACCAAACTGAATTGATATTCAAAACATTCATGAGCTGTGAAAAACTTGGTCACATTCTTGAATAAATCAAAGATTGGATCGGAAGTGATCAAATGACCAGGAGCTTCAATAATATCTTCCAACTGAACAGGAATGTATTCAGAAGAAGTTTTACCAGTCGTTGTGGCAGAGGTTTTCTGTTTGGATTTCTCAACAAGATGTGATGCATGAACTTTTTTAGGAATCTTGTGAGAGGTGGTATCATGAAGATGAGGTTGTTGTTGTTGTTGAACACTCAGTGGTTTGTCAGGCATTTTGAATATGGACGCGTGGAGAGGAGTTTTTTAAAATTGTTGGATGATCATGAGTGTGTTTGTGCACATGAGGAGCAAAAAAGGTTTTTATATTAATAAAGCCCTTTAAGGAAATTCCACAAATTGAGAGTGAGTAAAAAATGACAAATTATTTTGTGGATCATTGGTATCACAATTACCTTTCATAGCAAAACTGCCAGCGAAACAAACTTCCGGGCTTCGAGTATTAAGATTTCATACTCAACAAAAAAATGGGTAATGTTAACCACCTGATCAAACTGTAGTTTCCCGAGCACTCGAAATTCTGCAGTATTTTTCACTGACTTTACAAGTAAATGAGTTGGTGTTTGAAAACTGATAATTTTAAAGTTAGTCGAAAAGTCAGCGGATTTTTGAATTTAATCCCTACTAAGTTTACTCTGCTCTGTTCCAAATCTGCAGTTCACTTAAATCGATATCTGATTTTATTTAAATAAGCATTGAAATATTTCATCGAATTCAGTAAGAAAAATTTATTGATGAATCAGTTGAAAAATAATGGACTGATTTGAAGTGAAATCAGTTTCTGAATAAGGGACTGATTTGAAGTAAAGTCAGTACCTAAATTAGACTCTGAGTTGAATTGAAATCAGTATCCAAATCTGACTCTGGGTTGAATAAAAATCAGTTGAAAAATAAGACTCTGGGTTGAATTAAAATCAGTCTCCAAATCATACTATGGTATTGAAATTAGTCTACGGATAAGACACTCATTGGAATGAAAAGGTAATTGTGATACCAATATCGTATTTCATAGTAATCCATGGAAGGCTTGAGTAATCCACTTCTAATTCAGTGTAATTATAATTTCTCGCTATCAATCATCGTATCATCTTTTCAAATAAGCTGATCATCAATGATTCAATGCTTACCTTGACGATGACCATGACACCTTGTGTTCAATTGGGTCAAGTAATACCAACTTACCTTGATTCATGAATTGTTCTGAATGTAGTGAAGGGTAGGAATGTTCGATTGTAACAATTAATGAGTTTGGTTGAGTCTTTGAAAAAATTTTCATACTCATCACAATCACGTGAATAAACTTGGTATTGTTTAAATCAAGAACAAGTCATTCCTATGAACTTGTTTAAATTTACCACAAACTTGGAAACATGGTATGGCGTTTTTTGGCATTTCATCCAATATTTTGACTTGATTCGAGTCTAAACTTTTAACGTGATACAAGCCATCCTTTTTACTGGTCACGAGACCATGACCAAATTCTTGAGCATGAAAATAATCACCCTTTTCAAATTGAAAATGAAAAGTTCTTACTCGTTTCATGGAAATGACTTGATGTAATGAAAAGTTCTCCAGTGCTTTGTGGTCCATGTTATTCTTTCCTCCTTGAACAGAGCTAGTGATGGATCCAACTAGATCTTCGAGCATAAAAGTACTCGTACACCATAGTGGTCCAAGATAGAAAATAGAACTGTTTACATGATGAATAATATATAAAAATAATTACATGATGGATAATATGTGAAAAGGAGCTATATCATTTAGCCGACTTACAGAGGAAAATGAACGACTGTATGTGAAACCAGTGTTAAAATAAAAATGTTAAAATCTGTCTCGATGGCTTGTAATATTTCAAAAATTTCCTTTTTCATACTGTATAGAACTTCAAGGCTTCTCACTACTGGATGCATGATGGTGCGTATAAAAGTAGAAAGTCTATTGAGAATGTGATAATGTTTGTCTGATATTTCATCCTGAAAAACCTCAATACAATATGAAAATATTATATAATATTCAATTGCTTTGAAATAACTCAATTCATCCAATCCACGGACTATATGAAAAGGATTCAACGAGAATTGGAACAAGAGAAGGAAGAACGAATCAAGTTGCAATCCAAGGTTGATCAGCATCCCGAGAGAATGAATACCGTTCGTGATAACTTGTGTAAGATGTATGTTGATCTTGGAAATATTATAACCTCCATGTCTAACACAACAACCATTATAATTGGGGACGAGAAGAAGGAAGTGGCCTCAGACGAATTTGTTAATTTTTGTAAGAGGAACCAATTTGGCAAGTGTGTAGATTACCTTTGTCAGGTGTTCAATTGGAGCATTGACAAATTGAAAACAAACGCCAAACTCCAGCATGCGGTTGCTTCTTTCATATATCAGCACACGGAAATCAAGGAAACCACTCGCCAGTGGAGCAACTTTTTCAATACTCACAAATAATGGCCGAACTTGATTGCTTTGTAATAAAATAAATAAACAAAAACATTTTCTCCCTTAAAATTCGTCTTGATTTTTCGGAATCAGTATGAAAATGTGGGATTTACTGATTTTGCGACTGGCTTTTTTTCTGACTGAATTCGAATGCAAGTTTGCTCACTAATTTCATTAAAAATACGAAATTTCGAGTGCTCGGGTTCTTCCATTCGCTGGTCAATCTCAAAAGATGATGAAGGGAATTGTGTTGATTGGCAAGATCAGTTTTGGGTAAAGAAGCAAATGTCATGTCGTTGTACATTTGGCATTTCACACTCTCAGTTCAGAAGAAATTGCACAAAAGTTACATATTTATGAATAGATGAACACTTCTTACTTTTCAAATACAAATTGGTTGCTCTCAGACTTGTATTGAATCTTTGGAAGAGCAGTCGTTTGAATAAAGTGACTTCTCGATTCCCACAGATCAAGGAATACACGATACTTGAGAGTTCCTTCAAGATAATCAACTCCAGAGCTACCACCTGTTCCAGTACGAGTTCCAATCATTCTCTCGACCATACGAACATGACGAGTTCTCCACATGAGTAAAGCTTCTTCCAAAGCAACCAATCGATCCAACAAATTAGCATAATTGGACAACATGTAGTGATGTCTATAACTCATAATGAACAAAATAGCAGCACGACGTCTCTTAATACGTTCAATCTTTTCCTCATTCGATCTCTTTGTTCCATTGCTTTGAGTTACTGGACAACATTCATTCTTGGAAGTCTCTCCATCCATCATGGTGGATGATTGTTGAGAAAAGAATGGACATCCACCAGAACTACGAACACCTCCACTGCTATTGAACTTAAAGGCAGTTCTTTGTTTGATATGAAGTTCTTGATCTTCAATTGTGATCCATTGTCTTGCAGGCTTCATTTCCTTTTCAATGTGTTGTTCGATCATTTCCATCTCAGTCTCTGGATTGAACCACCGACTCTTTTGGAATGCTAAATTCTCTCTCTTTCTTTCCAAAAAGATGTTCACAAATTCATTACCTGGAATTTTAGGATAGACAATTTCTTCAAGCCATCGATAAACCAATTTTCTAATGCTCATCTCCTGTTGTCTCTTTTTCAATCGAGTTAAACCAAAAATGTCATGTTGAAGATCAGTTTCATAGCTTGTTCTGCCTCCACACATTCTACGATTAGATTCTCTCAATCCCATCATGACTTCCAATTCTCTCATTTGAACCGATTGGAAACCACTTGCAGGACCAATGACAGATCTGGAATATTCGAGATCAAGGTCAAATTTTACAATTCAAAGATGATGGTTGTAAATGTGGCGAGAGTGTTCATTCATGTAAAAAAAGTTGAGAGAGTGTTCATGTGGATTGTGAAATCAGCCCGATCGTTCATTAGATATTCTTGATACTGTGTCAGTAATAATTGTGAACTTACCTAAACTCTAAAAAGTCTGCAGGATGCATCGTCTCCAAAATGTCAAAGGTACCAAGTGAATAACGAAGAATTTGATCAGCTCTCTCCAATCGATGAACAAGAATTTGAGTATTTTCAACAGTAAGGTCAACATCTTCGTTAGGATGTTCTTTGGCATAATTGAACACTTTCTTCAAAATATTTTGAATGCTTTCAACTTCAAACAATATTTGATTGAACCACAGTTCGAAACTTTGATGGACAACAATAAACAAATGTTCATCTGATGTGCACAGGATAGCAAAATATTGGACATGATGATTGTGGTTATGTGACGGAATGATGAGAATGTAACAATGGACACACGGAGATTAAATTCAATTTAGGGATTCATAACATTCATTTCCAAAATCATCATGCATGATTCCCATCATCATCATCATCACGATTAAATTTGATTAAATTTGAATTCATTCTTCCGAAAAACCTACCGTGATGAGTCAATCCTCCCTTACACTCCGCATCTTGCAATCTTAACAATGAATCAGTCATGATGTAATTGTTATAAGTAACATGCACCTTCTTATCCATATCGACTGGCTTGATTCCGTGCAGCTCTTCATATGAAATCACCTTTGGTTGAGAGAATCTCTCTTGTCCAAAATAGGCATTCGAATTTTGATTTGTGGTGGTAGTAGTGCTGGAGGTTGATGGCGTCTGTGACGATGAGGAAGACGCAGAGGAAGCGCTCTCGCTCGTGTTCGTGCTCAAGAAGAGTGGTGAAACCGGATGAGTGTGAGTGTCCATGACGATGATGATGATGTGGAATTTTTTTTTGAATGGATTGCAAGCTTAGGACTCAAAATTGTCTAAATTTGGTCGAATTGGCCGCTAGATTCTGAGTTTTTCCTCTCAAGTGAGCTTTCGTATTCTCTCTCGAGAGTGATCCTTTGTCTTCAAGAGAGAATAAATATTCATCATGATGAAGTGATTGTTAAATTTGTTGGATCATTGAGAGGGAATTCAGAGAATGAAAATTAGCATTTGGGGGTAATGAGAATGAGAATGCATCTTTGAGAATGCAACAACCTGTGAATTTCTTTTGTGCGTCTTGGTTTCGGAGAAAAATCTTATTGTAAAGTCGAGCTCAACAAAGTCGGCTTTAGAAAATTCCTTCATTCATGGATGGTGGATTTAAACTATTTCTCTAACTTTCAATGATACAATGTGATGAATTGGTTGTACAGAGTTTCCATCAAAACCGCGACAGGTGGTTTTTGACAACAATATAGCCTCTAAATACTTCCTGAATGAAACTCTTGCCTGGGAACTGTTTTGATTTCTTGAAAAGGATACCTTTAAAATGTTTTGAAAGGAATGAATGAACGAATGGAAGGGTGTAATGTGCACTTTGGCATCCCTTGTCATTGAAATTT